TTGCAACTTAAGATTATTGAACTTCTGTGCATGGATCAATTTTGCGGATGTTTATAAAATCACGTCTTAAAACCCAGATCATCAAGCAGCATGTCAAATTTCATGCAAATATTTAGAAAGTTGTTTTCTATTGTAATAATGATGTGTTTTCTATTGTAATTATGATGTGTTTTCTATTATAAGTATGATGTGCGTTTACTTGACACCCTAAACCATGAAATTGATTACGGTTACGCTTTTATTTAGGTAACTGACTGAAATATTCAAAGTGAAAAGTCGTATTTCATGGTATATTCATTGGTGTTACTGTTGAAAGAGAAAATAGTTATGGGGTTTAACGAATAGATGGATGAAATATAGTTCGTCGACGTCATACTTTTTACCTGGTTAAATGAATAGTGGCCAGACATTATAAAAAAAAGATTCAAACATATATAGAAAAAGGACTATAATTTGGATAATAGAAACACTGAAAAAATCAGACATATACCATAAAATTAAAATGATCAGTTTTCCAGCGTATGCGTGATGGTGACATGAAATATCATGTCTCAACATGAAAAATCATTCTCAACTCGTTTTATACGTTCGCAAATCCAAAACGTTTCATGTTTCGACTTCACTTCGATATACCAACACGCAGAAAACTAAGATTTTACCATCATCTTGTTCTATCTTTTATATGTATAGTAACATAGAAACACACATAATCCTAAAAACATAGTCATACCACAGAATGTGAAAATGACTCCAATGCCATATGACATATGTAAAAAGAATATATACACACTGTAAAAATTGATAAAATTGATAACATGAGACTGGGAGGATCAAACACCATGGAGACAGCAACACAACGAAACAAAGGTGACAAAAGTTACTAGTCTAGAAATCGATAATTGATTCAACAGAAACACCCTTATTATCTCAAGGAAAAATACAGCATCAAAATATAACAAAGCCAACCGATGGTGATGTTCCTAACTCTGCACATGGACGCGTAAACATAACAAGTTTTTTTTTGTATATAATGTATAATAACATTGGATCCCACCTAATGCTACTGCTAATTTCTGACGATTCAACCATAAAATTGAGAATGGAAATGGGGAATGTGTCAAAGAAACAACAACCCGACCATAGAGCAGACAATAGCCGAAGGCCACTAATGGGTCTTCAATGCAGCGAGAAACTCCCGCACCCGGAGGCGTCCTTCAGCTGGCCCCTAAACAAATATGTATACTAGTTCAGTGATAATGGACGTCATACTAAACTCCAAATTTAACACAAGAAACTAAAATTAAAAATGATACAAGACTAACAAAGTCCAGAGACTCCTGACTTGGGACAGGCGCAAAAATGCGGCGGGGTTAAACATGTTTTTTGAGATCTCAACCCTCCCCCGATACCTCTAGCCAATGTAGAAAAAAACAAACGCACAACAGTACGCACAGTAAAACTCAGTTTAAGAGAAGTCCGAGTCCGATGTCAGAATAGGAAACAAAAGAAAATAAACAAAATGACAATAATACATAAATAACAACAGACTACTAGCAGTTACTGACATGCCAGCTCCAGACCTCAATTAAACTGATTGAAAGATTATGTCTTCATCATATGAATATCAGGCACAATCCCTCCTGTTAGGGGTTTAGTATTATACCATCATAAAATATATGAGAAGAACATAACCCGTGTCATGCCAACAACTGGTTTTAGAATAAATGTGTTTAACCAGACTACTGGAATTCGCGTTTGCGGTCTTGACAATACGACATATGTCCAACACATGCTTTTTACAGCAATTATGCTTTCATCAATCATGTACTAATAAACAAGCCTAACATACAAAGAAATCCTGAAATCTTAACCAGATCACTGGAAAGGTCAATGTCTGGTGACGATGACAGACTGACTATGCCTCATCGTAAAGTGCTTTCAAAGCATTGTCAACAATCGTATAAGCTATTTATATGCTAGAAATGGCTTAAAATACGGAAACAACAATTTGCATGAAGTATATACGAACTTTAAACATTATTCATTTATACAAAACGGCTCGGTTCGAATGATTTTTGTTTGTTTAACGTCTCGGTTCGGTTCGAAATAATCAATTTATGACAATAATGCGATGTTGGATATATGTCATTGAGATGGCAACACAACAAAACAAGAGACCCATAGGTCCATGCACGGTCTCAAAGGACAATCGTCAACACAGCACACCTTTTCCAGAAAAAGCTCATGTCCAGGAAAGCAGCATAAAAACCCAAAAGAGACCATCGAAGATCTGCTATTTACAGCAAACTCTCAAAAGTGATACATAACGATACAACTAAAGGCAACCACCAACGTGACTCCCAATTCAGGAGTTGCATCTTGAAACAAAAATGCAAAATGGCAAAAATTAGGCTCCTAAGTTTCCTTCTTTTCCAAACACGATCAGATGGATACCAAAATGTAAGCACAAGAACCAACAATAAAAATCAGTTCAGAAAAAGCACTTTATCATAGAATAACGATGTAATAGATTTAAGTAATAGTACTAGAAACAATACAATAGCATGTTTATATTAATTCAGGCTTACAACATTAACGGTACCAGCTTTTTGTTCTGCATCAGATGAGCATTTCGATAATTGGGGTCTCTTCAGTGATGTTCGAGGCTATAAATATGTAAATCAGAAACCTTATATAAATGTAGATCTGACAAAATCAAATACAGACAAAACCGGACAAGGAAATAAATTTACATGAGGAACATTTATGTTCTTCTATGCCCTACATTATTCATGAAATGGAGAAAAATGCTATGATACAAGTTTTCATTTAAGGAGCGGAATTTTATTTACAGTATTTGGAATACAAATGATGGACAGTTTGAATTACAGAAAATAAAGGAAAACGTGGGCGAAATTTCGATGTGACAGCAAACCAACGTCGCAAATATAACCAAAAGACATCAAAAGGTCAATTGACGGTTTTCAGCCATAGACTTGTGTCTTTTCAGCATATCATGCTCTAAATCGCCCGACTCTACAAATGTTGAAAAGAAACTTAAGATACTTTGAAAGGTCCGCCATCGACACCAAATTATCCAAATGACAACATCATTAAGGTATGAAAAAAGAGGTGTGATTTTTGTCGTACAAAGAGGCATAACTCAAACGTATCTGTTACTGTTTTGAATTGCATTTTGTTACTGGTAGACCTTTTTAAAAATAAAAAAAGTGGACCACTTTATAATATTCAAAACAGAGGCGGAAGATGCCAAAGTAATCAAAACCTATCAGTCGAAGAGAGACCCACAATGACAATGACAATGACATGACAATAAAAGAAAAACGACGAAAAGACAAGGAACAGTTTATAAACACTATCTTTAATACGAAAAACTGAGCTACACGCACCTCACTAAAAACCGGGATTGATATCAGGTGATCCGGAGGTGTAAGCATATCTTCCCCACATGGGACTCACGTCTTATTGCTCATGGATAGTACAAAGTCGGTAGTCTCAATTGGTGAAGTCACAATTCTAAAACAAAATAAATATCTACAACTGTATAAATGTAGTATATCCTTCCAATCGTTTTCTATTAGAAGTGTTGTAGAGTTGCCATGTTAGCTATATCCTTAACAACAAGGAATTTTTGCATAAATGTGTAGTATAAGTTTCGAAGTTTTGAATAACATATATATTTTAAGAAATATGTGGATTATCCCGATTTAATCGAAAGCTAACATCTTTTTAGGACAAAATGGTGGATCGTTATACAATGATGAAAGACGAGACAAATGGGTCTATCAAACATCATACAGGAAGGACAGAAAAAATGGTCAAAAGAGAAAAGTGAAGACAAACAAGTACACAAGACACTACACTGAAAAATAAAATACACACTTGAACCCCGAAGAAAAGCAGGTGTGACTTCTGATTTTCGTTTAGGGAGAGCAGTTCCTGCTCTTCAAGTTGGGTCCATCGTGCTGCTCATAAAAAGTTATAACCTGGTGACAAGTAAGCCATTTACTAGGCAATAACGATTTCATTGTGGCTGTCACAAACGAGACATATTCGTGATCATCTGTAAGGATAAACGAATTCATGATGGCTAAGAATGCTTGGTTAAGTAGCCTCTTTGTACATGTAAGCAGCTACTCTAAGTTTCAAAACTAGGTGATATTCACTATCACCCAGAATATGAGTTTGATGAAAAATAAAAAACATAGAAACCGACCTTTTCCTTTAAAGTTTACTGACACATTGTTATTGATTGTTGTTTGCTTTACGTCCAGTGGCAAATAGTTCATGCATGTTTAGGACGATACTGAACCATTGAAGCGTACAATAAGGAAAAGACAATGTTGAAATGACATGTCTGACGGCCCTTTTCAAATACAACCTACCTATATACTTACAAATACTTACAATTCTTGACCTAGTATGCACAGATATATACCGATGAACTAGCTTAATCGGAAAAACATAACCTTATTACTTATCAAATGATGAGATCAAGGAATTTTGCTATGCTCTTAGGACTTCGACGAGTAAGCGAGACAGTTAAACAACTGATCAGATTGCAAAAACATGCATGGCACAATGACTAAATTCTCGTTAAGGAATAAAAGGAGTATGATATATACGGTATACGTCAATGAGACAGCAACACAACAACTAACAACAACCAAATGACATCTTATTTACTACACTTTTATAAATGACATATTATCCTTCTACAACCTCTTATCTAGTTGCTTCATTATAGCAAGGATGGGTATAGTCTTAGAAGAAAATGAAACCACAGGTGAATGAATGAAACGTTGAACCTCTTCGCTTATTCCATCGGAGGTTGGGCCAAAGAAAAAGTATGTCGTCATGATATTTTAATATACGTTAGTGTTTATAATTATTTTAAATATAATATTGAATATCAAAATTTGTACACAGGGCGTACTATTTATGGCATCGTAAACATAAATCTAACTTCAAAACAAAGGTATCATTTAACATACGAGATTTTATTAAATTTACAGATATTAAAAAAATTTATAATTCATATTAGAAAATATGTTACATTCGGATATTTGTCATATACAATAAAAATAAATTGAACTGTTGACATTAAGAAATTACTAGCAAGCCCTATTATACAAATGAAGTTTGGACTTTTGTAGTGAATCGAAAAATCATGCTTGCTAGATGACAGTGATATGAGACCTTAAATATATTTGATTTACATTAAAATCCTTCATCATTTCTAATTTAAAAAGATATTGATATTTAAAAAGACTGAATCATTCAGATTTTCGAAATTCAATTGCAGTGAAATTTTCCTTTTGTACACATTTATAGAAAAGCTTATAACTTTCAAACATATTCTATCATTTTATGTACATGTATATTATAACATCCAAATTTTAGATTTAAGCAGATTCATGATTTAGTTTGCATAGTTAACAAAATACAGAAAACGAAACAAATAACAGTCATTATAAACGCGAAAATGGAATGTATTAATACATATACATATATATATATTTATTTAATGTATACATGGAGAAATGTTTTATCAATGTAGTTATTTTGATGTCTGGAAAGACTAGAATTATTAATACATTGCCCATTGTTGACTTTGGTCTGGTTGTTGACCAGCATCTTCAAATGTCGGCTGAATATATCCAGATGAAGCCCCGGATGAAGATGATTCCGAATCCGATTCTGAATCAAAACTACTGTTGTCGCTAGGTCTCTCTGTTCCAAAATTTATTACTCCAGTAACGGTTTCATATTGTAGGGATTTCTTCTCACTATCGGATTTTCTTTTGCTACTTTTTCGTTTTCCTTTTTTATCACTAATAACTTGCTTGCTGTATTCGTAAGAGGGTGGACCGTGTGATGGCATTTGAATCACACGTTCAATTATTTCTCCTTCAGGCATTGACCCTCTTACAATTTGAGATCCACTCACTGGTCTACCGTGAACGCTCGGTCGTTCGACAACGCGAGTTACGGTAGGATAAGCATGTCTCTCTCGTACTACGGTAGGTCTTTCGACCATTTTTGTTACGATTGGTTGGTCATGCTGGATGTTTCGAATGACAGGTTTTTCAACTACCTTAGTTGAAGTCGGGTATTTATGAAGCTCTTTTGCGACAAATGATCGTTCCTGAACATTGGTCACAATTGGCTCGGCATGTTCAACTGTTCTAATAAGTGGCTGTTGTACAACCTTTGTTGACGTTGGATATTTATGTAGTTCCTTCATAACTACAGGCCTCTCCTGATAATCAGTAACAAGCGGTTCCCTGTGCTCAATTGTTTTAATGACGGGTTTTTCGACTACTCTGGTAGCCGTTGGGTATCTGTGAACCTCTCCAGTAACGACTTCCTTCTGTTGGACCTCTGTAACTAAAGGTTCGTCATGTTCTACTGTTCTGATTACAGGTTTTTCTACTACTTTCCTAGAAGTTGGATATTTATGAAGTTCCTTTGTGATCACCTGTCTTTCTTGGAATTCTGTTACTATTGGTTGATCATACTCTACTTCTTTTACGACAGGAACGTCTACCATTTTGGTAACTACTTGCTCAGGGTGTGTAACTTCTGCAATAACTGGTTCTTCAACAACTTGAGTGGCAGTGGGATATTTATGAATGACTTTCACGACGACTGGTTGCTTTTCTATCTGTGTAATGATTGGTTGGTCGTGAGTAATTTCTTGTATAACTGGTATCATTTCTCTCTGAATGACTTGTTGCGGTTGTTTTCTAACCAATTGTTGTTGTGGGACTATTGGAACTATTTGTTTTTCATCATACGCAATTTCACTTGGGGAAGTCACTTGATATTTGCCATCACCGTCTTCATCTCCAAAATTGATCATTTTTCCCTAAACAAAATAAATAGTTCATCAATAATTAAAAAATCTTAAGTGGGCAAAGTCATATACCACGACATCCCCCCTCTCCGACCATGTAAAATGGAAAAAAGTTATATTGATCTGATGGCATTATTTTTTTTTCTATTTACATTAAGTTATTAGTCTTTTCAGTTAAGATTTTAGACAAAAGTATTGTGTTACACAACTATTATATAACAAATATTAGTAACTATGACCTTCACCTTAGACGTAGTGACTTAAAAATCAAAAGGAATCTTCCTCTTATTGTATGCAACCATTTATTCTAGGCTAAATCCATTGCTATATATAAGATTGATATCCAAATTTTTTAGAATAAATGGTTGCATACAAATGGTTCCCTGGTGCTAATAGCAGCAGGGAACCATTTGTCAGCACAAATTTCAGTCTAATTGTAGTAGCTTTGACCTTAACCTTTGATGTGGTGACCCCAAAATCAATAGGAATCTTCCTCTCAGAATATGTGCAATATATCTAAGCAGGTTGCAATCCAATTTGTAGTATTCGATTTAGCAACCACTTTCTGCACAAATTTCAGTCTATTATTAGTACATATATGACCTCAAAATCAATAAGGATCTCATACGTCCTCTTATGATGTGTGATCATATACCTTAGTAAGATTGCAATCCGATATAGAGAACTTGGAGTATGAATCCGGACACGAAAATTACTGATAAATGGGACAAACTCTATGTATCCCCTGCTACGTCGTAAATTGGGGTATACTAATATGTGATGTGATCAAAGAGCCACAACCTCCGTGACTCCATTTGTAAGTTAGAAAATAATGAGAAGCGTCATTCTTGCCATTTACAACAGAGTTGTGTTGTTTACAACTAGTTCACCGTACAACAAAAAGAAAAACATTCTTATAGAATAGAAACGTGTAGACATATGGAACCAAATAAATAGGGTTATGGTAGCACAATTCTATGTACAAAAAACTTGTCTTGTATCTACCGTTCAAGAAAGCACACAGTTAAATCTGACCTACCTTTTCTTCATATCGAGGTGAATCCACCATTTGTATTTGTCTATTAAAGGAAGGTCTGAAAGCAGAAATGATGAACATGACTGTTGTGCATTTGCAATAGAGTCTACTCAAATCAGTTTCAGATGTTCTGGTATGACATTTTTCGTAGTTCGGTACTTTTGTTAATACTTTTAACCCAGTGGTCAATCGAGTTTTTCTAAAACTCGTCGTTCGATCATCATATAAGCTGAAAGCTTCATATAAAACCAAACATGGTCTTATGGTTCTGGGTGAGGTCCTGTATTTTTCATCTTCGTTTTGTTCTGAAGTTTAGCTTAGCTTATCAGGAAGCATCGTTTAGATACTAGTATAAATATTCCAATAAAAAATATATCGAACTTTTTTACAGATGTTCGATAGTTTTGTCGATATTTTTGGAGTGTTTCTATGTTGCTTCCTGCCAGAAGAGTTATTCATGCGCAAAGTTGCGTCATGTTCCAACAGTGTTTAAAGGTTTTAAAACATATTTTGAGTAGGGTTGGGGCAACGAACGTTTTAAAATTGTTTGATTTTCAATTTTTCTCAAGTTTTAGTTGGTAAAGTGATGGTCTTCGGACAAAGCGGCATAATTCACGTTTAACTAAGTATGTTTTCTAGTGCTCTTTGTTACTGCTAACAATACAAAACAAAAATATAGATTAATTGATCGATTGGTGTTTAAGCCACTTTCAACACTATTGTGCTATTTCGTGGCTGTCAGTTTTTATTGGTGGAGGAAGCCGGAATGCCCACAGAGAACCACCAACCTCGGTAGGGTCAATTGAGATTGGAGTCGAACGCACCTGTCACTTGCCGGTTTCGAACTCGCAATCTAAGTGTTGACCACAGGCACTTGTCTCTGAAAATTTTGTTTCCTATATACCGTAATGTTATAATAAGGTATATAGGAATTGTTTTTCAAGACAAGTGCCTTTGGTGTTGACAGGCTAGTTATACAGTAGTTTGACTACTTAGCCCACTCGGGCACCGATGCCCCTACAAAAAAAATGAAATAAAAATAAAAAAGTGTATGTTTATGATAATCAAATCTCTGTGAAGGAAAAAGTTAGTGTAAAATTCAGAGATCTTCTTGCAAAAAAAATGCCAGGTAGGTTTAAAATTGTGCGAATGATCCTGATAGTCTTCTATTAAATCTATGAACATGTTGTAAATATGATATCACATATGAGTCGTAGTAAATAGGTTGAAGTTCTGATTACTATCAAGCATTCCCAACTAGTATAATCTCACATAAAAGTAGTGATTTTCTTAAATTCTGGATGACTGCCACGGTGGAACAAGGATTTATATATAGGTCAGGATATACGGCAATAGCCTCTTTTCAGAAATCACTTAGACAAAGTCTTTTCTTGCCACACAACAGATGATTGGTTAACTCAACATAACTTATTAATATAAGAATTGCAAATTTACGCAGACACGGGAACGATTACAAGAATTATATTTTGGAAACTACAGTTACCAAATTTTGCTGAGTATATTGTATTTATTCCTATTAAAGTTCGATAATATAGAACAATAACAAAAATCGTGAATCGATACTAAAATCTAGATCTTTTATTAGATATAAAGTCAACTTACCCAATATCATTCAAATCTGGAAAAAAAATAATGAAAATTATAATTAAAAGAAATACTCGACATAAATTAAAATTCACATTAGCATCCTTCATATATCATGAATAAAAATTGCATACATTACTTCTGTATCAATGAGCTGTTTGAAATTATTCATATGGTGTAAACAAAGTCATATATATCATGCACACAGGAAAACCTTTTGCGATAGATTTTTAAAACCCATACGTTTTATTGATTTCTATGAAACACGAAAACTTCTGTGATGTTGTTTGATATTGGTGGTCATTGCTAGTTAAGTTCGTGCATGTACATGGTGACGAAAATAAATGACAATAAAATTCCTACAAGTCCAAGAAAATATAAAAAAAACATTGTCAAATATTTCTATACTTGAGAGTCCACGACTTAAATGTGTGGAAATGTAAAATTCCATATCTGAAGAAGCTATATTATTGCATAAAGTATCTTGTGTTAAAAACTTGGCTACATAATTATTTCAAAATTAGGTTCCAATACGCCAGAAAATCTATTAAAAATGCCAACTGCATAATGGCACTATTTCATTATGTGGAAATATAATGTAAATTTTCTGTGGGTCAACTTTGATCACTTAAAAAGTGTCCACTTTTACTTGTTCAGCAGCGATTTACTGGTCTATATGTAATATTTATATATGTGAATAAATATAAACGTATATGTACATTGTCGAAAAAAATAAAATATATTTGTAAGAGCTTTAGAAATAGGACGAAAAGGTTTAGTTGTTAAAATCCAAATAGGCGTCTCTGATTTTTCGACATGGTTTAATCGCGGACCGCAAAGAGGAGGACCCCAAAATGAACTTTCATATTCACATTACCGTTTGCTCAGACGACGGAGTAACAGGATGCTTTATTTGTACAAGTACAAGTACAAATTAAGCAAAAATTTATTTGTGTACATGTTATTTGTACAATCGTTAGCTGATTGCAGGATAAAATTGAAACATTAATGTATTTCACCAGTCCATACCGGTATTCAAAATTTGCTTATATCCTGTGTGGTGATTTTTCAGGGCCGTTTTCCAACAACAAAAAAATCGGAAAAACTGCAATCGTATGCAATTTTATTCTCTATAATCCAGGATTAAAATAGCACGAACGACAAAACGACTGAATTGTATGATTGATACTATACGCTATTTGGTGTCTGATTGGGATTGTCATGTTATATTTGTTCTTATATAGTTACTGGTAATTCATTTCGTGGATTCAATTTGTCTATGATTACACGATTTTTCTGAACTTTTTATTTTTTTCCTTATATATTTGTGTGCTCATATCTAATAGTATTCTTACCTCTTAGTTGAATAGTGTCAGGGTTATACATTCTGGGGGTGTGATTATGTATTGATGAGGGCGCTTTGGAAACTCTCGAAATGACAGATTTTTCTTCTTCCAAACGTTCATGTTCAATTTCCGATCTGTCAACTTTGTGTTTTCCATGGAGCCATTGACGTTTTGGGAACCAGTCATTCCTATAATAAGAGAGTAATTTGTTTTTAATACGTGTTCATGTAGGATTTAATAATGTCTCCCATGAAATAATGTCCGCCGGTCATTTTTCATAGTAAATACGGTCCATGGACAATATTTACTTATTTTATTGTGACCCGGACACAATTTACCTATGAAAAAATGTCATAAGCTGTGAAAAAGTGTCCATGTTATCACTGGACACTTTCTACCATTTTTGGACCTCGAACAGTAAATGTAGTAATGTAGGATTTAATAATGTCCCCCAATGAAATAATGTACAACTCCATCACATTCTTTTGTGCCTATACGTAATCAATTTTGATGACTTTTGTATTACTTCGATCCCTTGGAGGACATTATTATGAAATAGTGTCCTGTGGGAAGACACTATTTCATAACTGTTGCTGTGAAAATTTGATTTTATAATTTTGACATTTTCTTCGACGTGTTCACCTTACATTTTCATTGAACTTTTCAAGGTATCTTTTAAATTAGATAGTTGTAAAGTTGTTGGTATTCACTGCCATCCATCTTTTATATTTAAATTCATCTATTTCTAAAACAATTTTCTTAATAAATTAAAATTCAAGTATAATAAAACTTCGATGACCTTTGTATTACTTCCCTTGGAGGACATAATTTAATATCAGCGGCTATACAATATTGTCCTGTGGGAGGACACTATATTTCATAACTGTTATATTCTGTCCACTAAAGAGACGAAATTTCATGGCAATAGACATTATTTAATACTTTAATTCTGTGAAAAAACTGTCCAGGCGGACATTTTTTTACAGGACACTATTATGTCTTACACTTATATTGCAACTTATAAAAATGGTGAATCGGAATCTATTTTGTTTTACATCGATATCTTGTCAAAATAATCCCTTACTCATACTTTAAAATGCCATGTACTGTCTATGATAGTTGCTGTCGCAAAAAACGTTTCGAGTTTAACTGCCAACGTGTTTTACAAAAACTCATCTTTAGATGTCACATATGGAGCTAACTTATCATGACTTGTGAAGTTTGCCTTGCAAGCCTTCGAGTTACAGTCTTTAGTGGTAGAGAGCTGAAAGTGTTATAATTTTTACCCTACAATTTCTAAATAAATAAATCGCCTCAGTGGCCTCAAGATATATGAAATGTGTTCGCCTCGAAATCGGGAAATCGTGGGTTCGATCAGCACCAAGGGACGATGCTATTAAAATGACTTGCCCAAATGAACATATGAGGAATGAATCTTTAGTGCAATAAATTAAAATTTATTTTAAAATATATGGACACTTGTGTTTAACCCGATCACCAAAAATTAAAGATATATTCACAGTGATTTCTAAATTTCAAATTAAGTTGGGAGTAAGATTGCGTGTTACGTTTCTCACACACTTTATCACTAAACTTACCACACAATTCCCAGCATACACACTACTAAAGCACCAATCAAAATAAAGAAAGCCATAACAGCAGCTACCACTAAACCAACTAGTGGATCAGGATTTGACTCAGCCATCACATCTGTTAAAAAATGTTAGCATATCAAATAAATGAAGACATTTAACTTTACCCTCACCAAAATTATTGGCAAAAAAAATTCTCTTTAGTAATTTTTGTTTTTTGTTTGTTTGTTTGTTTGTTATTGGTTTTCTTTATTGTGAGTATTATTATTATATTGTATCAGATATGAACTCCACAAATCATCAAAGAAATTAATTGTTTGTTTGTTTGTATGTTTATTGGTGTTAAACGACAGTTTCTGATCAGTTTTTCTTTTCTATATCATGGTGGCAGGTTTTGTTTTAATTGAAGGAAGCCTGAGTATCCGGAGAGAATAACCTATATTTGGCAGGACTGGCAATCCTTGTCAAAAATATCGGAGTCTACGAATACGAATACGAAAGTTTTATTTTGATTCGGTTCACATATAACAATACAAACATAAACTCTTAAGAGCATTTTACCGAATATAAGGTAACACAAACACAACATTAAAACACACAACATGCAGACAGGATATATAACAGCACAGTCATATCGAAATACATGCAAAGCACTTTTAAAATACATATCTAAAGCCAAAGCTGAAGCACAACTAAAAATTAAGCACAACTAAAATTAAGCACAAATAAAATATAGCACACATGCAAAAATTTAAGGCATAATAACATGTTAGAGCAACTTCTAAAATATGATAAAGCTTATCTACAAGCAGAACAACAACATTTTGAACCATTCCAAGACTGTATAAGGCTCTTAAATTGAGAAAAACTGTTTTCAGTCCTGAAATGGTCAGGTAGGCTGTTCGAGTCTAACGCATCTCGACACGAGCGGGGTTCCAACTCACAACCTTATTGCTGACAGGCTAGTTAACACTAGGTTAAATATTTAGCCCCCTTGGCCCTTTTAAGGGGATACCCAACAATTTGATCAAAATACATTTAGCTCGTTTATTTTTCATAAAATTTTGTGACAAAATATTTACTTTGACCTGTTGACAAAAATGTAATAGTTTCAGTTTCAAGAAATTCGAACCACACAATTTACAGGAATGATTTCATTGGATATATTATAGTTGTTTGACTAAAACTAATTTGATCATTTTGATAGTTTGATTTCTCTTCACTAATGGAGTGTGGTTAAAACGTTCAGTTGATTTGAAAGAGTTAACTCCCTTCGGTGTTCTGTAACCCAATAATTATTTTGAAATATTATAAATTTCTAATAATCTAGCTTTTTGTAATGGAATCACGCTATCAAACGGCGTAAAGAAAGTTCCTCAGAAAACAGATAAGACATGCAAACATTAAAATAATTCGTCATAGACTAATATTATAGCCAAGGTGTTGAAAAATCCGTCAATTCCTTTGATTTACATGATAAAATATATATTTGGAATCTGCAAGCCATGCACAGTAAAAACCAATCAAACGCTTATAACTAATTTTTTTGAAAAAAGGGGTGTCGGAAAACTGAGACTAATATAACACTATGTGATATAAGTAGTCTCAGGGGGAAATAAAATAAAAAAATAAGCGCATGAGTCGCAAACTTTGTATAAAATAACTATTAAGGGCATACGATACAGTTACAGGGGAGGTAATGACGTTGCCAACGTAAAATGTTATTTTTCGCGACGTCAAACTGCGACATATCGGGAAAAGATGCATTTTTTGACTTATTTTTATTATTCAGACTGATATAACATGAAAACGAGTTCATGGACACCTCTTTCTTAAAATGAGATTAGGATTGATTACGTATGAAGCCATTGTACCAATTTTTATGAAAAAGTCACCGATGAGATTTTTTAAAATTAGATAAGTATACAGCAAAAAATTCCGTTTTTTTCCTAAAATCCTGAAACTTTGATAAAAATTAATTATTTCCAAGGAATCGGTTATAAAAATTTAGAGTATACGTATGTAAAGGAGAATTTCCAAATGTTTTTACAAAAATCCTATTGTGTTTATCTTTTGAAACAAAAAAGTTAGGTATGTCTATCCAAAGGATAGAAATGTTCAAAAAAACGAAATTTTGAGTAAATATCTAAAATTTCGACCCCATTTATCTCTTAAAGTAGCACATGAAGGTATTATTTTTTATTACATATTTGCAGTGACTAGGTGAAAAATAGCTTGTATGCAAATTTTCGTAAAAAAATCACCGTGGGATCAAAACTGTTACGTATGCCCTTAATTCGAAGACAACGTAAAATATATGTGTAGTTTCATTTGATAATACGCTAGCAACGTAAAAAGATAATGTATTTGTGATACAAACAGATAAATGGGTATACATTTTGCAAAGTGATTACAATAATTGTACATATTTATTTTTCAATAATAGAAATATATAATAATACAGCAAAATCTTGAATCTAAGTACCGTTAAATGCAAACATTTATTTTTAAATTTAGCAATATTTAAATTGAAAATTAAACACATATACTGAATCACCTTGAAAATCAAAAACCGGTTACTACCTTTAAAGGTTTGTAATGGTACGCCCATACATTGGAACCGCTGAAGTGAAACAAATCGACTATTTTTGAGGGAAAATCTCAAAATGGTCAATATATTAGCTTCAACTTTTAATCTCTTTATTATCAAAATCACAAAGGGTGTTCATCCTTCATAAAGGAGATAAATGTCACATTCCTTTAATAAGTGAAAGAATGACAGAAAGTGTAAACCTACATATTTTCTTGCATCCAATCTTTATTTTGATATCACATCAAAATGTCATTGAAAGGATGGGCCGAATAAACGAAGATTTTATTAGAACAAATTACCCAAAGTTCATAAATAGATTGTTAAACACTCAGTCTGTATAGAGATGCGTGGAATTATTGAATATCATAGTTTTACAAATATACACGAGCTTCGTAGAAATAATATTTGCCACTGGACGTTAAGCAACCAACAATCAATCAATGGTAGAAATAACAATTAAAAAGTCACAAACATTGAGCTACAATTTTTTTTTGGAATAGAAATGAAATTTGATAAAAGACCATTGATAAAAGACCAAATTTATTTGATTGTTTCTTAAAAATGTGTAATTTCGAGAGAGAAAAAAGTATAGAATACTAAAAGAAGCAAATGACAGAAAAACAGTACTACATGATGCACATATATAACAATAACAGAAATATTTTATCCCTGTGATATATCCCATACTTGTGTTCTACTTGATAAACTAATTTAAAAAAGCTAATTTTGGTAAATCAAGAAAATAATGTAAATGCTGTATTCTTCGAGGCCATAATTATTTCGAGGCAGCCCTAGCGGTTGATATCTTTTGAAAAGTGTCAAGTGACATTCTATCTGTAAAATTACAGTCATTAATTTTCTTCTATTTTCATCTTGTATTTTTGGTATAGAATGACACTGTCGTATACAATATTACTATACACCTATATATAGCTGCAACAATACAATGGAAAATAACAGGTCCTATAGATATCCCAACAAGTTCCATTTAGAAAAAAGAAAGAGTCGTGCATACCAGGACTATAAATGAGAATCAGACATGAATTCTCAGAAATGAAAATAGATATAGATAGATAATGTGTGAAAGTTTTGATATTTTAGCAAATCGATGTGGTGCAGAACACAATATTAAACATTCAACCCATGAACAAGTCCAAAATATTATCTCTAAACAATGCCATTATTAATTCAAAAAGGTTAACAGCATATCTGTTCACCCTTGACTTACCTGGTAAAGTAAGTAAAATCAATACACAAGAAAGAAAATTAGCTGATGCCATTTTGATTTCGATTTCAAGTCAATACGTCCCAGGTAATCTATTCCCAATAAATGTACATTTCACTGCCACTAGTTTCCTAAAGGATAATGTCCTGTCTCGAAGAATTTGATGTGAAAGACCAGCAGGAAGTTACACCCAGTTTTCAACTGTCCATTCTATCACGGTGACGAGTTTTAACACAATATACCCGTATATTTAACCCGAAACCAATTATTCGTTCTATTGTTGTCCATTAGGGAACATCTCAAACTACTTTTAAAGGCTATTAAATATAAGTTGGTTCAATTTCTTCCGGCTATTTGGCTATTTGATTTAAATATATAGTAATTTAAAGTTAAGAAAAATACCATTAGTAAACATAGATGTTCCTTTATGTATCAAGTATCTCAGTTAGATGGTTATCTAATTGCTTTTCAACTCAAGTCATCATTAATTACATGGTATATGCATATTTGATATAATTACATGTTACATGTACATAGTATATGCATATTTGATATAATTACATGTTACATGTACATGAGCATATATATATATAATTACATTTTACAATACATGTTATATTTCTAATACAATATCAAATATACAAAATAATTTTATTAACACAAAATTGATACGAAGTATGTTAGCAAAGTCACAATTTAACTTTTTTACAACAAAAAAAATGATCTCAATTATATGGTCCGCGATCACGTTAGACGGGAAACGCCTGCTTTGGGATAGGTTTTTAAGTTTATAGATTTACAAGTCATTTTATCCATTTAACTCATAATTATATGGGTTTGTGTTCTGACATATGATACTTTCTATTTATACTTTATCCAGTATAATATGTTCAATAGAGATGAAGGGCTGGTAAAACATAACTGATTCGAGAATTGAAAGTTGCATTCGTTCATATATATAAATATACATATACACCAGGCCTACGTTTGTGTATATATTGCATATCATAATACATAAACACATTTTATGGAACATAGAACCGGGGGGTTCCGGTTATTATAACTCAAAATAGGTCCAAGACCTAAACTGACTCTCAATTGAAATACAGATTAAGTACATTGTATATAATACATGTTATTGTTACAGTATCTATAGAAAGGGATAAGTGTCCAACGAATTAACTTGTTATCGTCAAGGTGATTTCAAATACGCAGACAAACATTTTAACAATAGAATTGATTAAGCACATAGAAATGTAAAATATTAGATTTACGAATAAATTGTCACTTTGGAACTTAAAATAAGTCTGAAGTTTATTTCTTATATACAAATGTCCAAATCTTCCGGGTTATGAATACACAATTCCAGTACAAGCATGTCCAATAATTTACTAGATATAAGCTTATCCACATGTAATATGATGATACATCCACAAACATTGTCGTCAAGATATATTGATGAATGCATGCAATTGATAAAAAAGAAGAAATATAGCCGCCCAAAGTCTTTTAATTTATCATATACATTGATTGGTTGATACAACAAATTCAGAGCATCATCCGCTGCTCTTCATACAGAAGACCAGCGGTTTGCATTGATTGAAGACAGCGGAGCCCTGATAGAAGTTTTCGTACAAGGTAAAATACCATCTTTGAGGTATAGATTGGTGGGTCTAACTTTTTAAAGGCAATTAGCTACAAATGATCCGAGTCTGGATTTTTTCAGAAATGATATTTATTTATGAGAATGAAGATATTAATACGATTTTATCTTATGGTGACAACTTTTTTGTTACAAAAAAAATGTTTCATCGATTCCAAATTTTAAAATGTTGTTTTATCAGGAGAGATAACTCAAAAAATGTTGTTTCATGAAGGAAAATAAATTTACAATAAATTTGCCTATTTTGTTTTGTATCAAAATACGAGTAGGGTGACCATTTTTTTATTTTTATTTTTTGAAAGGACTTTATATGTGCCATCTTCTCATATTTGATTTCAAAATTTTTTTTTTTAGCTTTTTGTCTATAAAACTTACAAAATCTAACAATTTTTCACTATCTTTAGTTGATTTCAAAAGTTACCTCAAAGTCAACACGTAATTGTGACGAGCGCATGCATTAAGAATAGAATTTTATTGTAACCTTCATTTTCATACAACCCTTAGTCTGCAAGGCTTTTTTGTTGTATTTATTTGATACTCGTGAATACATATCAATAAATAAAACATGCACAGTATTTCCAAATGTTCATTGCATGCAGGATGTTATCTAGGGTCTAAATTCCATACTTTGACCTATATTTTTATCAGTTCCTTATCACATTAATCCCTAAATATGGCAATTTTGTTTACATCATTAGTTTGTTGTGTTCTTGTTATTTCAATATATCTAGGTAAGACCTTGAAATTTTTTCACTTAGCAATTTTTTTTGCACATCTGGTATATACTTTGCGTAAGGAATCAGTTATATATGGAGGTATAAAGAGGGTCTAGATGGGGTCTACAGAATAGAGAATAATGGGTAAAATAAATAAAGAATAGAGAAATAAAGGACCACTTATCCAGACCCTCTATTATACTAACATGGTTGAATTGCAGGTAGTGAAGAAACTAATGCACAGAAATCATCAGGTTTTAACTTGGTACAGGTGGCTTAAAAAACTAGGAGGAACGATAAAAAATTGTGTTATATCTGTTCATCAGTCTAGTTTGTAATGACATGAATATATTTTTTTTTTGTCTCCTGTTTCTCCGCTTTCATATTGAACCAATGGTAGGGTAAATATTTCATTTTGAGAGACAGTTCATTTTGGGATCCTTTTAGCGGTCCGCGTTTGAACTATGTTGGTTTCTTTGAAAAATTTGAGACAACTACTTAGATCTAAACAACTAAACCTTTAAAAAAGTGTAGGGTATACATTGTAGTAGGATAAAAACAATATATTTACATTGTCGGAAATTTTTTTAAAATGCACTCGCTACACCACAGGAGAAAAGCTCGGCAATCCTCGCTTTTCGTCCAATTTCTAAAGCTGGTACAAACCAATTTTCATATTTTCCGACAATGTACATATATTGTATATATATCCCCAGGCAGAGATGGCCTGATTATGTTTCCTATGCTATTCAACTTTGTAATTAATTTGGCCTTCCAACTTTTTAGATTCGAGTGTAACTTACTATTCTTTAGGGACTTATCATTTTTTACCTGGGAAGGGAGGTCAAGTTTTTTTCTGTGAGTGGAAAAGGGGGGTTTAATTTTTTTTATAAATTCAAAGTGGGGGGATCAATTTTATCTCTAATGAAACATTTATGAACTTTTGAATCTTCAAGTATATCCTACATATCATGTGTGTCTACGGCGTGTTTTGCATGTTAAAATTTTGGCATGTTTAATAGAGGGGGGATCACATTTTTTTAAAATGTTTTAAGGAGGGGATAAAATAAAAATAGTGATATATTATGGGGGGACCAAGAAAATTTTATATGTTTGATTTCAAAATGATCAGCCCCCCTCCCAGGTAAAAAATGATAAGTCCCTTATGTACACAAACCGTGTGTTTGGTGTAATATAAGCATAATGTCTAGTGAATTCTTATACAATCATCATGTAGTACTATTTTTCTAAGTTAACAGATTTGATATGTTAATTTTTAAATCCCACAGTCTATTACTTTAATCCTTTTAAAAGAATGTTAAATTTATGTTTTTCGTTATTCGAACATTAGACACTAAGCCTTGTAAAATGTGTAAAATTGATTTTTTTTTCAGATAAAGTAGAAAGCGAATGTGGTATTTCAGATAAGTTGCACTTGAGTCAACACAGAATTGTGGGAGGACAAGAGGCACAACCAGGATCTATACCATGGATAGTAAGAACAAGTTATAAGCCATTTTTTAGATGTAAAGAGGATTTTACTAGCACCAAATATGAATAGCTAGGGTTTCTTAAAGATTATGAGTTTCAGCTGACCTAGTAAATCGAGCCAACATGAGCTATTGCAATCGTTGTTTCTCTTTAAATCAGATAAATTTAACATTTTCAAAGGTGGGTCCAAAGTTTTTAACATTTAATGTTTTCTCCTCTGAAATAAAAAGACAAAACTTTTAAGCTTTATATGAATTATTATTTGAAGATAGAGCTTTTTAGACTTTTTTATATTTCATGGTCATCTGGTTGACATGTATGAAAAAGGAATGTAAACATTTGTTATCATGTTTGAGTCTAAATTAAACCCTTTAAGATGTTTGCTTTGTTCTAAAAATCTCTTGCGTTGAAAGGATACTTTATTGTTATTCGTGCTAATATGTAGTTGAACAAGTTATTGTTTGATACACATATGGCTTTTGTTGGTGGAAAATATCATGCCTTTGACACGTGTTTAAAAAGATGCATAAGACATGTCAGAAATATAGGCTTCCTGGAGTTTCTAATTTTGTTGTTTGAAAAACATAATAAAACGTTTCTGTTGTCATTCGTTAAAATGGAAATTTAAGTATGTGAATGAAAGGATATACGAATAAACATTCCAATCATAGTTTCCTTTCATTTTGTGCTACAAATTTATCAACAATGTATGATGTGAGATGGATGAACATTGACCCAGTCATCTTGAACGTTACCGTTTCGTCTCACTGATTTCCACTAAAGCTGTACAAAAATCACGGTACATTTGACCCCACTTTTCATTTAAAAAAGAAACGAGACAAAAGTGAACGTTAATCATAAAATACGTTAGAAATTATCTTACTTTTCTGTGTGTTTAAAGGGATTTGAAAAGCGGAACTAACTAAAAACTTGACTTCAGGGTGTTTTGTTACAAACATTCGATAAAGGTTTGACAAAGTTATAGATATATTATATCATGCATATCAGAAGTTCATTACTAGGGTAACATTTAGCCACACACAGCTTGTAAGTTGTAAGTGTGAATAGCAAAACTAAGTTTATCTATCATTAAAAATTATAGAACAATGAAAAAATATGTATTCTAAATATCTTCTGTGCGAGTTTTATATAAAGGTTTGAAAAAGTTATTGATGTTTAAAAAGCTTTAACCCCATTCTGTATCTTAATGTTAACTGCAACCAACTAAGTCCATTTATCAGTAAAATACGGGAAAATTAAGATAGAAGTTGTTGTTTTAGATACTGTCTCTTTAATCATGGAGTACATTCTGTCCAAGTTTTGCAAAATTCTATGAAGTTTTGACATGGCTGTTAATGTCTTTAAAAACTTATCTTCCCCCTGAAATGACTTCGACGACGACATAATGTGTAGGATTGCTATCATTATATCTAGCCTTCTAGCTGATTCGACTTTCATTACAGACGAGACAAAAAACATACGACATGGATAAAAATTGCTTTTCTGCAGTTTTAATACAAAATATAGCAATATAAAGATGGTGGTCAAAGAAAGACAAAATATCATATTTTTCGACGTTTTATTTTATTATAAATACAAAATGGCCATTAATTCTCTATACTGGAGATTTTCTTAAACCAGACATTGTTATGACGTAACGCACAACATTATAGCTTTTTTACTATTGAAATAAACCATCGATATTGATAACATACAACCTGGTTTGATATTAGAGCAGATAGCCTTTAGCTAATTCATTGCCGTTATAATCTTACGTATCAAAAGTCGCTACAAAGCTTCCATTCCAATATGGTAAAATCTTGTTGCTCGTTCAGAATATACATGTAGTTATGTATGTAGGCAAGGCTATATGTGGTTGACTAACCGTTTGTGTTAATGTTCCTGTAGCTTGCAGTGTCAATGTCGGTCATTTAATGACAGTTGTTTTGTTAGAATTTTTTATACGAAGTTACAATACGACATTATGGACAATGCCCAAAAGTAAGTGTAGAGAGATAAACATACCAAGTATGACTATTTGTGACGTCAAACATTAAATTATATTCTTCTGTTTGGAGATTTCCACATTCAACAGTGCATTTGCAAATAAACTCGAAGACAATTTATGGCTGTAATTCGATAACAACATGTATATTCGTAAATGTATCTAAATTGTTTCAGTTTTAGCATCATAGATGTATTTTAATGTCGTTAGGTGATGCTGACCGAACTTGGAGATCACGTATGTGGGGGAAGTATTATTGGAGACCGATTGATATTAACTGCTGCACACTGTTTTGAAGAGTAAGTAAGTACCTTTTGACCCTATTTGTGGTAAAAGTTGCAATTCATTGATTTGTACTGAAGAAGCAAAAAAACGTCAGAGCAAAAATAATAAAGAGACATTAAAAAAATTAAAAACCAATTGTTCAGAGAACAATTGAATGTCTTTCCACTGCATTTTAAAAATTTATTGAAAAGAAGCTAGTTCGTGTTTACTCAAAGTTAAAATTGGCATCTTATCATCAGTTTCTTTATACTGAGGCAATAAATAAGTGGTTTCTATATACTTCTGAGTGAAATAAGGGAGATAATTAGCTACTTCCGGCGAAGTAAATGTCACTTCCGGTCTCATATAATAGTTTCTTTCACACTGATTCCAAAAATATATAGTTTCTATATACTTTTGCTTGTAAACCAGGAGATAATTGGCCACTTCCGGTTAATCGAAAGTCATTTCTAGTCTTCAGTGATAAGTTAATGTATTAAAATTACAAAATATATGGATTCCGAGTACTTTTCCATAAAGAAAGTGCAAAAATGGCTACTTCCGGTTTTCTCAAGGTCACTTCCGGTTGTCATTTTTCAAGCTCATATGTCATCCAACCTTTTGTAAAAGGTCATATGGTTTTATAATGAACCAAGTTGAATTAATAATCAATTAACCTTATAATTGGACATTTCAGGGGCACTTACTCCTATAAGATGCCATTAGATTGTTTCAGACCAAATGTAACATATCTTCATTACAATAAAGCAAACACTTTGCACATGTTGTTTTATATATATCTTTTAAAGTGTTTGAGAAAATGCAAAAACAAGGAAAAGTCAAAATTGAGAACTTGACCTTGACCTTTGACCTTGACCTCATTTTCTAAGTAAGGACCTAGGGACCTCAAATAAAAAGATTCCAGGGTTATACGGTTAACGGTTTATGAGTTAAAAAAACATACCGACAAATTTATTTGGTAAAGGTAGATAACTCCTTTAAAATTTCATCGAATCGCTTCGATCCAAATTAGCCAAAAATTCCTGAGGATGTAACGAACAATTTAGAAAAAAACTTTTGTCGATATCTTTTTTTGTTACGAAGGAGATGCACACACTTGATAAACAGTGAATAGGGAGATAACTCTTACAAAGAAAATTGTTCGGCTTAGAATGGGTGAAAATAAAAAGTGCAAAACTGTATGATACTATATAAGAAATATCTTAGCGACGTATTGCGAAATAAAAAATTTACGCGATAACAAAATTTGGCGGAAGAAAAAAATAATAATCAGAACAAATACAATAGGTCTTTCCACAGAAAAGTGGAAAGACCTAATTAGTTTTCATTTTATCAAAATGCTTGTATTATATAAGAGACGTGTAACTTCTAATTCTTAGCGATTTCATTATTAGCGAACAAGAAATAAAAAGTCTGATCTGTCAGCAAGCTTGAAAGGTTTGATATTCGGTAAAAGTCATAATTCATAAATCAGAACGTTGGATTTTTCGTTTGGATTGTTTTATATTTTGCTCATTGTTGAAGGCCATATACACGATAACTTCTGATTGTTTTAATGGCTTCATTTGGATCCTGTAGGATAGTTATCTCATTGACAATCACAGTACCACATCTCCTTATTTTCTATGGACTGATTACAAAAACAAATCAAAGCTTTTGAAAGTCAGAAAGTCGTGCGTTCATTCCAAACTTGACCAATCCTTAGACTTGAAAATTGGTATTGGCAAAGACCTTTGGCATAGAGTAATATGTCTACATGTGGACTGTTCGTTTGGCACCTAAACATTCCAGCTCAGTGAATCAATCTAGTACCTTGACATCTTGTTATCCTGATATGCATGTAATACTTGCCACTGGACGTCAAACATAAATCGATTATCATCAATATCTTATAGCAATTTGTGAAGTAAAGCCTCTGTCATTTCTCTTTCAGTAGGGCTAGTTTATCCGTAGGAAGATGGAAAGTTATTGCTGGGAAACATAATGTTGACAAAACCGACCCACATCAGAGAGAGTTTTCTGTACAAAAAATTATCATGCATTCGGCTTACGATTCACACACTGTTGCGAATGACTTGGCTATACTAGTTTTGCAGGACAGAATAATTTACGACGAGTTTATTAAGCCTGCCTGCCTACCAGATGGTCAAAACTATAACGTAGGACAACACTGTATAACTGCAGGATGGGGAGATACCCAAGGTAAAACTTTGTGTTAAACATCATTTTATTCCAAGCAAAATAAGAATTTTAATATATCAAGAATAATACCTGGTGACACATATCTAAAATCAACATTCCTTCTTTTTTTTAGTTTTTCTAGTTTTAATTAATACTGTGTAAATGTCATTACTACTTATAACTACATCTTTTTTTATATTTGCATTCATTGCTCTTAGTTCAAATTTAAGAAAACATCCTGTATGATTCGTTAATGACTTTTTTATTATGGTATTAACATTAAGATTTACGGTTAAAAAATTCTAAAATGATATATTTGTTTTCACTATTGAAATAAGATACATCAGTGAGTACTATTGATCAAACTTAAAAGGAACATATTTTCTAAAGCATAATTTTACATAAAAACCTTTGGGTTAGTGCTTATTATGTCGGATTTCGAAAATGAAATAACGCTTTATAAACTTTGTATGTTCGAAACGCTTTCTAGATTTACCTTCGGAAACACTTAAATCCAAATATTTGAAAGCTTAGTTTCTTAATAATTTCCAAATTTACCAACGGAAAATTGTATGTTGTAATTCATGTCGGTGGCGAAGCACTGACTATTGGACTGATAATACACTCGGGGGACAAACAGAACGCCACCAGCGATATCCACCCAGTGTAGATATTATATAAATAACACATAGCTGAGAGGGTGATAGAGCAAATTGTTAACCCGAGAAAACATTGTCAACCGAGGCGAAGCTTTGCTTTTTTGACGGGTAACGAACCATCTGCTCTATCACCCTCTCAACTATGTGTTATTAATATAGTATACTGAATGTTCTTTCATTATTGTCTTTTTAAAAAATGTAAATTGAAAGTAATTGCATGACTATGACGTCATGTACTTATCAACATTACAGTTATTAGAAAAACAAAAAAAGTGATGCTAGATGTATTTATTTGTGTTGACAGTCTTTATATGAAATTCTAATATGACGTTCTTATTACGCTTTGTAAACAAAGCCGTGTTCTAATTAGCACAAAATATGTGTTTGACAGATGCGCACAACTTATTGTTTACATTCTTGTTAATTTCATTTTTTATCCTAATAGAATATATATAGTTTAGCTGCTTACATAAGATTTTATTATATATTGTTATTAAACATCATATTTTTACCCTGAAATTAGTTTTTAAACTATCAAATATGAAAATGTAATGTACATAATTCATGGGGAGGAAACGGGAATAGCAAAACAATCCTGGGGTATTTTTGTACGCTTCGACCTATAAAAATACCGTATTTGTCTTACTAGAATCGAAATAATTCCTTCATGTCATGCTAACGCTCAGTGTAAAATATCGACAAATATAATGCCTACCCATGTTAAAATGAGCATAGAGCATAACATGAAGGAATTATTTCTTAAAAGGTCTGAGGCCGAAACGTAGAACTTGAGCATTGTCAGATTATTGATATGATTCAATTCAATGTCCTTTAAACAGCGATTTTTTATTTGTCTGCACGAGAGGGTGACATTCAAAAAATTGTCTCCCGGTGAGACATGGGATAGAGTAAATTGTCTCCCTCGTATCAACCAATACAAATCTAGCATATAAACGTGAATTGTAATAATATAATATATGACCTCATGTGATTGAAACCAATAAAAACAAGATATACGGGCGAAATAATGATAATTGAACGACTTGTACTACATGTATTGGTGAATCATGAATTTTATTATCTGACTATAAAAAAAAATCTCTTTTTCTCATTGGCTAAAAACTAAGGGAATCTTCCTTGATAAACCATTATATTCACCGCGGAAAAATCATGAGAGGTTAATATAAGATTTGGAACAGCAAACGTATACCTAAATATAGTTGTTTCAAAACAACGTCAAATACGTAGGTTTACGACGTCTTGCAAACTCTCATTTTTCTTTTTGTTTTCAGTGTAATTTTTTTTAATACATTTTCTTGTACATTTCAACTAATAAAAGTGAGCAACTGCAAAATCAGGTTATAATTTAGTATAAAAGCAAAGAACAGTTACATATCTTGAGGAAGTACTGGAAAATCGGAGGAGGACAATAAAGAGTCATATAATAAAACAATTATTGACTTTTAATATCGGTTGATACAATGACTTTGAAAATCATATGGTGTACAGAAAGGTAATGAACGATATGATACGACTACGATTCGATACATTCGTCATTTATAGGTGTACTGATCTTCGTTTCTTAAAAAATGGTTCTGATAGTTTTCGCGACATCAAGTGTTTTATTGTGCTTTCGTCTATTTGCTGTAATATGGTCTATTATGTACATTCAAAACTTTTCAACAGCTACAGGGAACTTTGATGTTCTGAATCAAGTAGAATTAGCGATCATCTCTGACAGTTTATGTGTTAGACGAGACTGGTATGGAAGTGATTTCATCCCGCGAACTACATTCTGTGCAGGCTATTCTCAAGGTGGAAAAGATAGTTGTGGGGTATGTTACAAACCAGTTTTAACAGATGCAGCTCAAGTATTTTATTAAACAAATTATGCAAACATCCACTTCAGAATATCCTATTATTTGATTTAGGCAAATTTACTAAAGTGATGATTTAAGCTTTCATATTGGGAACTTTCCATTTTTATGTAGCAACTTTCATGCAGCTCCTATATATGTAGTCATACAATATTCCAGAGCTCATGTTTTTTATTCTATTTTCTTTTATAGAATGTTTAGTGAAACAAGGGTTCATAGTGGTGAAGTTGAAGTCCTACATTCGAAAGTTTTACGGGCGCCATCATGACTTGGTTGACCGTTATCTGTGTCACAGATGACCACGGATATGTTCCATTTGTCGTAACCTCAATCCCGTTCTCTTTTCCTGGATTGTTACATTACCGAATTAGACTTATCCCCGAATATGTACTTGAAAATTCCCACGAGCAACACAACAGTGCCACATATGGAGCAGCAGTGTCTGCTTACCCTTCCAGAGCACATGAGATCACCCCCGGATTTTGTTGGGGTTCGTGTTCTCAGTTTTTAGGTTTCCATGTTGTGTTTTGTAGACTGTTGTTTGTCTATTCGTCTTGTTTTACATTTGTTTGAAATGGTCTTGTTGATTTTTCTTCGATTTATGCTTTTTTGTTGTCCCTTTTGGTGTATTCCTGTTTTACAGAATATTCCATGCTGATATACTATCTGGCAGTGCGGTTTTTTTTACTACAGCTTCAGACCTGTCTAGAATTTATAGAAAGACTAAATGTTGGTGCTCTTATTGTGCATACTAGTATTTCGTTTCACCTATTTAAATCATAATGTTTGACATATTTGTAGGGAGACAGTGGAGGACCTTTCACATGCAAAGTTGGAAGGAAATGGATTCAAATGGGTAAAGTTATAAACAAATATATTCAAGCACATTTATATCAAAGTAGATAGTAGAATTATAAGCGATATAATTCTTAACGTATGCCAAATGTAGTTGATATCCTCCCATTTAAGAAAATGAAAAAAGACGTGCGTGTCACTGATGCAGTGTAAAAATAGATTGCTCAAAATCCAATATTTTGTAAGAATTTTACAAGGAAAACACCAGTTTGTGAAAAAAGTAAACTTTACCATATTATTAAAAAAAAAAAAAGGCAATGGAAATAGGGGGCAGTAATTTTGTCTTCTGTTACACAACGATAGTTTATTTACAGCTCAATTAATCTTACGAGTTAATTCCCAGTACAAATTCATTCTTAATTGAAAATCCCCTGCTTTCATATTCAGAATAAAACCATAAGGAAAAACAATAAAGATGATGTTTTTACATAAATGGAACTTTTGGCAAATAAATTGCGTTTTCTAATGAAATTCAAATTCCATAGAACCAGTTTATGATGGCGATATGACTTTTACAATTATAGACTCTAAATCATATTTGCATTTCGTTCATTGTTTTTTTACATAAATCAGGCCGTTAGTTTTCTCGTTTGAATTGTTTTACATTTGTCATTTCGAGTCATTTTATAGCTGACTATGCGGTATGAGTTTTGCTTATTGTTGAACGCCGTACGGTGACCTATAGTTGTTAATTTCTGTGTCATTTGGTCTCTGGTGGAGAGTTGTCTCGTTGGCAATTATACCACATTTTCTTATTTTACATTTAAAATTAATAACGTATTGTAAAATACATACCAACAAAAAAAAGAATTCATAAGTCACTAGTTGAACCTTGTATTAGTGAAATGTTTAGCGTTTGGTATAATTCTTTTTGATTGGTTAGCGTTGAATTATATGAGGTTCTATTATTTAAATTTCATTTGTTAATATTTCTATCTCAACACGAATATAAAATAACGTTTTCCTCTTTGAAACCATGAGCCTTCAAATATTTTACGGACACAGATATTGACCGAGTTTTAGTAAACACACAGAGCAAATTCTCACACCTCAATGAAAATTCTAGCACTTGTTCGAGTGGAATGCTTTACTACATGTCGATCACGCTACAGGTAGAATGGTAGTATTAACTTTCCGGGAACTTAATTCGTTGTACCCTACTCAGGTCACCTATATCTGAACATTGTGATTGGACAAACAATACAGCATCTCCTGAACATATTTTTCTAAGCTGACGTATGAATCAAGTGTAAAAAACATGAAATAATTTGACTTATAGGTGAAAATGAGTTTTTGAGAATATTTTTAAATTTAGTATTCATGATAAATGGCCACAAAGCACTAGTGGTCTTATGTTTATGAAGATAGCAAAAAAAGAAGACGGTCATCATACATATTCAAATTTATTTCTGAATATTATAACGAAAGCACTTCAGCTAAATGTATGTGTAAGTTCTGGGTGAGTGTTAGAAAGTGATGAAAATCCAAAAAATCCGAACATTATCCCTATAGACCAGGAAAGGTGGATCACCTACAACTTTGAATTAAATAAAGACTGTTGCGGTGTATTACAATGCATTAAGTGTCATAAGCGTCAGCCATAAGCTAAGTTTTATAATTTATAATTTAATATTTTTACAATTATTTGTATATTATAGGTGTTACGAGCTGGGGAATTCTATGTGGTGCACCTAAATGGCCAGGAATATATACAGACCTTACGCTATATATAAACTGGATTCGTGACCAAGCGCAAGTTGTCGGTCTCCGATTAGATTCTTGATAATTTTGGGAAGACTAGTTTTTATGAGCAACAAGTAACTGAAATTTATTCCAATTTTCATAAAAAAGATGTTTTTTTTAACCTGGTATTTGATTACTAGTATTCAATGGGCACTACTTTTGTTTTTGGTTTGTTTTTTTTTTTTTTCGTTATTTATTTTGACACAGACTGTAACCAAAAGGTAAATTTAAAAGTAAGTTAAGTTATGCACGAAAGAAAAACGGGAGTCGTGAACATTTATTAGTCTATTTGATGATACCAACAAGATTTCAAGCAATTTTCATTTTTTCATTCAATCACCCGGATATACCTTCGTTACACGGGTTATATTAGTTGGTTTGCTAAATGCTCAACAAATTATTAACATCTGTTACATGAGCGAGTTTTAGATATATCGTAAAGTAACTTATACATTCTGATTTTGATGCGCATTTGAATTAGTGAATTTTCCTTACTTACGAATCCAATCCCAATATCAAAAATAAATCCACAGAGTGACACCTCTACCCTTGAAACAAGTATTCATCCGGGCTACTCGTTACTTTAAGGACAGCTTAGTTCAGCTTGGTTTCATAACAATTTGTTTTACACATCTTGTTTTATGAAAGGGCAAATTTTACTTAAAAAGTTAACAAACAAAAAAATGGCAAAAACAAAAACTCACTGATGCTAACATTAGTTTTTGAATGAAAACATCCCCGGTCCTCAATAACCATTGAGCATTTCTAAATATGCTTATAACAATAAAACCACTAAGGTAAGGCTTTGAATGGTTCGATTGAAGACATTTCGAAAAATGTCGGTCGTTTTGTGAACCTTGATAAAAATCTTAGTTGATAAGATCTTAAATCCTGCTCGATTTTAAGCATTCATAACTAATCACGGAATATGACGTTTCGTCGCATTTGGATATGAAAGAAAGCTAGAATACGGATGGCGGTTCAAATGTTATTGATCTAAATCTAAGAAGCGTATCTAAATCTATAAGCATATCAATTCTTAGGTGTAATGGGAGAAGGTGCGTCCACGTCTTCTGCTGTGCGCGCATCACCCCTCATATGATTCAAAGGTAATATCCAGTTCCACTTCAAGGGAGATAACTTCAAGGGAGATAACAAGATCTGCAATGATATCAAAAGGATGATAGAAGAAATATTTATAGTTTACCTCTGATAACACAAGTCATGAAAAAAATGCATAACGTGACTTGAATATGATTTGCCTGAGGTAAATTGCTAAAAACATATAACGAAAACAATCAAATCTAAGCTCGTCGTTTGCAATGTTAGAATACGTTTACTTAATTATAATGCTTTTTCATTCCTTCAACGATTAGGTTTTGAAGTCATATCCTTGGTATTCGTTATAGAAATCTAGTTATTCAATATTGACCTGAAGATGTGATTTTTCTCTCTGATGCGTGTTTCCTTGCACATATACGTGTATGATGTTCATAATTCTTTTATCTTTATCTAGTGGTTCAAGAATATTCCAATGTAAACATAAAACCGTTAGTTTTCTCATTTTACTTTTACTTTTTCAGACTGATCTTTCAATCTCTATTATTAGTAGTCTAGTTAGCTGTAATACCATATCTCCTTATTTATATATAGAAGTTTAAGATTATCACCAAACAACTTATATATATATAAGTATTGGAATACTAGTATTAAATGTCTTCTTCGTACTTTTCTTAAGGTTGTGTTTTATAGACTTTGAAATGAAGAAATGTATATGCTTCTTAAGAAACTCACAAACACTCTTTGTTGTGTGCGAAAGGTTTTGCTTTGTGGCATTTTGTTTCAAAAATTGTTCTATAAACACGCGTGTTGAGTATTAGAATTGGTTTGATACGTTTGCTCCCAATACGGTCTCTTGTTTTAAATACTACAATCTTATAAAAAGTAAAATAACAAAAATACCGAACTCAAAGGAAAATTGAAAACGAAAAGTCCTTTATCAAATGGCAAAATCAAAAGCTCAAACACATCAAACGAATGGAAAACAACTGCCATAATCCTGGAGTCGGTTTCACAAAAAAACTTACGACTAAGATTGATCGTAAGTATACTGAATTGTTAATGACTTACGATCAATCTTAGTCGAAAGTTTTTTTGTGAAACCGACTCCTGGCTTGGTACAGGCATTTCCTTTGTAGAAAATGGTATAACAATTTTAAGAACCAAAATAATTCTTCTTTTGCTACTTCGCCAAGTATAGTTTCTATGTCCTTTCAATACCACAACTGATAATGCTTCTTTCAGAAGATCTTTCACTTGATATACATAAGCGTCCGGTTACGTAATTGTCTTCAGGAGGTTTTTTTTAGTGGGGGGAAGGTAGTTTTCTCAGATCTACTAAAAGTTTTACCATCGTATCAATTGCCTTTTGTTTTGAGTGTTATTTTCGTGTATAGTGTGTGTACGAGTGATGTGGTAAAAACTCAAGTATAGGTTGAAGTTGAAACGGATATTCAATAACCAAAACACACAATAACAAATATTCTAGAAAATCGTTGGCATGATTTTATTTTGTACATTTAATAACAAACAATTATTCAACAATATTCAACAGTAAGACTATATTTTAACAACAAATTTAGATGCCTTTTTAAAAACTGTAATTTTTAACTATATACTCATTTAAGGCAGTATGTAGCTTAACTTTTTCATGAAGTGTGATGTGTGACAATCATAACTGCGGCCGCTAAAAAATAAGACAAGTTGTAATCCAGATGGAAGTCTTCAAACGAGGAACAGATGAACATATATTATGTATATTGCTTGATGAAATAGCCAGACAAAAAGATGATAGGAAAATGATTTTTTCAACTAAAATAAAGAATGCTAGGATTTTAATGTATATAGATTTATTGTAAGTAATAAATAAACCAATTCTTTTAGCTTAAAATGTTCTATTCATTTCAAGTAATATTCTTTTAGTATAGCAAACCTTTTTTGCTGATACAAAAGTATTTTTTTTCAAACATGACAGTAGTATATTGTATACGGCGTCAAAATAAAACTTTAAATTTATCAAATAATGTCCATAAATGTTCAAATTGATATCGTTCGGGAGGGAAGTCAGAGTAGTCTCATTAAATAAGTATTAGTGCTCTTCCGAATAGTACAATGTAGTTTTGAAAAATAACTAGAAAGGTGAATACTTTCAAACAGACAAGTGTTTATCTATGCTTTTTGTAATCACTCTCAGAAGTTAGCTTAAAGAGAAATGAGGAATACTTTTAGGTATGCCTCAACAACAAAAAAACACAACACAACTGTCTTTCTGATAAGCAAAAAGAAGAACAAAAAGCAATGTTCCATTCCTTGATAAAATAGAAATAACAAAATTCATGTGTTTTATAGACTTTGAACTTTTACACTGTTACATTAATCGGAAGCTAATTTCAGTTGAATAATAGTTTTTTCAGCATTAATATTTGACCTGATTGTTTTACACTTAAACTTTAATTACAACAATTATATCCTGAGTGATTGACACCGATTAATACTATAGATAAAACTTCGTTTCATAGATTTATATATTTATATATATATATATACATTGTGACCTATAAAAATAAATATATATATCACAAATACAGACATCTTAAGATAACAATATCACATAATGACATTTGACAGTACACTTAAAGTGAAGTAGATTTATGTGAACCTTCAATTGGAAGTTCCTCTTATCGTGTGGTACTTTCTATCAAAGTAGGTAAGGGTTAAAAGCTTAACAAGTGTAGTTGAATCTATTCTTAGACAAAATGTAGTTTGCATACTATTAAAAAATTGTAATAAAATGAATACGTTATAATACATGTTTTAAAGCTACAGTTAGTCCAATTTTCCCCAATTTTGAAATTGTGCAAATTTTTTATGGAAATATATACCATTATTTCATGCAGTTGATGTTTGATATTATTAGACATCTCATAGTCGACTCATATTTTTTTAAACAATTGTGATACTGCCCTTGTGCTTAGATTTTAACTACAATGTTTGCATCACAAAAGTTTAAGGTTCTCATTTTTTTAAAAAGTATCAAAACTTCGAGATCATGTTTCATGCTTTCATTTAAATTTGTTAACCTTAAAAGACGATTTTCCTCATTAAACTTCGCTACTTAATAATGAAATAGCAAAGGCTTTAGTAATATTGTATAAAACCGATTCATTGTTTTTACTTTAATGAAGAAAATCGATTATAAATGTATGTACTTAACAAATAAATCCATACGATGATACCGATGATGATGCTAGTAACCTTAATTCGTCAATCCTGTTACCAGTCACTGCATAATTCATTCTTAATTATTTGAACAAAAAATATTAACCTCAAAACAATGAAAATAAATGTATTGATCTTTTTATTAGGATGACGCTCATTTTAAAATTTCTTTGGAATGTAAATCATATTTATCTACTCTTTCAAATTTGTGCATCTCCGTTTTTTATAATTGTTAATTGCATAAATTTTGAAACAGCTTTGCTATAAACTTCAACAATCAAGACTTCCATAAGTAGAATTTCCATAATTTTTAAATGTTTTCGTATCATCAATTTGCCCGCTTAATTTTTGTAACAAAAATAGCACTCAACAAAAAGTAAAATGCAGTCACCGCAAATAAAATTATATAACCTAAACCTATTGTACAATCAACGCTTTCAAAATAGTCCAAAATAATTCCTCCAGTAGGGGTTGCTATGGCATTTGGCAATACTAAGGCTTGATGCCATACTGCTATGTCTTTTGCTTTGTCTTTTTCGTCCGGTAAAACGTCCATTACTAGTGCAAAGTCAATCGACTGGAAAGTTCCTAAACCCATTCCTACAAAATGACATTGTGTAAATCTAACATTGTTATAACTCTACAATAATGTAACTATTGATGTGAAAATGTTATTTTTTATGACTTTTAACGTTAACGATCTAAGATCCAACAAACAGGGGTTTGCCTCATTATTGTTGTCGACTGCAACGTCGTAGAATGCCAGACTTAGGGACGCTTATCCAACAGCGATGTCTATGGCGTTAACTATTTGTATAAAGCGTTAAATTTTCAAAAGGCGAGATACCTGAATGCTTCATACATTTTGTTCAGATGCCTTATCATTTGAAGTACGAATCGTACTTTGTAAACAATGACTCTAATTCAAATAAAAAATTCTCTGAAACTGACATTAACAAGATGCATGATTTCTTGGTTGACAACGTATTTGTTACGTTTGGAGGACATGTTTTTCAACAAACTATCAGCATTCCCATAGTAACCAACTGTGTTCCGTTATTCGTGTGAGGCTGACTTCGTACAAATGCTTCTCCTGAAGAACAAATAGGAAGCTTGCATTATCCTTTATCTTCATGCTCCGTTATATAGATGATGTCCTCTCACTAAATAATTCAGTCTGGTGACTTAAACCTCCAACTGAAGGTGCACGTATACAAACACCATGAAGTCTGTTCATTTTGAATTACAGCTAGTAATTGACAACAAGGGTAGGCTGAGAACAAAACTTTAGGACAACAGGGATGATTTCAGCTTCCCGATTATGAACTTTCCATTTCTATGTAGCAACATTACAGCAGCGCCTGCATATAAAGTATACATCTCCCAGTTCATACGATATTACAGAGCTTGCATTTCCTTAAATGATTTTCTTGATAGACGGTTGCTGCTTACAAGGAAGCTATTAGACCAAAAGTTCCAAGTGGTGAAGTTGAAATTATGCCTTTCAAAATTTTAGGGACTCCATCACGAGATGGTTGAATGTAAAGGAATATCTGTTTCACAGAAGACGGCGAATATATTCCTATTGTTGTAACCCAATCACGTCCTCTTTTACTCTAATGTGACCTTCTGAATTTGACTTATCACCTGGTTTGCAATTACATGAGCAACGTGACGGGTTCCTCATATGGAGCGTTTGTAATTTATAAACTCTAAAACTTTTCCCGCATTTAAAAAAATATTAACTTACCAAAGAAAAATGCTATCACAAATGCCATCCAAAATGCGTTTTCACCATTGACAAATGTCAGAGCAGTGCAGCTTATACTCATCATTACAGCTGAAATATATATATGTATTAGTACTAAAATAATTACAAAAATAATGTTATAGCCAAAACAGACCAGTGACCTTGTCAATCAATCATTCCCTTCTTCCGTTTTTATCAACTAAACTCACTATCATAATATGATATTCCATATCAGGAATCACAAAATATGCTGAACAATACGGCGGAAATACATACAAAAAGTAATAAAACAAAAATACCGAACCCCAAGAAAAATACAAAACGGAAAATCCCTTATCAAATGGCAAAATCAAAAGCTCTAACACATCAAACGAATGGAAAACAACTGTCATTTTCCTGACTTGGTACAGGCATTTCCTTATGTTGAAAACGGTGGAAAAGAAATAATAATGTCCTACACGTGGTTCAGATAGCCTGACTTGTTACAGACACACAATGTAGTGTGGTTACATTAATATTTTCGTGCTCACGAATCTTCCCCTTTGCCAATCTAGACCATATGTTATAAACTAAAACAGACGGTAAAAAAAACCGCATAGTGCAGCTACCGACATGATGACCACTAACTTGAACTAAGAAATAAAAGGAGCACATCCTTTAGAAAACAGGATCAAAATGTGTCTCTACTACAGGAAGCTAGCTAATGTATGTAGAGCTGTTGGATGATAGCTACTCAAGAATACAAAAAAGTCAGAAACAACACTACTATCAGGTTTCCACATAAACTTTATTGAAATCTACAGTATTTGTGAGATACCGGTAAGTCTGACTAGCGGTAGAAAGAACCATTGTAACTGAATCAGTGAGTATGTGACGCTTGTAGCCTTTTGCTGTTGAAAGATGTATATAAGACAATTTTGGACCTATAATTTTAGCGTTTTAATTATTTGAACGACATTACAATAAAAGTATAGTGTACTAAATATCAAGTTCGACAAAAACTGCATTTTTACATCTTTAACAATCGGTACAAAGTATATTGAAATCAATTATTTTGTTTTCTCTTTTTTGCTGGCAAGTAGGTGATAACGTGTGAATGGTGGACATAGAAAATATTCTTACCTGCTATTATCACAATTATTTTTCGTTTGCCAATTCTGTCTGAAACAACTCCCATAATAACTGAACTGTAAATGTAATCAATACAAATTATGTGGATGAACTTACTTATTGTTTTATATTTGTCATTTCTGGGCCTTTCATAGCTTGCTATGTGGTATTGGTTTTGGTCATTGTTGAAGGCCGTACGGTGACACATAGTTGCTACACAATTTTGTCTCTGGTGCAGAGTAGTCTCATAAGTAATCATACTAAATATTCCTACTTCTATATTTACCAAATATTTTCAAAAATGAAGAATCATATGTTTCCTACATATGGTCTCAATCTCAAAGAATAATAGACACGGAAGGTTAAACAATGAAAACAACATGTTATTAATTTCATGCGTCCGAAGCGCTTTTCTGGATTTACCTTTATCTGGAAAGCTCAAAGCCGAATACTTGAAAGCCCTTGAAAGCCGAGAATGTATATCAACCGAAACAGTTGAAGAGCTATATAACAAACAAGTACTTTAAAAAATAGCCAAATCCATCCAAGTTCAACTTTGCCTGAGGGAGTTGAAACCTTACTTTCTTTATAATTTTTAAATTTATAAACGTACAATTTTAGAATGGTTTGTTATTAATCATATTATTAAAATGTTATATAGAAAGATAGGAAGCATCCAAACTAACAATGCACACATTTGAAAGTATTCATAGGACATATAAATGATTATTGTTATCTCTCTTTGACTGATGAATTATTGGAAACACTGATTTTTGAATAGTTTAATGGCTCTAAAACTGCATACAAAATTTCCCTAAAAAAGGCTAGATTATTTTCCGTATTTATGACGGTGTCGTTGCTTACCGCTAACGAGAACTGTTATCTCCATTTCCACGTTATTTACAAAAAACTCTCCTCAATCGAATAGTAATATGAAGTGAATATACTGTATCATATCAGTTAACTATTTATTATCTATTACTACGTTACTTACCCAACTGATGCTGAAAACAACAAAGGCAGTAAAATGAATGCCACTGTTCTTGCAGCATTCCAACAAAAAGGCAACTGTATCATATCAGACACCCAATACTCCAGGAATCTATAGAAAATATAAATCCAAAGTTATGCAACCATACTTCGTAATGTTACCTTTTATTTCGAAGGAAATGAAACCTTTCCCCAGAATCAAATTGTCCTTTAAAGAAAATATTATAAGTTTTCATTGAATGCACTCCACAGAGAACAATACCTAGTGTACTCATTCAAGGGGATAGTTCACTTTGAAAAAAAATTTAAATAGCCAGTCAAAGATCAGCTGATTCTGGGGGAAGGTTTTATATTTCCTTCGCAATAAGTATCATTAAAGATGTATTATCTAAATGTATACAACTGCAGATCTTGTTTTCCATACATATTGATTATAAAATTTAATCAACTTAGTTGGTGGTCACGGATTCATCTTATTTAGGAGACAAAGAAAAATAAACCAACCTTCTACTCACTCCAGATAAATATAATCCATCAGAGCATTGATGAGTTAATTTTGATCAAAATATCTAAAATGTACCTCTGAGAATTGCATTACAACCTGTTAACACTTTAAGGACATATTGAATACACGTTGTCTTTGTAATTGTATCTTCCCAAAAAATTCTTTTCATTTTTGTTCTTGCTGTAGTTTGGATATAAAAATAAGAAGATGTGGTATGATTGCCAATGAGACAACTCTCCACAAGAGACCAAATAACACAGATATTAACAACTATATGTCACCGTACGGCCTTCAACAATGAGCAAAGCCCAAGTCTGACCAAAAAGCAATTTAAATCATTTGATTATTTGTTTGTTGTTTAATTGTGTATGTTTCTGTCTCAAACATAATTTCATTTTTATATTAATATTTTCAACCCTGTTTTTATCGTTGCTATATGATCTAACATAACTGAAATTACCAAAAATACTTCAGAAGCTCAGAACACCTTTTTAAAGAAGATAGAATATTCCCGTTGATTCCACACAAGGAAAATCATACATTTTGCATGTTATGGAATATAACATTACTCCATCAAAAATAGCAATTTTGGATTAAAATTCAATATTTACCCTGTAACCGTGGAAACACCTTGCTGCATTAGAAATCTTGTAATAAAAACCCATCTAAAATCATGTTCTGAAATTAGAAAATAAAGATTAGAGTGAACATGCGATTGATTCTTTCTTGATTTAATTGACTTTGACTATTTAGTAGTCCACTGCAGTAATATCATTTATCTTATACATAGGTGAGGTCTAATTGATATAAAGTTCAAGATAGAACCATTCATTAAACTGCTTGTCATGTGCATTAAGGTAATACAGATTGCTGTTGAAAAGCAACGACAAAAAGACAAACAACAAGAACTAAAACACTACACAGAGAACAAGAAATTGAACAACAAGAAATACTACAAAAACATAGGTGGCCTCTTTGACAATCTCAGACACATGTAGATGATTAACATGGTTTTTGTTGATCTGTCAAATATTCTGTATTTGATAATCCGAATGATAAGTGCATCAATTTTCCTAACATATTTGTGTCGAGCGTATATGGTGTATTGATTTAAGAAAAATGTGCCATGCTCACTAATATAGATCACATATGTTTATTCTATCGGATTTTTATGCAAGGGTAAACACAAAATTGTTTTTGGGGGGTAAATACTAATTGTTTTGGGGTAAACACAAAATTCATTTTTTTGGTAAACACAAAACTGATTTTTGGGGGGTAAACACAAAATTGAATTTTTTATGCAAAGGTTTACACAAAATTTTATTTTTATACATGATGACATTGCTATATCAAAACGATGCAAACAATAAAATTGAGAATGGAAATGGGGAATATTTCAAAGAGACAACAACCCGACCAATGAGCAGATAAATGCACAAGGCCACCAATGGGTCTTCGAAGCAGCGAGAAAATCTGGCCCCTAAATAAAAATTGTAATAGTTCAGTGAAAATGGACGTCATTCTAAACTCCAAAACATATAAATGAACTAAAATTAAAAAAACATACAAGACTAGCAAAAGCCAGAGGCTCCTGACTTGGGACAGGCGCAAAAATGCGGGGGGGGGGGGGGGGGGGGGGGTTAAACATGTTTTGTGAGATCTCAACCCTCCCCTATACCTCTAGCCAATGTAGAAAAAGAAACACACATCAATACGCACAGTAAAACCCAGTTTAAAAGAAGTCCGAGTCCGATGTCAGAATAGGTAATAAAAGAAACTAAGTAAAATGACAATGATACATAAATTAACAAAGGACTACTAGCAGTTACTCAATTAAACTGATTGAAAGATTATGTCTTCATCATATGAAAATCAAGTACAATCCCTCCCGTTAGGGGTTTAGTATCATACCATCATAAAATATATAAGAACATAACCCGTATCATGCCAACAACTGGTTTTATAATAAATGTGTTTATTTCCGATGCAAAGACCCTATGAGTGAATCAATATTAATACCAAAATATGCAATCCTTAATGTCCCGACAACAGTATCGTAACTATATCCCTTCTGAATAAGTCTGTTTAAAGGTTTGGTTAGTTTTTGAGGTGAATGACGACATGTTTGTGCATTGTATAGAATATTACCATAAAATATTGGATGTGAAATACCTGAACGTATAAGATGTATGCATGTTGATTTATATTTACGAATGTAACTATATGTGATTTTAATTGATTCACAAAACACTTATAAAGTGTCTTAAATTCTTTTAATATACTGATGTTGTGTTGGTGATAAAGTAAATGTTGATTTATATTTACGAATGATGTCCTTGTACCGATGATAAAATTTATTAATGTTTTGACTAGTTTGTGATATCGAAAACCCTGGTGTAATAATTTTTCAGTAATACAAAGATTTCTTTCGTTAAAATCAAATACGCTGTTACATACACGAGTGAATCGACCAAGTTGGGATATATAAACACCATAAGATGGTGACAAAGGAACGTCACCATCTAAAAATGGATAATTAAAAAAAGGAAATGAAAAATCATCTCTTTTATCATAAATTTTGGTTATCAAGCTTCCCGTTAAAGATATAGATATCAAGATCCAGGAATGGGCAGTGTTCATTGTTAGTATTAGCTTTATTCAAAGTCAGTTCGGCAGGATAAATCTCTTTAGTGTACATACTAAAGTTGTCATTATTGAGAGCCAATATATCAAGCTTAATTATAATAGCTCGGATGAGCAGGTACAGGGGTACTATGAAGAAAATTAGCATTGCATTTTAGTATCATGGAAGACAATTCACTCACCTTTAAGAGGCTGCCAAAATCCACAAAATATTGCAAAACAACCTAAAATAAACCAATGTCTGTTAGAGGTAGCAAGATAGTCTGAATGTAGTCATCATAAGTTTAGATTGACAAGTGTATGTTGTATAACAAAAATTACTATCACAAAAAACTACTTTTTAGGTTTGGCAATTTCTTGAATATCTAGTGTATCCTGTTTTGTAAGAGTCATTGTGTATCCCCTTGAATTGCAAAAAAAGATATCGATCATACATACGAATGAGGATCTAAAAATGAGGCGTTTTGTCAGATTTTGCAGTTTTGAATTTTACTCAAATGCCAGAAACTTAATATCCTATATTTATCACTGATAACCGACAGACCCTACTTCCATGGACAGAATTGTCTTAGGATCAACTGAAGGATATTATTTGATATATTTTATAATACTTTGTAACATTAAATTTCAAAGGGCAAAAACAGGGGCCCAATTGTACCCTCTCCTTTATACTCAAAATGCACATCTGACTGCAATCAATATCGAGAATGGATCATTTTTAGACATTGTACGTCTTGTATTCTTTGAGAAGCTCAACTTTTTAAACGAAACACATACCAACTGGTTCATTCACTACTTTTCCCGGATTTTCTGTTGTAGTAAAAACAGTAACACATACACTTATTATAACTACTGATATGGCTGTGGCATAAGCTCCTATAACACCAATTTCCTGTGCAAATAAATTAACGCAATTTTATTTCAAATAAATATCTTCATCATATTCCTTTGTCGTATCGTAGTTACACTAATTCTAATATAATTCAGGGATAAATGAAATATAATATAGAGATGAGTGTTATACTGATCCGAAATCAAATACGTTTATTATTGTAACAGATTTGTTAACTATATAATATGAATTAATAGGTATACGTACTGTAAAACAAGTCCCAACGGCTGCTCCACTAACGTTACCTAACAGAATCATACAACCCATTACACCAGAATTAAAACCTGAAAATATAAAGACATATTTTCATGTTGATTATTTCGTCCAAATTTTTTTCCCATTTCACTGACTGTAACTCTTTTTTAATCAAATACAATTGTTTTTCTACATCCAATCAAATTGACCAAATTGTAAAACATTTCGATGTCAACAGTTTATTTGAATTTATATAAACCATCTTCTGCATGTAGAAATGTAGGCGTATGAAGACAGTTGTATTTACTGCAATAATGATTGCGGTTCAAAGCAGTCTATTAATTAAGACACTACCCTTTCTATAAGTCAATATTATGTAATATTATTATCATGTAACTAGTTTTACATATTTTCTAAATATCTACCTATTTTAACTAACAATGGAACTCTGTATTGAAAAGTATTCCGAAAATTAAACTTTGTAAAAGAATTGTGAAACCGAAATTGTGTGAACGAGAGGTACACTCAATCATAAAGAAATTAAGGTTTCACCTCCCTCATGCAAAGTTGACCTTAGATGGATTTGAATGATTTTTTGATTTTTTTTTGTCATATAGCTCTACAACTGTTTCGGTTCTTATACATTCTCGGCTTTCAAATATTCGGCTCTGAGCGTTCCTGATGAAGGTAAATCCAGAAAAGCGCTTCGGACGCACGGAATTATTTAACGTGTTGTTTTTATTTTTGTCATTTCCAATTCTCATGAGTAAAGTTTTATCCTGTCCAGTACTACAGACAAAAATTCACATAACATTTCATTACATATAAGATAATAACCATCACTGGAAGTTAACCAACCAAATTTTCACCCCTCTTTTTCCTGTGTACCAGCTTTAGTAATTATGTAAACCTAAGTTTCCAAAATAGTCTATAGAAACACCAAATAAAAAAAGAATGGTGCTTTGAGACACCCAGCTATAAGATTATGACTCAGAATTTTTTTTACTGCAATGAAATGTAGGATTAAATTCCTACAACTGTCAAATTCAAGGGAATATTTTTTTCTACCCTTTTTCGTATGCAACCGGATGGGACGTACTATGATTTGGAGGTATTACACCCCAAACCGATAATTAATGTTGCTGTATTTTCAAGCACTACATGTAATAACACTGCTGCGGAGCTCTTACGATTATATTGGTGTCTCGGATTGATACGGATGTGATATTGAAAATGTCATATGATATTCTCAATTTAATTGCTTCTTTTCCTGTCATATAATTATTATTGGTATTTTATTGTTATTTTGATATCTTTTTGTTATCTACTACAATATATGTATCTTAATGTTGTTGTTTTTTTTTTGTATTTACAACAATTGTAATGTTGGTATTTTATTTTTATTCTAATATCTTTTTGATATTTACTATTAAGTAAAATCACAAAAATACTGAACTCCGAGAAAAATTCAAAACGGAAAGTTCCTAATCAAATGGCAAAATCAAATGATAAAACACATCAAACGAATGGACAACAACTGTCATATTCCTGACTTGGTACAGGCATTTTCAAATGTAGAAAATGGTGGATTGAACCTGCTTTTATAGCGCTAAACCTCTAACTTGTATGACAGTCGCATCAAATTCCATTATATTTACAACGATGCGTGAACAAAACAGACATAATAGGTAACATTGTCAAAATATGGGTACAGCAATCATCACTGTGTCACAATCTCAAAACAAACAAACATTTAAAAAAGAAGCACAAAAAGCATCTATCAAATATAACAACCATATGCATTGCTTACTTATATATGTATTATAAATCAACTCATAAAGGATTGAAATATTTAAAGTCCTGTGACTGCATTCTACTCTTAGTGTAGAGTCGTGTTTGACACCAATCAATATAACTGTTGGTTTCTTGTTATTTTTGTGTTTACAACAATATATATGTTGGTATTTTATTGTTATTCTGGTATCTTGTTATCATTTTGACATTTACAACTATATAACAATTGCTCCTAAATAGTCAATTGGTATTTAATAGTCATTTGGGTTTAACTACACTATAATTGTTGGTATTTTATTGGTATTTTTTTGTATCTTAATGTCATTTTGTTATATACAACAGTATACTAATTGGTATTTTGTCGTCATTTTGGTGTTTACTACAGTATGATTATAGTATAATCTTAATGCTATTTTTTCCATCTAATGTACACTATAATATTTGGTACATAACATATGTTGCAATATAAGTTTGTATTATTCATTGTCATTTTGCTTACCTCAGTATTATATTTCAATTGATAAATTACAGGAACAATCATAATTGGTTTTTTTTTTTAACTACAATGCATTATCATATTGCTAACTATACAAATTGATAACTGGTAATTTAAATCAGAAAACAAATTGTAACAGTACCATTTTTTAATGACTGCAATTAATATTCGATAGCTAAAATATCATATTGTTGATGAATTGTGTATTTGATATCTACAATAAAATTTAGATATTCAAATTTATATTGCAATTGGTAGTTATTTTAATTTTTTGAAACTACATTTGCTTTTTGCAACTACAAAGTAGTTGAACTGTTAATATAGATTTTGATAGCTAAATTATTATTTCTTCAGAGAATTGTTTATTGGATACCAAAGTAAAGTTTTGGTTTTCAAATTGGTATTTTAATTGGAAAGTATTCATTTTTTTTAAACTGCAAAGGCTGTTTTGCAACTATAATGTAGTTGAAGCATATCTTCGTTTCACAACTAGTTTTACATTTTGGTAACTTGTGAAAACTACTCTGACTCCGTTTTGATGATTTTGAATTACTAGTGAAAGAGGTTTATAAATTATAAAAAGATGAATGTAAAAAAAAGCAAAAGAAGTTCAGTTGAACAACAACAAATAAAATAGTAACTAAACCATTGCAGCTGCAACATATATACGAACCTCTCTGGGATGAATTTGATTTGTCAGCTATCAGAGCATTGTAAGGAACGTTGATTGTTGCAAACATGGCTGTCACCAGTAAGTAGAAAATTATGTATAATGCTGAAAAACAAAACAAACATTATAATTTAAAAAGAACATAAGTCCATTTCAGTGCAATCTGATTAATTACATAGATCTGAAAAAGTTCTGTTGTACTCTCCATCTTAAAGACCTTTTGGGGTCCTCTGGATTTGTCATAATGATACAGATCTTTCAAAATTTAAAGACTGAAATTTCATTGGCTGATGTAATAATTAATAGAACAGAAGGTAGAACGGAGTATTGTAAGGAAAGTATGGACGCAGGATCTGATTTCAGTGTGAAATGTTTTTTTTTTTTTCGTGTATTTTTTTCTATAAATCACAAGGTCTCATTCTTTATCGCGTTCTGTGGGATATTCCAGTTTAAAAAATTGTAAATGGCAAGAATGAACTAGACTAGATGTACTTTATATGTACACTCTTGGGAGTGTGGATGGACATCAAAGAATACAGGGAAGAAAGTGGTTCCTTCTATTCTGAATGTCGCATAGCCGGATATCATGTCATTCAAACTGTTTCGACCACGAATTGTCTGCTTACATATATTGCAAAGTAAGCAATTGAATCAGATTGGAGTCATATCAATATTATGGATAGTAAAACAGACAAATGGAATAAAGTAACTGTGGTATCAATTAAACTTTTACCTGATTATTTACAGAGAAAATATGAGACATATATTTCATATCTGAAAACTTTTTTTCATGGGTTGGATTTAAAAAGTTATGTTGATGTTCTATTAGTATGTAAATAGCAATAGGGTAACATATATCTAATGGAGTTTTTTTAGCAAATGGACAGAAAAAAAAGAACATTCAAAAGTATAAAACAAACCCATGTTGACCATTTACAATATCAATAAGTTTTAGTAAATTTATACCTAGATCACCAGGAGGTTCTGGATCTAAATCGACAGCGTTTCCCGACCCTGATACCAACAGAGAACTTGGATTTCCATTGTGTATACGGTGAGTATGTAGATGTGTTGTGCCATTGTAGTATGGTTTACATCTGTGTTCAACTAAATCCCTGTAACACTGGAATATATATAGGAAGAAACTCAATAATAAGGACATTCCATTAGGTGGAAGTTTATAATTCACTTTTTTTAGAGAAACAGGGAAAATAATTTTGCTTGTTTTTGCGAGATGAATGCATTAAAAGATATAACCTCATTGTGAATATAGTGTACTGTAATTGTACTTTTGGCAAATTATTGGTAATTTTGTGACATTTCGTATTTTGATGAAGTGTTTAATACATTTAGAACTTATTGAACAGCATCTGAATATCGAAACGGTACATATAACCTTTTCACTTTCAGAGATACAGTCAATTCAAATGTGTGAACTATGTCTATAAATTTACATAATGTATGTAAAAATCGAAGAAAAAAATGCATATTTTCTCCTAAATGGTGATTTATCGAAAATCCAACCACAGTATTTTGTTTAAAAATGATATTATTTCGATGTAAACATTTAAAAACATATCGTGAATTTTTTTAATGATCTTTACGAACAAAAGGTACCACGAAAACATAACAGTTAAAATGGTTTCTAAAGATGAAATATCGAACATACAACCTTGATTAACTAGTTTATGTTGTACATTGAAAATATGCATTATTCATGTCTGCCATATTTGTTCTTCGTAAATTGTTTTGTATAAATTAGGGCGTTAGTTTTCTTGTTTGAATTGTTTCACATATTTCACGTCGGGGCCTTTTATAGCGGACTATGAGTTTTTGGATTGTTGAAGGCCATACGTAGACCTATAACTATTTTAATCTTCAACTCTAGTGGATAGTTGTCACATTGGCAATCATTCCACATCTCCTCGTTGTTATTTAAGATTTTTCATTGGACGGTCAACAACCAACAATTAACTGTTATCATGATTTGATGGCCGGAATTCATCCAAGGTAGATGAAAATTTTAATTGTTTTAATCACTCGTACTCACTAAATTGTGTGAACAAAAAGACCGACTTAAACTTACCAGAGACATAAAATACAATATATAAAAGAAAAAAAAGTATAATAAAAATACTGAACTCCAAGGCAAATTCAAAAAGGGGAAGTCCATAAAAACTAACAAAATCAAAGGAACAAGTGAAAAACAACTGCAACATTCCTGACTTGGTACAGACATTTTCCAAATAAAATGGTGGGTCAAAAACTGATTTTATAGCTAGCTAAAGCATGTTTAATATGTCTCTGAACTTACTAACAACGTTTTCTGTTTTATTTCAAATTACAGATTTCAGGCTTATAAAACGGAAAATTGGGGATCTTGTGATACAAGACACAAAAACACAGCAAGAGATCTTGAATTGGTGTTCTTCATGTGGGGGTCAAAGTGAAGCCTTTTGTATAAAGCAAATGCTTATAGCTCATGCAACCTGTTAAATGCATTTTAAACTCAATCATGAAATTGATACATCGATTAAATACGGATAATGGGACGCCATGGACGTCATAATAATCAGCGTAAAGTATATAAGACGTAGGTCTCAATTTACATCATTTTTATCAATTCTTATCGTTATATACGTGTGTGTTTTAGACAATGTCTTTAATTCTAATACAAGTCGGGATCTGGTATTGAACACATCTGAATATACAAATTTTCTTGAGAATCATACTCACTGTTCCATTTTCTGATGTTGAATTCGTGCCATGACTGAAAGTAAAACGATACTCAGATGTTAATACTATACAAAGCTAAAGTCAAAGTCAAATAACATTGTAATATTTATATAATGATTTATATTATGAAAATTAATACTGTGATAGACTTCACGTTGTATTACCTAATTTCTAGAAAATACAAATCTATTAAGGGAAAGTAACAGATGCTGCACACAATATAGTGTTTGACATATTGTTTAACCTTTTAAACTGTTAATAACCTTTTTTTATAGAATCATTTCAAATAGAAATAAATACTCACGATATTTTGATATGAGATGCGCTTAAAGCCATTCCAATCAGACCAATACTGAAATAGATTTACATGGAATACTATATAAGCAGTAAATTGTATTATGTAACAGTCATAAACTTTCTGGGCGTACTTTTACTGATATTAGCTGCTTAAGTGCCAATCTGCCTAAGAATCAGGCAGTAGTGAAAACATGACAAAAATCCCGCTCAACTTTACATTAATTTAATTTCAGAATGTATAATGGTGCATGAATATAACATTCGTTTCCTTTCCCTGTTCTGGTAATGCAAGATATGATTTTGTTGAAATGCACTAGAAGATAACATTAGGGGGAAATAACTCCGTAATTTGCTATCATTCTAACCAAAATTTATCGAAATATTTCTCGAATAACCAGACACGCAGAAACGAAAAACCTACCAATTCTAACTCAGGATGAGGGTACCTTCAAAATAGGGTGGTTGGGTCGATGGTTTTTTTTTCGGCCATGTTTTGATTTTTTTCTAAATTGCCTGATTCTTACGAAGACTGGCACTTAGCACAAATTTGTCAAATCAAAGAAAACAAACAGGTCATTGTAAACATGTGTCTACTTACAAAGATCTTCAAGGGTAAGAACAGAAAGAAAAGCAATACTCTTTGCATTGGGGATTTCACATCGACTATCTCTATTACACAAAAAAAAAATCTAGTTTTCCAATTCTACACACCAATAAACATCCAAAGTGAGCTCCAATAACTTGCCGCTCATTGTTTCTTCTTGTTATGATATTTTAATGAATGAACAAAATGTTTTGAGAAATAAAATACCCAAACATGCCTACAATGTTTATATGGTAAAAAGAAAAACCTGTTTATACATTTGCCTTTCCTTTTTCCTAAACTCGGTCGGTTTGAAAGAGAGGCGCAAGATACCAAAGGGACATTCAAACTCAAAAGTTGAATACAAACTGACAATGACATGGCAAAAAAGAAAATCAACAGTACATAAAACACAACATAGAAAAATAGAGACCAAGCAACACGAACCCCACCAAAACTCGGTTAACTGTTTAGGTTAACGAATCTTTATGTCACCGCTTTATATCAGAAGGGTTTATTTTTTGACTGGTGACGGTCAATATTCAATAACATATATAATACACCCTGGTTGTACAGTAGTTTTATTAACCCAATTTCATTGTCTATTGATTGATGAAAGCCTTGTTTAACTTGATCAGGCTTGAATATGCATGTACTTTTTTCCACTTGACCTTTAAGAAACCAATAAACTCATCATAGATACCAGGCTTAAAAGTGTGTACGCCAGACGCGCGTTTCGCCCACATAAGACTCACTAGTGACGCTCCAATAAAAAAGTCATTAAGGCCAAATAAAGTTGAAGAGAACTAAGGACCAAAAATTCCGAAAGGTTTTGCCAAATACAGCAATAGTAATCTTAGAAAATATATCTCTCTAAAGCAAAGAGTTTTATAAGAGCAAAATAGTTGTAGGACAAAATTCAATGAAACCGCCTTCCAAAATTAACCAAACGACATATTGAGGTCAACATAATCTTCAACAATAGACTGGTGTATGTTCAATTTTACATGCTCTCGTTCGTCCCGAGTTTACCAAAACAATAGATAATATCTAAAATAAACTTACCATAAACCTGTAGTACCAATGATCATGATAGGACGTCTTTTACCAATCTGTAAAGTCAGTCTGTCACTGGCCATACCAATACAAGGACTAAGGAAAAACGTTACAGCTGAAAGTTGTCGAAAGTTCAAAAATCATTGTTTTTATTTTATTGTTACATTTATCAGTTACATGTTTAAATTCAGCCAATCATGGTTCCATCCTCATGTCGAAATAACCGTTATACGAGTGGTCCTTTTTTTTTTGTATCTTCAGCATTTTTTTTTCTATTGTTTTTGTTAATAATTAACCAAGAAAAAAACTAATTCACAGTATAAATCATTTTATTGACTGGTTTGAGACAAGTTTATGTTTTATTAAGTGTTTTCAAAAATAGAGATTACAATTGCTTTGAATATTATAAAGAATTAATGCAAAATGCCAAATGTGTTTTATTCACGTACAAAAATCAATTCTTAGAGTTATGTAAGTACAACTCATAGATTAAGATGTTTAAGGTTAAATGGGAGAGTGAAAGCGCCATATGTTCTTTTATTTCATGTAATATTCACAAAAAAATTAAAACGTCAACAGCATATTCAATAATAAATACGTTGTTAACTTATTGGTTTAAGTAGATTTAAATCGAATTATTTGTAATTGATCTACTAACCTGCGCCACCTGCAATCATTCCTCCTAACCAACGCCCTTTGGCAGCATCTCCCACCAAAGCATGGACTTGAGCTGGTACAACTGATGTTGATGGTTTAAAAAATATATAAAAATTCATAAATAGAAATAGGAAAATCATTGTTTAATTTTATTTTTTACTTCTTTTTTTCTTGCATTTTTGATGAATTACAACGTTTAATCATTTGCAAACTACTTCATCCTTAAATCATCATTGATTTGGTCTAATTTATATTTAACATGACATGTATATACGAGTATGAACATCGGTTAAAAAACTCATCAATGCTACCAAGTTCATAATTTGGGTCTCCAGACGCTCGTTTCGTGTACAAAAGACTCATCAGTGACTCTCGAAACAAAAAGGTTAAAAGGTAAACTACTGTTGGCTCTCATTAAGTATATTGTGCAGTTATTGCACGTCAAGACGTAATTCGCAAATAATATATTATTGAATACAACAGTATTTTCAAATACCAATTAACCATAAGAACGACATATGGATTATACTTAATAGACACTGAATCCCATCAGTACGATTTGTTTAAAACCCAGAAAAATACGACGTCCATGTTCATTGAACTAGTACACATTTTTGTTTAGGGATCAGCTGAAGCCCGCCTCCGGGTGCGGGATTTTCTCGCTGTGTTGAAGACCCATTGGTGGCCTTCGGCTGTTTTCTGCTCTTTGGTCGGGTTGTTGTCTCTTTGACACATTCCTCACTTCCATTCTCAATTTTATATAGACCAAGTTAAACATTGCAGTAAAAGAGTCAGAAACTATGTATGAATACTCATATTAAATGTGCATTTTAAGTAAAAATTGAACTTGTTGAAAGGAAATTCAGGATATGTGTTTAATCCGTTTGATTTTCATTTGGCCAATTCACGGAACCAATTGTGTCATAGAACTGGGTTTGTTTTACGAAAATGATGTGTCAACAATGGGAAGATTTGAATTTTATAAACCATTGCCGTACGCTTATGAAATTGAAATTATTTGGGACAGTCATTATCGTATAACTGTAAAAGAGTCTAACAGTATAACTGTAAAAGATTGATCAAATAAGGAAGCAGAATGTTTTCCTGGTTTTTCCTTTAACTCGTTTATCAAATATAAAAATAGATCTGGTTTTAGTAACAGTATTCAAGTGGGTAATGCGGAAGACTTAAACAATTTACATGTAAATGTATCTAACACTTTTATTCACTATATTTGTATCAAGTTTAGTGTTTATTCCTCGGCCATAGTTGGCTCTACTTGAAGGTATTTAATGATTGTTTCGTCTCTCAAAAGCTTTTTTTATGTATACGTGTTCCATATTTATTGAGGTTGGACATCCATTGAGAGATGTGGTTTAAAAAAATCACCATATATTATAATGCATTAAAGTAAATTTCATTGAATATTTTTGTACACACCTTCCACAGATAACAGAAGAAACATCAAACTCAGTCCATACCAAGAGAGATTGAGCAAGAAGATACGTGGTTTACTCAGTACCTCTGGTTCATCGTGTAGTATCTTCTCCTTGTCATCATTTGCTCTACAAGGGCAGTGTTATAATTGTATATATTTGTTTGAACTTGGAAGATAAAAAAAAAATCGTAAGATGAGAAATAGTAATTCCCCTTCATTCGAGGCGGAAACTAACACAACGATATGTGTATTTGTAATTTCTTCATTTGAGGTGTTTTATTTACTTATGTATGATTCACTGTAATGACTCTGCTCATTGTCTGCGCTGTGATTACCAAACTAAAATATCTGATTCCGTGTCGGCGTCACTAACGTGGTATTGTACATTTATTCAAGTACTCGTCTGGTCGGTCTTGCACTAATCATATCAGAGTGCAAAAGACGTAAATGTTTTCATCAAAATATCACCTTTATTTCAGACGACGAAAAATTATAATAAAAACTTGTTATATGTAAATAATATTAGATGGAAATTAAAACGCCATATTGCTCAATTTTTTGCATGCATAAGAAAATATGATATCGACGTGATCGAATGAGATTATGATGAATATCATTTGTAATTTATATTTCTTGCTGCATGTTTCACTGCAAATGACTAATTCGAACAAACAGACTGATTAAAATTATATGCGTCTTACCGTAGACTAGTATAATGCATGTCGCCTAAAAAGCATTTAGTTCACTGCTGTTATCATATAGAGGGAAGTAATGTAATACATAAAATTGAAAAGTTTTTAAGTGCGCTGTGTGAAGTGGAAGTCATAGTTATTTTTATATATACATGTATGTGAAAATTTCCATTTTATAAACACACTCATACTTTTTTTTTAAATACTTATAAAAAACAAAAGAATAAACATAATAGATTCGTTGACCTGTTCACTTCTTACACAGTTTTGATGTCACAAAAAATTGAGAATTTGAAAAGGTTTTTAAATGTGAAAACTTTTTCAACTAATTGGTGATGAATTGGAATTTATGTCTTCGATACACTGTACATTATTAACCAAGGTTACCAGCTGCTTTACATATAGCATATGACAAACACATATGACAAACAGAATTTGAGATAAATATGTACACCTCATCAAGATTAAGTAAAAACTGAACTTGTTGAAAGGAAATTCAGGATATGTTTTTAATCCGTTTCACCCACATTGAAAAGCTTTGACAAATAATGGGGGGCGCACGTATGATTTTCATTAGTGCACGCTTCTCTGTTTTACCTTTTAACAGTTTTTAAATATTCAGAATACTTATTTGCAGATTTGGTCCTCATCATCGCCTGGTATACAAGGTGTGCTGATACATGTGCAATATTAACCAAGGTTACCAGCTGCTTTACATATAGGATATGACAAACAGAATTTGAGTTAAATGTGTACACCACATCAAGATTAACAACGTGTTATCCATACAAATACATGTATTTGACCCTGAAGCATATCCCTTGGTTTCACAAGTTACTGATTGCTGTGTTTTTAGATACATATATTATACATACTGATTTTCTTCTGTGTAATATTTTGCTGGTTTCTGAGAGCCGAGAATGGTCATGTCAAGTTCTGCCTTCTCCTTGCTCATCCCTAATAACAGATGCATTATGTGTTATATAAACATAAATAAGGAATTATATAATAAAATTAAATTTAAACTTATTAAGTTAATATAAGTATGAGTATATTTTTTTTATATCACATGAGTTGACAAATGATGACTACAATAAGTAAAGTAGCTAAACAATGTTTAAAGGACCGCCAATGGCGGCCGCCATCTTTTAAAGCTTACTTGTTTTATAAGTCTTTTCCTTGTTTTTTGGATGCAAATATTAATAAGAAAGATCATTTGAAAGAAAAACAAAAGTAAATTCTAAGTTTTGTATTAGATAAAACAAAAGTTGTACTAGATACAAAATTTAGAATTTACTATTGTTTTTCTTTCAAATGATCTTGCTTAAAAACATTTAAGCCTTTTCTTCAAAATTGAAGAAATATACTACAGTTATCGATAAAGCCATGAATCAAAGAATTTTTGATTTTACAAGAATATGTAACTTTTGCAAAATATGTTCAATTAATGAAATATGAGTAAACATGATATCTCTGCAAATCAACCAAAGCTTTCACTATTTCGATGTGAATAGTAAGAAAATAAAAATAAATTCCCTATTTTTTTATCATTTTATTTTCTGCGATCTGTATACAATCAATAACAATTATATCCCTAAAAAAATCTCATCAATTTCTATTATATTAGATAGTCATGTTTTATTGAACGATGTTGTTGTATATGATATGACAAGTTAAATTTGAACCTTGTATTTCTTTCTAACAAGTAAGGTGATCTTCGATTTATCAAACAACTTTGAATATTTATACATGTATCTCTCTTTCAGGAATAATTAAGAAAAATGTATAGTAACTATATGAATTTTAATGTTTAATATCCACCTTTTAACGAATTTTTAGAATTAAACATTATATATCAATAAATGATGTGGTTTATTGGGCTATAAATATTACATTTCCTTCCGTGAAGTTTCAGATACTAGTATTGTTTATCTCATTTTTTAGACTTGTAATTGTTTTTATGAATTATTAAATAGCCAAGGACAAAACAAAACGCCATCAAAGATACCAGGTTTAAAATGTAATACGCAAGGCGCGCATTTCGTCTACTCAAGACTCACCAGTGACAATCGAATCAACAGTTGGAATTCTAAAACTAATACGAAGTTGAATAGCATCGAAACCCAAACTTCCACAAAGTTGTGCGAAATCTTGCTAATGTCAACAAAATGCCCAAGGTAGAATGTCAAAAGGAGTATTTCTTTTCAAATCTACCGGCTTTCATAGAAGTCGGTGGAAATAAAATATCCTTATCAAGTTGCTTCTTTGATTAAAAATTTATATAATATTGATTCTAATAATACTGCTGACTCCATGATATATAATACACGGTATATGATTACTTTTATATCGATATATATTTTTTTACTAAAATCAAATCAAAGTAACATAAAAAAATTGTCCTACATATTTTTCACTTTAATGATAAAGGATGCATAGTATAATGTCGAAACCTTTTGAATAAAAGATTACGTAAAATATGTTCGACTGAAAATAAGAAAAAAAAACCTATGTATTTTTGAAGTTTATCCATTAGCAATTATTTGATGAAAAATAAAATACTAAATCATTGTCAAGACAGTAAGTAACAGATGTTTTACTTTGTCAGTCTGTTCACCACTCTATCAATAATTATTGATTTTGAATAATTTATGACGGTATACCATCTCGATTGATGCACAATATTTTTACTTTTTCCTTGCAATATGTTTTCATGAGATTTTTTTTTTTTTATATATATATATATATATATCAAGTGATCAGTTAGAACGGATCATATTACTTGACTAAAAGAGATAGGTTGCATAATTGTTTTGATTGATTGTACGTTGCAATAATAATCTGTAACCAAAATCCAGACGTTTAAAATTTTAGTCAATCAATTAATGATTAAGGAAATAAATTTTACTAACGGTTAAATGTCCCCTTGAAATCATTACTTCTTGATTCCAAAAGATTTATTCTAAATTGTAGTGTTGATTTTAACATAAGACAATAAAAATTACCAAAGAGAGACGTATACAAAAGAAAGAAAAGCACAACCTAATCCTAACTTTGAGCACACGGACAGTCCTAATTTCCTAGTAAATTTGAGTAAAATAATTTTTTCAGGTAATTATTGTTCCTCGAACAAGACATTTGTATTTTTCAAACTTTTCATTATAAATATTAATTTTATTTATCGGAGTTTTGGAAAAAAATCAAGATTCATATCAAGTTGAACACAGCATGATAAAACAGATTGGAAACTGCCCTTGAAACCTTCAGAAAAATGTGATATGAAAACGTAAATTTTACAACAATTGAAACTTAAATTATTTCATCACATTACAATTTGTATTCTTACTTAAAACTGGAACTGTACTTACATTTCAAATGATGATTTCTATTAAATACAAATTGTGTATTTATTCCAATTTTAGCTAATTTTTAAAAACTATAATGTTGAATTATTTTATTGATTCAATGTTTAATTTTTGGTTAAAGTACATTAAAATACGTACATTCATATTACATTTTAAACATAAATATACATGAATGCACATCTTTGACAAATTAACGATTAAAGTTGCTCATATAACAAAATAAATGCTTAAATTGTATTAAGTTCAACCAGGGATTACGGTTACACAATCTAAAGGTCGATAGGTTGCATCATAATATCGTTTTATTTCCTTATTTTACAAGATTTTAATTTAAATCTAACATCCTCATTTGTTTAAAGTGATAACCGGTATGCGGATTTGTTTCAAGTACTTATACATGACCTTTTTAATCAACAATGGTTTTGTCTGGTCTTATGAGATGGTCATGACTGCGAATGGATTTCTACGGAAACTAATTTCCGGAGCCATGGTTTCTATAAACGTTTATACATTTCAAGGCCACAAGCACAGGATAATTGAAAATTGAAAAAATAAAAAAACTATAATTTTAAGATTTACATGATCAATCGATTAGAATTAATGAATTGGTGAACTTTATATTACAAGCATTTTTTAAAGTTAACTCCAGAATATCCCAATGTAATGACATTTCAACATTTTTGCAGTGTTGAAAATATCACCATAGAAAGGTTATTTTGCCACATGCTCTGTAGTATCAGTAATAATCGTGTTACTTTTGTCGCCATCTAAATTTTGCCCTTCACTGTAACAAGTCTGGATGTGACGTCAAACGCCTACTTAAAAAAATGTCAAGTGTACAAACTTGAGAAATGTAACAGAGAAGAATATTCGCAAATCATATTAAACGGACATTAATGTAAAGATACATTATTCCGAACTGTGGATTTAATGAGCTTCTAACTTTTATTGCGGTGATTGTTTTCTCCAGTGTGAAGAAATATACAGGCCACTAAGTGAATGTAACCGACTTCCAACAGGCTAACAGAATTAAGCATCGCAAGAAAGATCAAATTAAACGGACATTATTTGCATTTATATATAACCCTTAGAAACAACTGTATGTTTCCACTTTCTTATGCTTTTTTTACAAAACCCATGAGTATACAATTGTATTTTTGTGTCGCTACAGATTTTGATTTCTGACATAACCAAAGTTTTTGAAATTTCAAACTCCATGCCATGGGCTTTATGGTACAATTAACTCAGATTTGTATATTCACTGTCAAACTGAGGTTTCCTCCGTCATATACAATTCAAAGATGTTGTAGGTTTCATGTGTAAATAATTAATGTAACTGCTTGATTAAAAGTTTTGCATATTTTCAGTGACCACAAAATACATGTTAAATTTTATTCAAATGAATTTTATATATTATCTTAATTTGTAAAAGATTTGGAAACCTCAAGATTGCATTGAACACTTGCATAATAAAACAAATTCGAAACACAAATCATTGCAATGATAGGTTCCTTGGAGTCTTCAATTCTTTTAACATCCGTCATGGGTGTACTTTTTACTGTACAAGGTCGTGCTTCTCTAATACGTCTCTTACACCAAATCCGTTGGACGTGTACTGGTTGATTCTTTAGTATGGGAGAACATAATTTATTTATGAGCTATTATAGGCTTTGAACTATTTTCAGTATGACTGCATAACTAAACTCTTTTTTTTTGTTGCTTTGAGCTAATTTGATAAGTCAGACCATTTCCAGCTAATTTTTAAAGTTTCTACTAATTTTGTGTTTTTACACCATGCCCTATGATGTTAGCAGAGGGCGTTCAAAATCATGTTTAACCCCGCTACATTTTGTATGTGCCTGCCTAAAATAAGAAATTTGTAATTCAGTGGTTGTCGTTGGTTTTTGTCTGTCATATTATTTTTTCGATTATTCTTTTGTCATAAATCAGGCCATTTGTTTTCTTGTTTTAAATGTTTCACATTTTGTCGTGTCGGGGCCTTTTATAATTGTCTATACAGTATGGGTTTAGCTCATAGCTGAAGGCCGTACTGTTACCTATAGTTGCTTACATGCACGACATTTTGACTCTGGTGGATAGTTGTCTCATTGGCAATCAGATTACATTGATCGTCTTATTAATATATCATATGAAATATAAACATAATATTATACTTAACATAGTTTTTCGTCTTATTTGCAACTATTGAATTGGCTCGGCCCAATCTAAATGAACAACAATCAACCGAAAACTAACACAGACACACCAAGCTAGCAAGCACTTCGGACAAATGAAAACAAAAGCGTGATATGTGTTTTGTTATTAGTTTTTGAAACAAACAAACACAGGAAGGTAAGATGGTTATAAATCTGACCCATTTGCATGCATTATGTATAAAAAGAAAGTACCATTGCTTTTGTGGCGGTTTACTATTAGCAACTATATGTTAATGCTTGTTCCATCTTAGAATAACACTATTATATATAAGTATGCCAAGTGAATTGTTCAAATCTCAGTGCACTAAATATAGCTGCAAAATATCCGTATCTCAATATTGATCACATTGCAACGTTCGTTAAACTTCAGGTTGCATGTCTTTTACTACCATTATGCCCGTTCTGACTAGCAACGTGCCGTCGGATTGGTGATCTAAACTAAAAACGGCACCAATTATCGTAATTATCGACTCACTAAGACAAGCGCTTTAAAGATACATATGAGACAATCGGATTTACTAATTTATAACTTCGGCACATGTAATTGCTATGCAAAATCTATTGAATTTGTAATGAATGCAGTAAAGAATGTAATGAAAGACGTCTCTTCAGAGTGGATAATTAAGCTTTGTACGAAGACAGGTGAGAAGAGAATCCCAGCAAATCAATACTATAGTGCTGTAAGGTTGTGAAATGATGTCATTAGAAATTTTACAGTTAGTAGTATGTACAAATAAAAAAGAGCGATCTTTTAAAGGCACGAACATTTTCCCCTTTTTCCTGCTTCAGTCAATCTAATGGTTGAGAGATATTTGCTATCTGTAAAAAGTATTTTAAAAAGAACCGTTCAAAACATCACGTTGACTTTTGTTATTATTAACGCCACTACCATATACTTTGGTCAACAAACGTTCATAATGTGTCCACTGGAAGCTTTATTATAAACAATGCCATAATGTTAGTCTTGTGTGTTATTTTAATTTTAGTTTATTTATATGTTTCGGAGTTTAGTGTGACGTCCATTTTCACTGAACTAGTACACATTTTTGTGTAGGGGCCAGTTGAAGCCCGCCTCGGGGTACGTTTTTTTTTCGCTGTGTTGAAGATCCATTGGCGGCCTTGAGCTGTTTTCTGCTCTTTGTTCGGGTTGTTGTCCCTTTGGCATATTCCCGATTCCATTCTCAATTTTATCATAATATCTGTTTCTGTTGGAACAAATATTCTATAATCTTTATTCCTTTGGGAACAATCACTGTAACATTAGTTCCTGTGGAATAATAATACAGAACATTTCTTCTGTTTCTGTCTATTTCATGACATCCAGACTACGAGAACAGTAACATACGACACACACAAGTAACTTTTTATTTTCGACACTTCAAATTAAATTATATGAAGTTTCGAGCTTTGAAACAACAGAAAAATCAAAGGTCTTTGAAAAACTATTGTAACATCTAAATATTTCTGTCTATGTTAAAAGTGACATGCACACTTCATCACCAGTGGTCTATGCAGGCTATACTCGTAAGAGCAGGGAGTGCTGTTAACCCTCCGATTTTTTATTTTCCTTCATATGTCATCTCCCCCAAACAAATATCTCATTTAAAAAATATTATCTTTTGAAATTTTGAATCTTTCAGATCATCCCATGTTGATAGCTATTCCTGTGTTTTTTTGTGCAAAATTTGAACGTACTAGCATTATCAAATATTATGGAACACTGTAATATATCTTGTTTTCTCATCAAACATTTCAAAACGCATTAAGTGTTAAAATAAGGATATGTGGTATGATTACATATGAGACAACTATTCACCAAAGACCAAGCATTGACGGTTGTATGTAAACGTGTTTGTTAATATATTATTCACTAGGGTGGATGAAATAGTGATTATAGGCGTGTAAAAAAGTGATAAGTCAGTACAAGAAAGGGAGTTTGACAAAAGTCAGTGCAAGATAGGGAGATTGACAAATAAAATCGTTGAGTAGACGAAGTTAACTTTTATTTTTGTGGGACCCAGTTAGTGAACTTTATGAAGGATATGAATCTGTGTCTATTGTAAACGTTTCGTACACTTAAAAAATATAAACTGTTAACACAGAGATTTGTCTCGCCTTTTTGTAATGTTGATGATTCAAATATTGAAATTAGAATAGTAATACTTTAACATGTAAGTTTTTTTTGCAAATATTCAAAGTCAATGAACCATGACTGAAGGTACATGGCTAAACAATCTCCATGGAAATGAGATGTGCCAATGCTAATTCAACTGCATACCAAATACCATTGACTAATCATAAGTCGTTCCCTTTAAACAAACCTAAACACAAACATTAACTTGTAAACTAGGTAAAAGTTTCAAAGTCAATGAACTATGATGAGGGGATGGGGCTATATAATCTCCATGGAAGCGAGACTTGCAAATGGCAATAAATTTGCATCCCAAACATCATTGACTTAACATGAGCGGTTCATCTTAAACTGATCTAATCACAAACTAATACATGTAAACTAAGCAAAAGTCAATAGACTCAGGGGGCGGAGTGAAATAATCTCCATGGAAATGAGATATGCCAATGCTTATACAACTGCATACCAAATATCATTGACCTACCACTACTGGTTCCCCATAAACTGACCTAATCACAAACTAATACATGTAAACTAAGCAAAAGTTTTAAAGTCAATAGACCATGACTGAGGTGGCAGGGCCAAATAATCTCCATGGAAATGAGATGTGTCAATGCTAATAAAATTGCATACCAAATATCATTGACCTACCACTAGTGGTTCACCATAAACTAGACCTAATCACAAACTAATACATTGTTGACGCCGCCGCCGCCTCCGACGACGCCGGAAACAGCATACCTATGTCTCGCTTTTCGACCAGACAAAAAACAGCATGTTTTTATTAGAAAATGAACGGAAGTGATCTTATTTTCTGATTTGATTTATTTTCAAACTCTTTACAAATGTATCTGCATATAACAGAAATTTACGGTAATATATAATATCGTAAGATAAGTTACCGACGTATATAAAATACATCTTGATAACTATTGGCAGTTAACATAAATGTTGCAGCTTTTACTCAAATTTGGGTTCCAACTACTTTAATAATTATTGCAGTTCGTTAAATTGGCCTGATGTAACTACCAGAGTTTTGTTCATTTAGCTCTTTGTGCTCCACTCGGTTATTTTTATTCAGAGACTAAGTAAACAGGATTTCATAACAGCAGTTAGTACGGTAAATTGCCTTCAGAAATTGTGAAAGCCCACACTGTGTGGAACTCAACGAGCTAAAAGCATAGTATGGTCATGTCAGTTTAGATATGAATTAACTCTTCTAAATATTTAAGCAGATGAAAAGTTAATCATTTCAAGTCTCCAAAAATAGAACAAAAGCGTAAGACATCGATATCATTACAAAACCTATGTATATTTGCATTTGGTGGTATTAACTTTAACCCATTGAGAATTTGTCCTTTTTTCAAAAAAATTACAAACTTATAGGTGAACCGTTTTGGTTTTAAGCTATCAAAATGGTTTAAATTTTTGGCTTTGCAAACTTTTTATCTGGAGTGTACCGGATACAGTTTATTCAAAAAAAAAACGCGTTGTCTGCTTAGAAATCTTATACTACTGTTTATGTGTGTGCATATGTGTCGTTATATGTTGTCAGTGGTCCCTGTTTGTGTAGACAGACAACAAATTATAATGGTGATGATTAAGATCATACAAAAATTGCTATGAATTAATCCTTTTTTATATAAACTTATGTGAAATTCAGATGTCTATAGAACTGAAAGGGTTCTAAAAGAAATAGAGATCAAGTTTTAAAAAAGTAATGATTTCATAGATCACTAACAGAGTGGAAACAAAAACTGATAAGTTATATACATGACTGTTCAAACGTAGGTGTGAACATGTCGTGTGAAAACACAAAATGTATTAATGTTGATGACGGGTTTCAAATATTTATCTAACACAAAACGTGTTGTTAGAACATGCTGTAACTGATTCATATATTTATATAGTGACAAAAAAAATGATTATGTGCTATTATTTAATTTAGAACATACATTCAAACATCTGGTTGTATTTAAATCCTGGGTTTTTTTTTTTTACATTTTTATTCACAAAAAATAATTTTCTTCCAACATTTAATATGAGCTTATAGATTTATATTTCAATAGATTTGAGCTAACATTTGAAGAATACATATAAATCCTTAATACCTATTAAAACATACAATTATATTTCATTGGCAGATCTTTTTTAACACAGGCCATGTGCTAAATGAAGTTTTGTCAACCTAGGCGTTTGTGTTTGGCAATATCTGTTTTTGTCTTGATATGACAGACAATTTATTTGCAGTTAAGAATTGCTTAGAGAATTTTGTGTAGAACGAAGCAAAAACTGTGCGATAGATCTTTTGTAAAGAAATACCAAAATTGGCTGTCAAAAGCAGAAATATATATTACATCGCATTGTTTTACAATGTTACTTTCAAACACAAATTGTTTGGCGTATTATTGCGCAATGGAAGTGGATTGACATATTCAGTTAACACATCATTTCACAATTCTTTATACTTAGTCCACTCTTCAAATATGAAGATGGCTTATTAACTTGCAAGTTGATTTATTAATATATTTGGATTTTTTATATGCATTTGAAGTCAGTGTGGTGGTATTTTTTGTAATTTGTTCTGACAGTTTTTCTATGGCTGTAAATGCGTTTGAAGAGTTGAGCTTTGTTTGCATGTGACTATGTTAATTTGTGGAATCTAGTACGTAAACTTCTTTTCTGTTAATTAAGAAGAATTTTGAAATTGTTACATAAAATATGACATAAACATCTCATCGTCCTTGATCCTCCATTCAATCAGAGAATTCGATAGGAACTGTTTACTGTTATTGCACAAATAGTTTTAATCAACTAGGAAATTTAACCAATTTAAACATAAATGCATGACAACTTTACTCGATAAAGAAAGCATAGCAATTTGTAGATTTGTAGAAACATAATAATCATTCAGTAAAATTAAAGTCTTTTGCTTGTAGCAATCTTTTAAGCGATCAGCTGTCTCCAAACATGTCAATTAAATGTCACTACATAATCAAACTCTGATAAATTTAAAGAAACAAATAAAACCATACCTCTTGATTTCTGTGACAACTGATATGAATGTTAGTGTGTTTCTCCCTACATCGCTTTCTTGATTAGCGTTGAAAGAAATAAAATGTGCAGGTATTTCCCAAAATGTAAACAATCTCAGAATTTACATAGCTGTAACGCGGAGATGATGATGGTATTGATCTATAAAAAATCAATTCCTTCCAAGTCAGTTTCATACGCTACAAATGTACGTTGCATTGTTAATTTCATAGGGACAGATGTTACTCAATCGATAGAAGTTTTGAAGAATTTATCACATATAAATCAGGACTGACGTAAATATTATGAGATCACTTTAAAGAAAATTCAATTAACGTAGTCTAATAACAATTACATAACTATAAGTGTGTGTAAGTATGGATCATAGATAGAATCTTATAACATCTTGTGTATATTTTTTTTAAACGTTAAAAAGATTATGGTCATACTGGATTCAGCTTTTGAATGAATAGTACAAAATCTGAAACAAAACTGGTGACTCTCAGCATTGACAGGTACAATGTATTATGAAAGGCACTTGAAGGGGGAGGAAGATATCAAGTGACATATCCACCTTGTAATCGTTCTATATACAAAATATAACTGACAAATTAATTCTCATTTCTGCGAAACTGACCTTATGAAAACTAAACGTTGATCAATGAACCAAGAAAATGAGGTCAAGATCAGATTAACCTGACCTCATTTTCTTGGTTCATTGATCAACAGATAGACAGGTAAGAATGTATAGGTCTTTTTAATTTAGATTCAATTTCGTTCGGGTAAATGGGGTATTAAGTTTGAAAACAATTTTTTATCTACATAGATAGTCAGAATTCATACGGATTAATCAGTTCATATTATGTACTCTTCGTGGTTTGCTTGTTATCCGAAAAATCAAAGAAAGTGTATTTTAGCTGCATTTCTACTGTCATTAATGTGCTCCGACATAGGCTCAATGTTTCAGTCAACAACCTTGTAATCGTTCTATATACAAAATATAGCTGAAATATTGCTTCTCAATTCTGCGAAACTGGCCTTATGAAAACTAAACGTTGATCAATGAACCAAGAAAATGAGGTCAAGATCAGATTAATCTGACCTCTTTTTCTTGGTTCAATGATCAACAGATGGACATGATTAATGTATAGGTCTTTTTAATTTAGATTAAATTTTGTTCGTATTAAGTTTGAAAAATTTTTTTTTATCTGCATAAATAGTCAGAATTCACACGGATTAATCAGTTCACATTATGTACTCTTCGTGGTTTGCTTGTTATCCGAAAAATAAAAGAAAGCGTATATAAGCTGCATTTCTACTGTCATTAATGTGCTCCGACATAGGCTCAATGTTTCAGTCAACAACCGTACATTTGGATTTTCAGGGGAAAGTTGTGAAATTTATTAAAGACCTTTTCTCTAATATCTCTGCAAAGTTTTGGTTATTTTTGGGGGGAGGGGAGATTCAAAGTAACAATATACTATATATAGCTATCATAATTACGCTATTTCATGCAGGCATAAACAGATTTGACAAATATCTGATGCGTTTTATACTACTGTGGATACAAAGGTATCTGTAAAAAATCTACACCTGATTAGTTTCAGATCAATCAGCAACTTGTCATATATTTACACCAATTTTTCGACCTTATAGTATATCACGAAGCTTTAAAAAGGTGACATATTCCCGCGTCTCTTCCCTACCACCCATCAAGGAACTAATATACTATTCCTTGCTCTCATGGAATAGTAAGTGTTCCCATCCCCAATCCCACGTACGGCGCTAAAATGGATAATTATACTTTGGCGCTAAAACGTCGCTTAAATGTCCTCCGCCTTATGAATGACCCCATGTGTTTAATTGAAAGTAGTAGAATAATACTTTTGAATCGAATTAAGATGTCATAGATTATTATTGTTATAACTGGGAAATATATGAAGGTTATAATTTTGCCATGAAATATACATATGACTCATAATTATATATATGGGTCATGATTTTCACACTTGACTTCAGTGTGTGAATGGGAGTGTTAAAATCCACAGGCGCTTGTCTCTGAATTTTTTTTTCCTATATACCTTAGTATTGTTTTTCCTATATACCAGTAACCTTAGTATATATAACACGTGTTATATTAAGGTATATAGGATTTTTTTACAGAGACAAGTGCCTGTGTTGAAATCCAAGCTGTTCGTCTGAATCACAAAAACCTATAATATTAATGCTGAGAACCCCTGTGAAATTGATTCAGTATAAATACTATCATTTCGATGATGCAAATATATACTACCAATTAAAATACAATGTAATATGTAAAGATCAATGACTTAATTTGCATTTTTCGTAACAGTTGCTTCCCTTGTCATCTGCAGCTTTTTGAAATATACACTCTCTTTCTTTATACAATTATCAAAGAAATTCAATTTACCTAAAAATGTTTTTGCTGTAGTATTTGGTCTTTTTTCAATATGTTTACAACTGAAATATTGAATAGATTAACAAAAATTCATGTAAACAAAGTAAAAGATTTTCCCTTTATTTAGTACTTATTTTGAAATTATAAATACATATTGATTTATATTTTTGATTGAGAAAACATACTGGAGATAAACTTCATAAATGTGAAACTTTTGCAGATTCTACACTATGTAGAATTAAATGATATATGAAAATAATACATACAATTAACAATAAGATCCAAATACACATGAACAGATATGAATTATCACACTTATATTATAGCTTAATTTGTCACATTTCTCTCACCAACTGCATGCATACTATTTGTACGATATACAACTGATTAACATTCATATTGAAAAATTAGAGACAACAACATTGAGGGAGAAGATGCATATAAATAAAAGAATAAGAGTTCTTATGTCCAACGAGTTGCACATAATTTATCTGTCCAAGGGCAATTTTTTGTTCTTTAATTTTTTTTATAAATATCTAAGAGAAATGAAGACTTGAGAGCAAATACAAAGCAAATTCCAACTTAATTAATACTCTTAAAGATATTTAAAAGGCACTGATTTTCAGATATATCAAAGACATTGCTATTATAAACCTTTGATATAAATTTGATAAAATTTGGCACAGATTGTATACGTGAGAGCGCTTACAAAGCAATTTACCATAAAATCAATATTTCTAAGAGGCATAACTCTTTTAAAAATATTTGATCACCACTGATTTTCGAACTTGTCTGAGAGATAGCTGATATTAGCCTATAATGTAAGTTAATAAAAATCTGGCAAGAATTGTACACGTGGGAGCGCTTACTTTAACGGGTGGACAGACGGGATTCCCCATATTTCTATGCCCCTGTAATGTGTAGCGCCTGGGACAATAGCTTACAGTGCATCTGGGGCAGCTCAGAGTGTATCTGGACAGAGACCACAATGCATAAAGAACAAAAATGCAGTGCATTTCTTTATAGCAATAAACACAAACAAATATTTTATAATGCAATATTTATCATATGTCTTTGATAAAACTGAATGTATGCCTAGACACCTGATATTTTTTCAGATGGAATGTAAGTATCTCACTTGGAAACAACTTATATGGTTATACTTTGGTATTATTATATCAAAATAGTTCAGCAAATTATCAAAAAATTATCCCAAAGACCATAGGAGTTACAGTTAGGCAACTAGAATTTCGTAAGGCCAGACAGAGACCACTATCAAAATATATGTTATTTCTTCACAGCACCTGTCCTCAAAAAGGCCTCCAGATGTCAGAGCGATCTTGCTAGTTCTTTGTTAATTGATGTTGATCATTGTCATTTTGCTTAGTTAGGGCTCCACCGAATGGCGGACGCCCTATAGTGATCAGTCTGTCCGTCCGTCCATCCGTCTGTCCGTCCGTCCGTCCGTCCGTAACAAAGTGTGTCCGCTCTATATCTAGAGAACCGTTATGATTTCAAAGTTTATACTTGACATGTATATTAACCAACACCAGAGGGTGTGTCATAATGTATGTACAACTTCCTAGGTTAAAGGTCAAGGTCAAAAACTGGTTTTAGTTGACAACCCCATGTCCTATGGTAAAGATCGTGTCCGCTCTATATCTTGAGAACCGTTATGATTTCAAAGTTTATACTTGGCATGTATATAAACCAACACCAGAGGGTGTGTCATAAAAGAGGGACGAAAGATACCAGAGGGACAGTCAAACTCGTAGATTGAAAATAAACTGACAACGCAATAGCTAAAAATAAAAAGACAAACAGACAAATAATAGTACAGAAGACACAACATAGAAAACTAAAGACTAAGCAACACGAACCCCACCAAAAACTGGGGTGATCCTGCTCAGCATGTGGCACCCTTAGTGTTGCTTATGTTATTACAAATCCGGTAAATGGTCTAATTCGGTAGGTCGCATTCGTGAAAATGGAAGGGTATTGTAGTTACGACATAAGGAACATATCCGATATCATCTGTGAAACGGTTATTCCATAATGGTCAACCAACTTGTGATGGCGTCCGTAAAATTTACGAAGGGATGATTTCAACTTCACCATTTGGAACTCTCGGTTTAATAGCTTCCTTGTGAGCAGCAATCCTCTATCAAGGAAATCATGATAGGAAATACAAGCCCGGGAATATCGTATCAATTGGAAGATATATACTCCGTATGCAGGAGATGCTGGAATGTTGCTACATAGAAATGGAAAGTTCACAATTGGGAAGCTGAAATCATCTCTTTTGTCGTAAAGTTTTGTTTTCAACCGACCCTCATTGTCAATTTCTAGATGTAAGCCAAGATATGAGGCAGACTTATCTGAATCTGTAGTATCCTTTATCTCTAGTTCGATGGGATAGATTCGTTCAACATGGTCACCAAATTTTGTATTATTTAGTGAGAGAACATTATCTATATAGCGGAACATAAAGTTTAAGGATATTGCTAACTTCTTATCTTTCTTCCTAAGAAGTTCCTGTATGAAGTCAGCCTCATAATAGTAAAGAAACAAGTTGGCAAGAAGAGGGGCACAATTGGTTCCCATTGGAATTCCGACAGTCTGTTGAAAAACATGTCCTCCAAGCGTAACAAATATGTTGTCAATCAAGAAATCAAGCATCTTGATAATGTCAGTTTCAGAGAATTTTTTGTTTGAATCAGAGTGATTCTTTACAAAGAAGGATTTATCCCTCCCCAAGACAAGATAATGTATGTACCGGTACAACTTCCTAGGTCAAAGGTCAAGGTCATAAACTTTGGTTTCAGATAAAGATACAAATTTTTTACCACACATTATTCACAGCGGGGCCCACAGAGATGGCTCCCATCTCAATGATATCTAGTTTCTTCTGTTACCTATTCTAACATACAGACTCAGACTTCTTTTAAACTGAGTTTTACTTTGGGTATTGCTGTGTGTTTGTTTATTCCACATTGGCTAGAGGTATAGGGGGAGGGTTCAGATCTCACAAAACATGTTTAACTTTGCCCTTTTGCACCTGTCCCAAGTCAGGAACCTCTAGACTTTGTTAGTCTTATGTGTTTTTTAAATTTTGATTCATTTGTATGTTTCAGAGTTTAGTGTGGCATTTATTTTGCTGAAGTAGTATAAAATTATTGTCTAGGGGCCAGCTGGTAGCCCACCTCCATTTGCAGGATTTTCTCGCTGCATTGGTGACCTATTGGTGGCTTTGGGCTGTTTTCTGTTCTTTGGTTGGGTTGTTGTTTCTGACAAATTTCCCGTTTCCATTCTCTATTCTATTGAACTATAAAACTTAAGCATATATTTTTTTTAATTTGATGAGTTACAAGTTTGTTTAAGAGCTAGCAATGCAATATATGCCAATTCTCCAAATCATTATGGGAATTACTTATAAAAACTTCACATATATCACTCATCTAAACATTTGCCTATAATTTAGCCGAGGCTAATATATAAATCTTTTTTAAATACCATGTGAAAGTAATTTGCTGGAACGCTTATAATGAGGACAGCTGCCACCAAATATTGTGCTCAGCATTGTCTCTGTGGTCAATAACAAAAGAAAAAACAATGTCTTTCATAGTATTTTATTTTCATGGAGAAGATCAGAAATTATTGTGGACGGAAACATCAATTTTCTTTTACTTTCATTTTCTTTATCACAACCATCAACAATAATATGAGTGCATAGAAAATGTAAACATAAATACCATTTAGTCAAAACAATTAGAAAACAGTACACTAAAAAATAATAAATTATAAACACACGACATTGTTAGACAAATTAATATGCCATACAGTGAGATAATCTAGAGATTCATTTTAATATAATTCAATAATTCATATTTTTACTTCTTACAACCATTGTTGAATTAAGAATGAAATCTATACAATATCTGCCATGAATAATATTATCACGGCAAAGTCCAAGTTAAAATATGCAGTAAATTTTGATGGAGCTCTAATGAGTCTGCATTTCTCACTTGAGAGTCTCATTCACTTTTTAGTAATGATAATTAGTACTAACCACCAGTGATCTTTGATTTAATTTGAAAAATGACCAGACAAGACTTTGGTCACCTGCATTTGTCTCAACAGGCCATGTGCTTTAAAACAAAACAGACCCTAGTGGGTTTAGTTGACAGATTCAAGGATATGTTTGTACAATAACATTTAAAGAGTCAAAATAACATATTAGTGCAAGTCATTGTGTGCAATGGAATTTCATCTACTTGAAAATCATTTAGTGATAATCTGAGGTCAAACCTCAATTGTTTTGATGATAAAGGAGAATTTATGATAAGGGTCTTTTTGGTCCCATTGAATTAGAAAAAAAAAAAATATTATGATTTATCAATAACATCCTTCATTAGTTTACAAGACATGATTTTTCTTTTGGATATCGTATTTATATTTTCCCATTTGCCTTAGAGCTGTTCCAGAAATAAATGTTTACTAATTTTACATTTTCACATCCAAAAAATGGCATTTATCACAACTCTTCCTTGAAGTTAAAAATGACAGTAACTGTAGGATGAAATTCTAGGGATACAAAATTTGTTATGGAAATTTTAGCAGGGTCAGATAGGCATATGTTAACATAATAAAATATCATGGTTATAGTGTGAGGTGTTGGAGAAATTAAAAAAAAATATTTCAAGATGGATATTAAAAATGACAACTGTATATCTATAATATTGTTTGCTAGCCTTGAGAAAGTGTAATATCACAGACACTTTAGGACGGAAGTAAAATAATTTGATAACAGCACTGTCGGTGGAAACAATAATAGTTGGTCTTACAGGCTAATTTACAGTATCATAAAAAAAAATATTTGGAATATTTTTAATCACAATTGAATTTTAATTAAACAAAAACGACAATAGTGTAATAATAAATGGAAATCTATCTGTTCACACCAAAATAAATGATTACAAAACTTTAAATATTTCAAGCATTTACATGCTGGGTTAACTAACCTATAACCTGACAAGATCTTGATATAAGAAACAAATTCTTATTGTTTCTATGAATCTGAATAATGAACACTGCGATTAAAACTTTCAGTATTGTCAAATTGACATTAATTTTATCTTGAACACAGTTTACATTTTGAAGTGTTCTACTAAGTCAGTTAACTCTAATACCATCCAGACAAGTCTATTCTATAACTTACAATACGTTTATGTACATTATTACATGCATCACTAATTTAATAAATGAATTTGTTTTATATAAGTTTTTTAAGTGAAAATAGCATGAGCAAAAAAATATTGAAATTTAAAATTTCTGATATAAAAATAGTAAATTTGGTTCTTCACAACAAAACAAAAAATTTACATTAGTATCACATATATGTGTAGAATTTTAAAATTCTACCAATCACTCAAACGTAAATGCCCTCTTAGATCAACTGGACTTGAGATTAAGATGCCACTAATATGGACAGGTCTACTGATATATCTGAGAATTTATTATCATTAATGGAAATGAACTTGCTTATAACATTTTTTCTTATCCTTGACAATTTATTAAAGAAACACTATATGTATTGACTTTTAAATGAGTTGAAAAAAAAGGATCATTTTTCAAAGGGAAATAACTACAAAATATTTCCAATTCAAGGGCAGATAATAAAACTGGAAACCAAATAATACTCAAATATATTTTTCAAATTCCAAAACAAAATGAGCAGGTACCCCATTTTCTTTTTATTTCCTGAAATGGATTGATATTCTAAAATATTACTAAAAAAGTTAAGAATTTCTATAGATAAGTTTTTGCTAAATTAACTAAAGACAGGTTTTTCCCAATTTAAAATTGTTGAATTTTGAATCCCATATTTTTCCAAAATAAGTACAGTGACCTATATTGTTTATAATTGAATGTTGAATGAATCATGTAAAATATTAATATTAGCTTCTATCAATCTTTATGTATGACACATAACAGGGTGAGATGCAGTCTGAAGAAATATGTGAATATCATATTTTTAATTTCTGTTTGGAGCTTCAAGACTTTCCTCTACATGCAAGAAATAACATGTTATGAATATCGAGAATTCCTGAAGTTTAACTACCAATACCATACTTAAATTATTTGTTAATCAGTACAAAATAAATTGGTAGAAATTTCAATAATTTCTTGTCATATTTGTCTTGCTATATCATAACAACCACAATGTACCCTCAGTGATAAGAAAAACAAAAGTCTAAACATAAACAAAGTAGTTCTAATGTTAATAAAATCTTAAGTATGATATGAGCAGAGTTGAACACAGCCTGAATGACTTTTTTCTGGATTTCTAAACTTTCAACTCACATCAACTGACAAAAATATAGAAATGCACACAAAAATGAAACACTCATAGCACTATAAAAATATACATGTACGCTATAAGCAAATGTTATTTTTACATTTGTTTTACCATAATTCACACAAAACTATACTCTATTATATGAATGTACAAACACATTTAATAGTCAGGTCTTGTTTTTATTTTTAAATCTTTAAGCAGAGACCTAGTACCAATATCAAACCTCTATCATTCAGTGTAAAAATCAACCACATTCAAACTAAGAACATTCATACACTATATTTTACAAGCAGTGCAATAAATTTTAACAGCTGTGAAGACAGGTTAGATAGACAGCATTCTCTCAAGTTAAAGAACAAATATTTTTCATTATTTTTAAAAATATATATATATATTTCTTAAAAATTGATCTAAACAGAAAGCAGTACGCAAAGATTTTGAGGTGTACTGTTTGGTAACTTGCTGGTTTTCATTTTCATTAATTGATCATGATATTTAATGTAGCATTCTATGTGCTAAAGTTTTCTAATGGCACACTGGACTTACAACATTTCATGACACTCCGTAAATGTGGCTGATGTAATTTTTGCCATGAATGAATCGAAAAAGAAAATCTTTAAATAACAATTTACTCTGACATGTACCAGGACTCGATAAAAAATTTACAATACCATAAACAAAATTAAAATAAAGTATAATGCAATATATAAATAAAGCACATGGAATGTAAATAGTTACATTTAGATCATATATACAAAACAATGAATATGTGTACAACTTTCTTCTAAATGTAGCATTTCAATATAACTTTTCTTTAAAAGAATAACTCCTCCCTTACTTTTATAAAATCATGCATTTTAAATAAGGAAATTTTAAGTACTATGCTATAACAAACATTTACACTTATCATGTTAATATTGTAAGCTTTACAAAAATATATGACTATTTTTTAAATACAGTGAATCTTCTTATTTTCGTGGGTACCAAATTTTGTGGATTAAAGAAAAATAGAAAATTTGTGAATATTTCATTTCATGGTTTTGACAAATTTTGCATACAAACCTATAGGAAATTTGTGTTTTATTGTTGAACACTTAAATTGTTCACATTTATCAACACAATCCACGAAATAATAAATAACCTTTAAATAGCAATGCATCCACAGTAGTGTGCAGTGTTCTACTCTTCAAACTGCTCTGTATAAATAGTTCAGAGATTTTGCTTACTTGCTTGTCAATGAAATTTATAATAAAAAATTGACTGTACAAAAAAATATAAAAAAAAGTAACATGTATTATTGAAATCCTTCACTTCATATTAAGTATCACAGTATAAATGAACATTGGATATTTAATCAAGATACAACCACTCTTAGTGTCATGCTTAAAAGATCAACAAGAATGTTATATTGTATCTTCAGGATCTTATTTTTACCTTTATACGACAAGGCACATTACACCAGAAAAAGCCGACCATTAGTCTATTCTTTAATTTGTTTCTACAATTTTCAACCAGAACATGATAACAAATAATTAAAAACATAAACTAAAATCATACATCATCACCATAGTTTATTTGATCTACAACTTCTTCTTCCACAATTTCTCCGTCTTCTTCTCCCCCTCCGTACCCGTTGATTGCCGTACTTGTTATTGTCTTTGGTAAGGGCATATCTAGTGCACGATAAACAGCTTCTATTGTCCTAATATTGACATAGTAAGCCATATTAACACTTGGAATTCTCATTCTCATTTCTTCCATAGCAGCTTGGGCCTAAAACACAAAAATTTCATGAATTATTTGTCAAGCCCTCCTTTCATTTTATTATATTACCATAAGTCAACATTTGAAATAATTTGATCATGATTTGAACATATTTACTAGATATATTACAAAAAAAATCGTTTGTTTGAAATGAAATTCTTTTTGGAAAGTTTGACTGTTTTTTTTTTTAAATTTTCCTTGAACAGGATTTTGACAAGTTCAAGCAGTAATCATTGAAACTATATTTCCAAGTTTTTTGTATGCTAAATATGATTTTAATTGAGTGCCTTCAACAAATTCAGATATATTTTATTTTAATTTTAATTTTCAAATTTCTAAAGTTTTATTTATATATATTATATTGTATTTTTTTGTCAATAAAGCCATGTTGGCTTGTTGCCAGGAGCAAAAAACTCTAAATCCATACAAGATACTCTAAGGATCAACGACCAATGGGACCAGGTGACATAAAAATAACATAATTTCAAGCTTTGCACCAAATTCCAAGATTAGACAAAAAATTAAGGTTATTTCTATTAATAACAGGAATCAACTCATCTAATCAAGACACCTGCAAGGAACATTCAACTTTGAGAAATGATTGGTTTACAAATCATAACAAGAATGTGTCCATAGTACACGGATGCCCCACTCGCACTATCATTTTCTATGTTCAGTGGACCGTGAAATTGGGGTCAAAACTCTAATTTGGCATTAAAATTAGAAAGATCATATCATAGGGAACATGTGTACTAAGTTTCAAGTTGATTGGACTTCAACTAACTTCATCAAAAACTACCTTGACCAAAAACTTTAACCTGACTTGACCAAAAACTTTAACCTGACTTGACCAAAAACTTTAACCTGAAGCGGGACAGACGGACGAACGGACGAACAGACGGACGAATGAACGAACGGATGCACAGACCGAAAAACATAATGCCCCTCTACTAACGTAGGTGGGGCATAAAAATGGGAGTCCAAGAGTGTATACATCTGCAAAGCACCCTAAATTTCATACATGTACTGATCAAGCTTTCAGTGGTATATCAAACTTACAGCCTTCCATCGTTCACGTCTAGCATAATGTTCAATCATTAGTCCATATACATCTCCTACTCTAACTGCAGAATCTAAGCTCTGTTCCTCCAGTAAAACTTGACACTGCTTAACAGCTTCTTCTGGGTTGTCTTGATATGCTCTGTAATATTTAATCATTATCTGTGTATTCAAGATAATAATAATATGATCGTATTTGTAGTTCTATACAATTCTTTAAAAATCCACCAGAATTCTTACAACTAATTATGCTTTGTAAAGATAGTACACTGGTATGATATTGTACATTCACTCGTTCTAAGAAATTCTTTAAAGTTATTTTCATCCAAAACCGTAAGAATTTTTCAACCCTTGAGGAAAAGATGAGCTTTGTACAGGTTACTTTTTTGTTACACTTTAGTGTTGTAGAAACCCATGTATCTATTGCTCGTTGGCTTTCCAAACTTTTGCACCAGGAGTTCCAAGTTCCTGATTGTTCATCCAGACAAGCAACTTTAAATGTACAAAATTAGTTTGTGTGATTTGATTTACTACTAAAATAATTTAAAATATTTCTTCATTTCTATTAAAGATAAAATTTACGGTAAATCTCAATAAAACTGAAAGGTGGCATCCATTGATATAAATACCAAAAGAATTGTATATCTCTGTCTTAAAATTGATCAAGAGTTATCAAATATTCAAACTGCAAAAACATAATTACAATATTTTATGTATTCTTTAACTATTAAAAGTAACAACAGGCTGACCATAATTTTACTACCTACCTTCTTGCAGTGACAAATTTTTTGATCAAAGCCATTTTGTTTTTAAGATGTGAGAGTTTCTCTTCCTGCATAATTTCATCACTCATCTTAGCTTTACCTAAACATTTATATGCCTCTCCTAATGCACCAAGGGCTTTATCATAGTTCTGATACTCATCTATCTCTACCTACAAATTAAAACTCTAAATTTAAAATTTTTTGTTTGCTGTGTTAATAAAAAAATATTGAATGAAAATTATTCGCTTGCATTTATCAAAATAAGTTGAAAAATGTAAAAAAAATGATTTCAGAACACTTGTTTGTCATTATAAACCAGAAATTGAAATACTATGTGTGGATCACAAACAAGTTTAGTGTGAGTGTGCAGATATCCACTATTGCATATGAATACTAGTCTTAAAAAGTAAAATAGTTCTGTAATCATATAAAACACTGTTTGATTCATATAACACTTTGATATTGGAAGGACTTTCAGCTAAAAGAAAATAACAGCAGCTGTCTGAAACACCAATTCAAAACGAAAAACTCATTCATTAGCAACTTTATACATTGTTTATAGGCAGCTTCAACCCTGACATGGAGAAATTGTATTGAAGCAATAGATTTTGCTATTTATCAGTATTTACTTGATTTTTAAATAAAATATCATAATAATACAGATTAGGCAAATAATTAAAAGGATTCAAGAATTGAAAAGAAAGTAAAGTGCCTTCTACTTTGTCATGGAAAACATGGTGGCAAACTTAAACAACATGTTGCAATATGACTAAAATACAAATCCTGTGTCCATACTTTGCTTACAAGAAGCTGAAATGCTCTGTTCTACATTCTGTTTTCTATTGATAGACATTTTTGGATCCTCTGGTTTTGTCTTAATGATATACACCTTCAGAAATATCATTGATACCAAAACAAAAATCAGAACAGACTGTTGTCAGATCCTTGTAAGATGCAGGACACAGGAATTGTTTTTTGATCAGAGTTAACATGGTGAAATCAATATTTTCTCTTATTTCTTGCTTGTTCTACTATTTAGTCTGCACCCCAGCTTGGCAATTAAAAATTAAGAGTAAAACCTGTGTATTATATATGAACTCATCAGTAATAGATATATTTATCCAGTATTGTCTGTCTCAACAAAGGAGATCAGAAATTTATTATTTCAAACAAAAAGCAGCCAGTTATACCATAGCACAAGCATCATAAAATCCTGCTAATGAGTCCAGAGCTCTGCCTTTGGTGTAGAATCCAATGATATTCTTCATAATCTCAGGATCCTTTCTCCAGTCTAAGGATTGTAAGTAGTTAGCAGCCATCACATAGATCTCCTTCTGTCTGGACACGCCAGCAAAGAATACAATCTTCTCTGTGTCACCTGACTTCAGTAACGCTTTCATTGCCTGTAATATAAAAGTATTTGTCATTCTTTACACTTTTTAACACTATCTTGTTGTCACTTCTTTTTTTTTTTTATAAACTTTTAAAGTTGATGTTAAGAAAAAGACATGACTTACTATATGTATTCATTTGACAAGTATACAGATTGTAACTTTTCTTCAATAAAATATCTTATTCATGTCTTTATCATGTTTATGAAAAGAAACCTATCAAAACTTATAACCTTCTCAAATGTTTTAGTTTAGTTATGTATTATTTCTCTATTTTTATAGTAATGTTCAGAAATTCTACATTTTAATTGTTTAACAATGAAATTTTAATTGTGTAATCTTACAACAAAGTTATATATTTTGAAAAGATATCTCTCTAGTGAGTTGAAAAACAGATACATCTTATTGATCAACCAATTTGTGATGGTGATCTTTAAACTTATCAGGGGTTAAGAAATCCACTAGCCCAACGCCCGGGACTAAAGCATTTACACCTTGGGCAATCAAAACTTCTAACCAACTATGCCCGACAGACTAGTAAGAAAAAATTCTTGGCTTTTCCAAAATACAAAGTGGAAAATCCCTTCATCTCTATTCTGTCTTAGCCAATCAAATTCAATTATGTCATCCGGGATTCCAAGAATTCAAACTGATTTTGTATGTTCTAAAAATAGAACAAATGACTCTGGGTGGACCGGTATCATGTATTGATTGCAATTCCTGTACTATCATTATCGGTTTTTCCGTACTTAGCATATTGTACATTGCTCAAGCCGAGACTTTCAATTAACGTTACTGGGGGTATGATGCATTGATTGGTGTGAACTGTTACTTGTAAGAATCAATGATTTAGCCTTTCAGAAATACATATTAACATAAAATTCTAAATTAATGATCAATTAAAAAAAAGTGAAATGAAAATTTGACAGAACCACGTTGTTGAAACTTATACACGTGTGAGCATGTGCGCAGGTGAGAGATTTAATTTTGAATCCGAATTCTTCAAAAATGCGAACATTATCATAGATACCTTTATCTAAATGTTCATTTCAAGTATTTTCATAAAGAAATAATGTAGAAAGAACTACATAAACTGAATAGACAACTTTGACAGCGTACACGGAGTTTTGTGTCCATCTTTGGTCCGTGTTTTACCATTGACAAGTCAACATCCGGTAATAGGAAAAATGCTTTTTGCAAAAAAGAAAGTACAGCTCTGACAGCGTGATATTGCCTTAATAAAGAGTTTAAGGCAGATTTTAGTTCCCTAATTTTTAACATTTTGTATATGGACTGTCAATTTAACAGTTTACGTCAGAACATCAAAATTATATCAAAAGTCTTCTGAAGTTTAGTATCGTTTTAATGTCAATTATTCAGGCATTGTGATGATGCCAACATTTTAACAATGATTGGCTTTGTGACTAAGTCTTACAGGATTGAAATTTGAATCAGAAGAAAATATCAAGCTGACTCAAACATTTTTGGAAGTCCAGGTTATCAGGTTTGATTAGCTGGGCTAGCATTTCTATCAACAGGACTAGTAAATCCTGCTACCAATAAGTCCTGGGCTAGTGAGCTGTAACAAAATTTTTTAACCCCTACTTATGTAGTGTCATTTAATGTCATTCTTCCTCTCTGTTGACAAAGTTTTGTGTAAGGATCACACCCCTGCTAATGAAGTCTTTATAGTGTGAACATGCATGAGCATAGCATATCAATTAAAATAACGTAAATGCCATACGATTGGGCAGAGGGTATGTTACTGCTGATAAATGGACAAACAATTATCAGAAAGTTAAAATCATCATAAAACAGTAAAAAAAAATACAATAAAGGCGAAAGCTTGATAATAACTTTTCAAACTAATTCTTGACTCTGTCGGAATAAATCTAATTGTTTATACCTTGATTTTGTTTCCAGCCTGAGTGAATTTCTTAGTAGCCAGATGATATCCTCCTTGATGCATACAGACTTCAGCTATAGCTTCTAGTATTTTGATTCTTTCCATAGTATCAATACCAGGTTCATCTTTATCTGGGGTTAATTTCTCTGCTAAGTCCTCATTTATCTCAACGTGCTGGTCCATGCAGATCTTTAAAGCTTCCCAATACTGTAATATAAAAAATACTCGGTAATGACTTATGGGTTCTAAAAACTTGATTTTGCATAATTTTATATATTCTTCATATTCTTTTGGAATTGTCAAAGGACAATTTACAGTAAAAATAAAAAAAGCCTGGCATAGCAGATTCCAATAAATATTGTGACATTGTGTACAAGTAATGTCCCTTTGACAACAAATTGTAATGTAGCACAAAGGACATTTCGCCAAAAACATGGAAAAATTGGTAAATGATTAAAGAATCAATTATGTAGATGAGTCAGGAATCGAACTGGCATGTATGATATAAGTAGATGATAAAACTTAGCTATCACGTCAAAAAGTAAAACAGCCTCCCTTGTTTTGCAACTGTGAACAAGAGAAACCATGTTGTCTTGGATGTATGTAAATCTCCATTGCCGAAAACTGTCCTTAAAAATTTGGTTTCAATCCAGAATAAAATGCTCCGCAGGGCGCAGCTTGATACGACCGCAGAGGTCGAACCCTGAACAGTTGGGGCAAGTATGGACACAACATTCAAGCTTGATACAGCTTTGCATTTGGATTGTGATTAAATATTTGACACAGCATAGGTTTCTGACACAGAATGAATGTGGTCTAAGAACTTAAAAATTTTAAATTGGACATTCACCTATTATGGTCCAATATCCAAAATCTAAATACATGGTTAGATTCAGCATATCAAAGAACCCCAAGAATTCAATTTTTGATGAAATCAAACAAAGTTTAATTTTGGACCCTTTTGACCTCAATGTGGACAAAGTTGAAAACGCGGCCCAAAAATCAAAAATCTAAATACATGGTTAGATTCAGCATATCAAAGAACCCCATATATTCAATTTTTGTTGAAATCAAACAAAGTTTAATTTTGGACCCCGATTTGGACCAACTTGAAAACTGGGCCCATAATCAAAAATCTAAATACATGTTTAGATTCAGAATATCAAAGAACCCTAAGAATTCAATTTTTGTTAAAATCAAACTAAGTTTAATTTTGGACCCTTTGGACCTTAATGTAGACCAATTTGAAAACGGAACCAAAAATTAAGAATCTAAATACATGGTTACATTCGGCATATCAAAGAAACCCAAGAATTCAAGAATAAAACCCCATTGAAATTGGTCAAGAAATAAGCAATTTATACGAAGTATCTTCTTTTGCACAATACTGTGCAATTAAATATTTCTTGCTATTGCGCAATACTGTACAATTGACAATTTCTTGCTATTGCGCAATATTATGCTATTGGATATTTCTTGCTATTGCGCAATACTGTGCAATTGAAGATTTCTTGCTATTGCGCAATACTGTGCAATTGAAGATTTCTTGCTATTGTGCAATACTGCGCAATTGAAAATTTCTTGCTATTGCACAATACTTATTATATAATAATTTACACATCCTGTTTGTTGTGTATCTCCTACCATATCATTATAATTTTCTTTTAAATATAAATCAGAAATAACCAACTTAAAATGGAAAATTTTAAAAGAAAAAAAAAGGAAAAAAAAAAAAATCCCCCCCCCCCAAATTTTTTGAACCCCCTTATGATTCATCACCCCCAAACTCAATCCCAGCCTTCCCTTTGTGGAATGGTACCTTGCAGTACAATTTCAGAGAGATCCATACACTTGAACACAAGTTATTGTCTAGAAACTAGAAAAATGTGTTTTTTGGCCCCTTATTGGCCCCAAATTCCTAAACGTTTAGGGCAATTACCCCCAAACTCAAACCCAGCTTTCCCTTTGTGATATGGAACCTTGTAGTACAATTTCAGAAAGATCCATACACTTACACACAAGTTATTGTCCTGAAACTAGAAAAATGCTTGTTTTTTGCCCCTTTTTGGCCCCTTATTCCTAAAATATTGAGGCAATTACCCCCATCATCAATCCCAGCCTTCCCTTTGTGGTATGGTACCTTGCAGTACAATTTCAGAGAGATCCATACACTTGAACACAAGTTATTGTCTGGAAACTAGAAAAATGCTTATTTTTGGCCCCTTTTTGGCCCCCAATTCCTAAACATTTCAGCAATTACCCCCAAACTCAATTCCAGCTTTCCATTTGTGATATGGAACCTTGTAGTACAATTTCAGAAAGATCCATACACTTACACACAAGTTATTGTTATGAAACTAGAAAAATGCTTGTTTTTTGCCCCTTTTTTGGCCCCTAATTCCTAAAATTTTGAGGCAATTACCCCCAAAATCAATCCCAGCATTCCTTTTGTGATATGGAACCTTGTGGTACAATGTCAGAGAGATCCATACACTAACACACAAGTTATGTCTGGAAGTTACAAAAATGCTTATTTTTGGCCCCTTTTTGGCCCCTAATTCCTTTACTGTTGGTACCATAACCCCCAAAAACAATCCCAACCTTCCTTTTGTGGTATTGAACCTTGTGGTAAAATTTCATAGAGATCCATTCACTTAAACTAAAGTTAGAGTGCGAAAACCAATGTGTCTTCGGACGACGCCAGACGACGACGACGACGACGCCAACGTCATACCAATATACGACCACAAAAATTTTTTTGCGGTCGTATAAAAAGGGCATTAGCCTGAACTAAGAAAAAGCAGATGAATTTTTCGCTGATGTATGCACTTAATTAAGACTTGATTATAAATTATATAGCTTTATGTTTCGACAATTATCACACAAACTCATGTAATCATACTTAAAAATTCAGAAAATAAATAACAGCAAAATCAAGAGCTGGTGAAATAGTCATTCAATGCAAAACACAGAGAGATTTTATACTTTCATATTCCATTTCATTGTTTTGTTTGATTTGAGTATATATGCTCATGCAATGTCATGACAACCTGTTTTATTACTGGAATACAATAAGGTTTATACTTAAGCCCTCAGTTATCATCGGTTACATATTTTGCAATATAAATGAACATAATGAAAATCAGTTAACTAATATTATAGAATACTTTTCAAACTTACTTTCTTGCCAATAGCTAATAGGTCTACAGCTTTGTCATACTGTCCATTCTCTAAGAAGAAATCTCCACATCTCTGAAGAAGTTCTGGATCTGCCCTCTCATCAAGCTCTCCTGAGATCAACTGTAGTGCACCAAATTGTTTAGCTCTAAATGATAGGTCCAAAGCTTTGGAAAAGTTTCCAGCCTATGAAAATGTAAATATACAGTTATTAAACAATTATATAAACATGTATATATTAACCTCAGTTAACTGTGGAATTCAGCATTTTCCCCTTTGCTAAGTTTTCACCCATTTTACCCAATGTATTAGCATAACATGGTCTTTCCAGAGATATAATCCAGAACAAGAACTTTCTCATAATTTTTTTCATAAATGAGTGGAACAGGAACTAAATTCATATTTCACAGAAAAACATGAAATATTCTGAAATTCCCTCTTACAACAGCTAAAATAATTTGAATAAAAGCTACATTGTTAGTTTTTCCTAAAAGACTCACCTTGTGGTACAACATAACTGCTTTATCCTGGGATCCATGCTTTTGTTCATAATACCGAGCTGCCTCCATCATGTCCTCAGGACGTCCTAACAATGCTAGATTCATTAACTGATCTTCATATCCATGTTCCTGGGGGAAAATAAAGCCAAAAACATCAATTAAAAATAAACAAAGAAATTTTTTGACCTTTTCTTCTACTTTGCATAGATATACATGTATATGTTATAGCTTAGATTTAAAATATTCAAAAATGAGAACAAACAATTGAAATCTTTTTCTGATGTTAACATTGTCTTTCTTGCATCACTTTCTGTACGGAAAAGAAACATGTGTACAAACCATTTTTAAGAAAAAAAGGGAGGTTTAATTTTCCAAAAATAGATCCTGTGGATTCTTTTATTTTCGTGATACCAATTTTCGTTGATTGCAGGAAAATTGCTTTTATGTTGATTATAAATTTCATGGTTTTGCAAAAGTTTGCATAAAAGTATATAGTACTTTATTGAACATTCAAATTTGTGATTAACCTATACTAAAGAGATCCACGAAAATAGGTATCCCACAAATAATAATTAATCCACGGTAGTTGTTAAGTCAGAGAGAAATATCTTCAGACAAAAGGCCAATACATTTATGTAGCCCTAAAAATATTAAGGAACTTTGATTTGACAGCAGCTAACAATTATATACTTACCTTGCATAACCTGATAGCATTACCAAATGCTTGTGCTCTCTGGAAGAAATGTATAGCTTCTTTGATCTGGTCCTGATTTTCAAACTGTCTACCTAGATGATAACACGCAGCTTTGTCCCCTGTTTCATTACAGATTTCTGCAGCTTTTTCCATATTTCCACAGTAGCAATAAACTCTGACTAGAGAAAGATAGTCCTGGGCATTTTCATAATACTGCAGGGCAGTTTCCATTTCTCCTGTACTCTCCATGTACTGTGCCCACCATTTGTGTAGGGCCCTACAATAAAGGAAAAGAGTCTTTAGAAATGCCATAATAAATAACAGAGGTATCCTCAATTCACATCAATTTACTGATACTATGTAAAATAAGTAAAGTTTAAATTATTAGCTTATCCTTCTAAATTTATGATTATTGATGTTCTAAGATGTATTCATGGAAATCACTTTTAATTTACAATATTCAAAGCTCAAGCTGAATACTGGATATTTGCCATTTTGAAAGTCTAAAAATTAGAATGAAAATAGACCCTTCAAGACATGAAAAAAAATTAAAAAGGAGTTTTCAGCTTTTGTCAGTACTATATCATATTGTCAATATTTTGAAAAATTTAACATCAAGTTATTTCATTGTCTGTTGTATCAAAAAGTCATTAAATTAAAAATATCTCCATTCAGTATTTTTTTAAAAACACTTTCAAAATTAAAATACAACTGATAAATTAAATGTGGCATTTTATTTCAGACAGTGATAACTTAATAGGTGTCTTTCTCAATGGGTTCTGAAATTTCAAAAGCTATAGCAAACTGTAACATTTATATGTATTTTAGTTAGAAGTCACAACTGTACTTAGCATACCTGTCTTTATGTCGACTAATATATTGTTCCAAGGCATCAGGTTCTTCAAATAACATTCTTGGTACTTCAAATCTATGTGTATCAGATTTCTCAAAACTGCAAAATACATGTCAAGATTTATCATAGAATACATTTTTCTGAAAATTAATAATACTCCATTTAAAAATACAAGAAGATTGCTACACCGTAGCAAAATGTTCCCTGTGGATGTGTTCTGTGGAATGCAGTCACTATGAAACATGAAATCTTTCTGGCAAATGGTCTCACAGGAATTGCCCTCAAAAGGTGTCATTGTGTTGTAAGAGTAAACATATTGCCAAAGTTCGATAACCCCTGTATAAATTGTCAAAACAAAATAACTGTATGTTATTGTCAACTACACATGATGACAAACATTTCTATAAAGTGTTAAATAGATATAAGAAGATGTGGTATGAGTGCCAATGAGACAACTCTCCATCCAAGTCAAAATTTATAAAAGTAAACCATTATAGGTCAAAGTACGGTCTTCAACACGGAGCCTTGGCTCACACCGAACAGCAAGCTATAAAGGGCCCCAAAAATTACTAGTGTAAAACCATTCAAACGGGAAAACCAACAGTCTAATCTATATAAAAAACTAGAAACCAGAAACACTTATGAACCACATCAATAAATGACAACTACTGAACATCAGATTCCTGACTTAGGACAGGTGCAAACAATTGCAGAGGGTTCTAACTTTTTAATGGTACCAAACCTTCACCCTTATCTGAAACAATAGTGTAACATCACAACATAGAAATACACACTATAAAATATCAATTGAAATGGCTTAACTCAATCAAGGACATATTAACACCAGTAAACATAAGCTGAACAAATAAATTAGATCTATGATACAATGTGAATACAAAATAAATAAACAAAGGGAAGAATAATTAAAGTAACATGTTATACCGCTGTGAAATGTTAAACAATTTAAGAAAACAATATGCTTGAACCAAAATAGCAGCCATTTGCAATTACTTTAAACACAGGTAAATGAAAATAATTTTGTTGTTAGGTATACGTGTACAGTTCAAATGGAGAAAGGAAATTTTTTACAAAATAAATAATTTTGATGTTCATAGTACGAAGAAGTGAAAATTTATAGTAATACCAAACACTTATCAAAGCTGGTATATAGACCAGATATTACCAATATAAAGCATACTGTCATACATTTTCATTTTCATAAACAGTTTCAGAGGAGTTGCATTCAAAGGTGTCATCATGTTATGACAGTAAAACTAAATGGTCAAAGTCCCATAACTCCAATATTTTATCAAATCAGAATGATCAAGAGAAGATGAGAAAATATCTTTCTTAGTACGAAAGAAGGATGGTCACATGGTCTTTGAGTATGTTATGACTGGGATGGACATACATTGTACAGATAGCATTCAACTATGGTATAATATAAGGCTTACTTTGGTATAGCTTCAGATAATTCTCCATTTGTCTCTAGATGCTTAGCATAGTTATAATATGTTGTACGGAGGTGTATCCTATCATAGGTCTCTGCTGTTTCCAAAGCCTGCAAAAGAAAATTTTAGTATTTAAAACATTTATTTTAAAGCCTGTAGCTAGATCAATTAAACTATTAATATTTGGTTAGATATCATTTCAGAATACATAATGCTCAATATAATAAAACTATTATTGTAGATTCATTTATTTTCGTGGATATCAATTTTCGTGGATTGGGGAAAAATTTATTTTCATGGTTTTGTCAAATTCTCTGGCTAGTCTATCAATAAACTTACCTTTTTCCACTGTCCTGTAGACTGATAAAATTCATTTAACAAATCATATCTTTTACAGTTCTTTAGCAACCTTTCAGCATCCTCCTGTAAAGTTTAAAAAAACTAATGTTATAAAATTCAAATTATAAATCTAATCTACCATAATTATTGAGTTCAATTGCTATTACTCATTAATACATAATTATTACTCTAAAAAAACACGTACATTTTAATGGAATAGCCCTAACTGCTGTTATTGTTTATAGCCCTAATTTTTTTTAAATTTTTTAATAATACAGAATTGAACTGATTAGTATTAGTGAGTGAAATGTCTTACCTTTAACCCTAGTTGCATAGCTAGAACTGCTACTTTGGCATCTAATTCTGGTTCTTTCATGGCTTCCCTAAGAGCTTTAGCACCTCTAGCATTACCCATGTTACCCAGACAAACACTAGCAACATCAAGTCTTCTACTCTTTACACACATCTTGGCCATATTCTCCCACACAGATTCACTAAAAAAAAATGTTAAAATAAGACTGGAAGAGGTCAGTTACAATTGTGCTACAATTAAAAAGCACAGAATAACTGAGACTTAGATAATAAAAGAACATGAGTAAACAGAATGACAGTTACTCCTGTAAACAATACTGAAAATGAAAGATTGAGCAAAATAAATACTAGGGTAAAAAAAAAACAAACAAAAAAAACAAAGAGTGGTATCAGGACTTCATATGGTAAATACATACTGCTTATTATGTGACATTAATTGCATTGTCTTTACCCAGTTATTGTAACATGTTCGTTTTTTTCAGATTGAAATATTTTTCTTTACAAAAAGTTAATAACCCTATTTTTTTATACACTATTGTGATGTGTGTGATGCTAGTGGTTGGAATGCAATTTTAGAGAAATACTCTTCAGTTATTTGGCAATGTATAAAATTCCTTAATTCTTATTTTTTAATTTCAAACAGTTTTATACACATACACAGATGGGTGACCTGCTACTAGAAAATAGTAAAGATAATTAACTGTTTACACAAAGCCATATCTTGTTTGTGTAACCTAATCACCAACTTTTACTAATGTTGATCACCTTGAAGCAGAAGTATGCCCAGAAAATATTGTGAAAATTGAATTTTTACAGTAATGGACATTGTTTTAAATGTTTGAAGACTCTTCTACTGGCATCTAAAACATTTTTTTTAATTATATGTATCATCATGTACAATTTAATATACTTACCTTTTTATTAATTTAATTGCTTTAAATGCCTCATCCATATTCCCTATTGTTAAATAGAAACTAAAATTTAACATGGCATCTTTTGTATTTTTATCACTCTTTTCTAAGCCAACAAAATCTCTCATGGTTTTTCTAGCTACTAATCTTGGAGATGCTCCCTCAGCCTTGACTACATTTTCTGGGAGTTCCTCATCATTCTTTAGTGTTTCAGACTGTAAAATATACAAAAAAGTTTTTTTAATAATTTGAATTCCAGCATCTCTTTCAACATCGTTATTTCTATAACAACTTTAACTTACTTAGGCCATCACATTAAGAGTTTTGTAATGATCATGATGATGCGTTAAGCATTTTAAAAACTGACTAAAGAAATAAAATAATTTTAATTTTATTTTTGTCCTGAAAATCTATGAAATATTACCATGGATATTAAGCAAATGATTTATTTCAAAATTCATTTCATTTCGATATTGTTTGCCTATATGTATATCAGTTTCAGTTTAAATGTTTTATTAGCTCCTGCTTGTTCTTAGATTAACAGCTAACTATTTAGCTTACATAATCTACAGCATAATCACACACACACACACACACACACACACATATATATTTTATAATATGGACAAAAGATGATACATCACATGATCATAATTTTTTGCAAGAGGCAAATTTAACCTATTAAACTGATATTCATATACTGATAGTCTTTATTTGAGAATTAATCTCATTGTTGCATGCAAATGGATAACCACTTATCCATGAAGATATGGCTTCCAAATAATCTAAAAAATTCGAACAGATTTTATATTTATTTCACACAAAACTGCATTTCAAAGTTTTCTGATTCGACCCATTTCAAAATACGTTTAATTTTCTTCTCTAGCTATACATGTAAATAAAAAATTCTTAGCAGTTCTATCAAACAAACAACCGTTTGTACACCATTCATTCATTTTTGTAAACATTTAAAATCATAATTTTCTTCCCATTCAATAAAACAAAAAATAAACTGTTGACACAAAGATATGTCTCGCCTGTCGGCATAAAATTAAGAATAAGACAATCTGATGGACAGCAACATGGTTTATTAATTCAGTCGCTGGAATATTATCTAGTATGCAGGGCCAGAAAATAATTGTCAAACTGATCTGTACTGATAGAAATGCAATTTTATACAAAATATCATTGATTTATGAAACTGACTTAAGCAGAAAACTTAACATTGAAAAATGCTAATTAATTCAAAGTCACTGGACCATGACCTAGGGGGCAGGGCCTCGAAATAGTCCTCAAACTGATATGAACTGATAGTAATGCAATTTCATACAAAATATCATTGATCTATCACAAGTAGATCCTATCATACTATCTTAAGCAGAAAACTTAATATTGAAAACTGCTAATGAATTCAAAGTCACTGGACCATGACCTAGGGTGCAAGGCTGTGAAATAGTCGTCAAACTGATATGTACTGATAGCAATGCAACTTTATATTAGATATCAATTATCTATCACAAGTAGATCCTATCAAACTAACTTATAGGGGTCAGGATCTCGAAATAGTTGTCAAACTACTATTATATACTGATAGTAATGCAACTTTATATTAGATATCAATGATCTATCACAAGTAGATCCTATCAAACTAACTTAAGCAGAAAACTTAACAATTGTTGATGCCGTCGCCACAGCCAGAAAAACAATCCCTATGTCTCGCTTTCCGGGACTTTTGTCACAGGCGAGACAAAAACCAATATCAGTGCTAAATAAGTGACCTTATTCCCACAGTTCAAGTCCTTACATTTTACCCACAGTAACTCTACATTTTCATAATTGAACAGACTGCTTAATTTTCTTTTCTCTTGATCTTTATTTTATAATAAACCATATATCTGAAATGCTAAACTAACTATTTAAACACTTTTCAATGTAAAAGATAACTCCTTAACATTAAATGAAAAGAGATCTTTAGTATCAAATGATATCATATCCTATTTATAGTAATTTTTAACTCAAGTATCCCTCATAATTGTTTTATATATCATAGTAAAAGTAATCCTCATGTACATTTCAATAAAATATTCAATGATTGTCTATTTCATTTAATAGGGAAATAGTGTTGAACTTTCAAAAAATTAAAATCATGTATTTATACTTAAAATCACTTTTTAGAAATGTATATCATATATTCAATCAAATGTTAGTGTTTACAAAACATAATCTCATTAAAACTCATATTGGTCATTAATATTTCTATCAATCTGTTCAATTGTTTAAACATTGAGTTACATAGGTAAAGTTTGTTCACAAAACAAAACAGGGTTGTAACCCTGTGTATGAACAATGGTGACAAAACTCAATATACTACTACATCAATACAAATGCTTACTCCTTCTGCATCATTGGCACTCTGTTAAAATATTTGATGCTTTACTTCATATGTGTACATGTTGCATTATATCAACCATTTTGATAGTTATTATAAACAATGTACAGTAATTTAAGAATTTTTTTTCAAGCAAGTGCAACATTAAAAGATGTCAGTTTGACACTCTATAAGCACAGGAAAAGCTTTCGAAATGGGAAAAAAAAAACATCGTAGGGAGCATCACAGAAAAATTTTCAAGGTTGGCAGTTATAAAAAATTATTTTAACAATCTTAAATAGAAATACATATACATGTATTTGTATTTGTACAACAACAAAAATAAATGTGGATAGTGTCCACATGTGGACACAGATGATGCCCCCGCTTGCATAGCATATAGTTATAAAGGGACATAACTGAAGAACAGTAAAAGTGACGCTACCCAAATTTGAACTTGATCTGAGTTTTGTGGTAATAAGCATTGTGTGTAAGTCTCATAACATTTGGTTGAGGCTAACTTAAGAAGGGAACAGAAACTAAAAATTCAGCAATTTTTCTATTTGTAAACATGCTTAACTCTAGAACGGTTGTGTATAAGTTTTATAACATTTGGTTGAGACAAACTAAAGTTAGAGAACAGAAACAAAAAATTCAGCAATTTTTATGTTTATAAAGGGACATAACTCAAGAATGGTAAAAGTGTTCTCACCAAATTTCGTACTTAATCTGTATTATGTATTAATAAGCATTGTGTACAAGTTTCATAACATTTGGTTGAGGCAAACTAAAGTTAGAAAAAGGAAACAAAAAATTTGTACTTGATCTTAGTTTTGTGGTAATGAATATTGTGTATAGGTTTCATAATGTTTGGTTGGGGCAAACTTAAGTTACAGAATGGAAACTAAAAATTTTGCAATCTTTCGATTTATAAACAGGCAATTAACTCAATAATGGTTAAAGTGACACTACGCAAATTCAACTTGATCTGTATTTTATTACTTTATATTAAGAAGAAAATAAAAATTTTGCAATTTTTCTATTTATAAAGGGGCATAACTCTAGAACGGTTATAGTGATGCCACCAAAATTCAAACTTGATCTGTGTTGTGTGGTAAAAGGCATTGTGTATAAGTTTCATAACATTTTGTTGAGGCAAACTTAAGTTAGAGAACGGAAACTAAAACTTTTGCAATTTTTCCATTTATAAAGGGGCATAACTCTAGAATGGTTAAAGTGACGCCACCAAAATTCAAACTTGATCTGTGTTTTGTGGTAATAAGCATTGTGTATAAGTTTCATAACATTTGGTTGATGCAAACTTAAGTTGGAGAACAGAAACTATAAATTTTGCAATTTTTCCATTTATAAAGGGGCATAATTCAAGAACTGTTAAAGTGACGCCACCAAAATTCAAACTTGATCTGTGTTTTGTGGTAATAAGCATTGTGTATAAGTTTCATAACATTTGGTTGAGGCAAACTCAAGTTAGAGAACGGAAACCAATTTTGGGACGGACGTACGTACGTACGTACAGACGGACAAGGGTAAAACTTAATGCCCCCACCAAAATAAAAATTAGTTATTGTCTTTCAAACCTATAATGATTAAGAAATACTTTCCAAAGTTATCTAATACAGTCTCAAAACTCAATGTGCATTCCGAGAAAATCAAGAAGGTCCTTGGTGGATAGTTGTCTCATTACAATCATACCACATCTCTTTATTTTTTTATTCAAACCATATATGTGTTCAGTAACTACTGTTAGTCCGAATGATTTTTTCAATATTTTATCCAAAAAAAAATGTTAATTCTCACACATATAGTTCCTTAAAATATTATAGGAATCTGGAGATTTAGTTTGTTCTTAGATTAATCAGGATTGAATATTACACAGGAAATACAGAACAGATTCACAGAATAACTTTTTCTGGGCAAAACAAAATAGGGTATTTTTTAATATGTAGACAGTTACATTTTCTGTACATAAACAAACAAGTATTTAAATGTACACAGATATAATTTTATCAACAAACTTCTACATACATTGATTTTTGTGTAAGACGATTCCTAAAAACAAAATAACAGCCCTATTTATAACAAAGGAATGATACAAGCCACAAAACATATTTAGTGTCATTACAACTGAAATTAAATTTGCATATTGGTATATATAATATACTCTCCATGTACAGTTCATTTTATTCAATAACCATATCCTCATGTAATTTCCAGTCACAAATGAATTTCATATTAACTAGTAATGATGAATCATTTCATGCATATAAGAAGTGTCTGGTTCACACAGAGACCTATCTCAGTTAGGTATTAACTAAAATATACTAGTTAGTTTTGAACAGAACAGAAAACTTCTGTACTTCTGTACTTCAACTGTGTAGTTGCTGTAGACTGTGTCCCCTTTCTCGTGGTGTATGCCCTTTTGGAATTTTTGCTTGTGAGAGAGCTGTCTACTGTTAGTATTTATCATTACATTTGTTCTATTTCTGTAAAATTTAAGTTAAGTTTATCATATCCACTTCATTTGAACTTTGATGGATAGTTGTCTCATTGGCAATCAAAACACATCTCCTTAATTTTATATTGTCAGTTGTAACACAAAATTCTAGTAATTTCAAAAAGTTTTATCAAAAAATATAATAATGAACTAGAACTAGCTAATAACTAATTTTAAAATGCATATATTTTTTTAATATTTTAGTTTCAAAAGATGATTTGCTTATTTTTGTTCTCAGACCTGCAACTTCTTATCTAGAAAGCATATACAACAATAAAAGTAGTTTACACTTTCGATACAACAATAGTATTTATTATTCTGCGATAATGAAAATAATCCAAATAATACGTATTAAACCACTGTTCTATCTTTATAAAATAATAATAAAAGTTAACATTTAGAGAAATGAAATACTTACTGTTACTTTGTATGACTAATATATATCATAACAAAATTACAGTAATATATAGATATGTAATATAATGTTTAAAACAATCTAAAATTCAAATTTTTGACAATTTTTTGGGAAAAAAATTATAATTTTGAGTGCTCATGGCTACTTTAAATACTCAATTTCTGATATTTTAAGAACAGATGTGAAAATTAATCATTAAGGCAATTAACATGATATCTGATCATTGACCTTATATGTTCACATGGTTCATACACATGTAGATTTCATGCACATTACATTATATACATTATTCAATAAAAATCTATGTGTTTTTTTTTATCTGACATGTCTTCAGTTTTTAAGCAATTTTTATAACGATAATATCTATGAGTAAAATCCATTACGGAAGAAAACATTTTCAAATGTATTTGTAATTTTGTCCATCTTTACCCATTGATAACTTTTCATTGATATTATATGTTCATGCAGATGCTGATTGCAGGCACATTACATAATATACATTATTGAATTAAAATATTCTTTACCTTTTTAACAAAGTAGTAATATGGCACTTCTACACCAAGTAACGCCTGGAACTGTTCTGGCATTGGGAAGCTATCCTGTATCAATGTTCCATTCTCTGGTGTAGAGAATAAGGAAACAACCATAACTTCAACCTAAAATGAAAAAAAAAGTACCTCCTTAATCAACTGTCTTAGGTCTATTCCATTAATATGAATGTGGGAGGTCAGGAAGAGAAGTTTTATTTTGGGACATGGGTCATTAGTCATTTATGGTGGTGTGGTATGCGATTCATGCAGAATTACTTAAAGAAGTGTACTGGTTGTGGTGGATTTGAAAAACGTTTCTAACATCCATTCAGTAAAATAAGTCTCTTATAATACGAAGATATTTTATTTATCACTTAAAATTATAGAAATGTGACAATATTCCAGAGACATCAAATTATGCATCTGAAAAGTTGCATACAGAACATTGTTGAAGGTCTGTTATTTGTGTGGGAATAATAATCTAAATGTATATGTAGAAAACTTTCAATTATAAGCAAAATGTCTGTACTGATCTGGTTCCTTTAAAAATGGTTAACAATTACAAGTATACAGATATTCCCATCATGCAATACCATCATTATCACTTACAGGTCCTTCATCCATTGATTTAGACAATGAGTGTGTCTTCTTCTCTTCTTTCTCTTTCTTTTCAAAGGCACTAGCCAGTACTGTAGCTTGACATATAATTAACTTAGGTTCTGTATGATCCCAGTGATGAGATGTAGGTGTTCTACCAGCTATATCTTTAGCAGCTTGGGTTTTCCCTCTGAAATGTAGATGATGAAAAACGTTTTAACAATTGAAAGTTTCTTCTCCCACCCCAGCCCAACTTTCAGAGTTTGTCAAAAATTCCCTAAGGCAATACTTTTTTCCACACCAGGTGCAAATGGACGTGTGTGACCTAAGGTCTGCTTGACCATAATACCCACATGGGTACAAACAAATATAATACATTATACACAGCTGCATCTATTAGAAATGTGTTTCTGGAGACTGTTTACAAGCAATGATTGTTTAAAATCATCACACAATCTTTGTGCTTTGATCCATCTCATTACTCCAGTAAATATCAATTTTAGTTAGGCTTGCTATTAAAGGTTCTATGTACATTTCACAATAATTGCGACGAAATGTCTTTCTGTTTTTATAAACACCAACGCCAATTAGATATATATTTTTTTTGTATTCCATTTTCAATAATGCAACACCTCTTTTAAGGATAATTCATAACCAATCATGCATTAAATTTACCTTTCGGCATCATTAGTGTCGACCTCTAACCCCTCTATCTGTTCTGGTGGATAATCATCCTGTTCCCCTCTACCCGACTCAAAGTTAAAGAAAGTCACTGTATCTGTCTCTACATCCCAGAAATACAACTTGGGATCCACATGGCCATCATGCTAAAAAACAACATTTTTTAAGTGATTTAAATTAATAGTTAAAGACCCTTGAATTTTTGCACTGCAGGTTAACTTTCTTTAGGTACATACATACTAGGGCTTAAAGTATTGAAATTAAAAAAAATAGATATTAAAGATTGAAACATAATAACCAATCATAATATTCCATGTGATCACTACTGCTATACAAGGCCTTGGCTAATATCTAAATATTATCGACAAATTTCAAAATGAGGCTATTATTTTAATCCAAAAAAAGAGCCTTATTGCTTCTCCTTTAATGAATATATAAAGAGAATCTTACCATCCTGACCATAAGACTGACTTTTGTACCATTACAGTTACATTTACAGGAGACAATACCACCAAATCCTGGTATTACTTCACTTAGGTTCTTAGGCTGACTGTGAGCTTTTGCTTCCCTGTAATAAAACCAATATATTTGTGAACAAAAACGAATAATCTTAAATTGACAGAATGATTGATGGTTATTTAATATCCACTAGCAATTTCTATATCCCAGGATGATACCATGTTACATGTCATATGAATAGTATATCCTGCTTTATACTAGACTACAAGCAGAGCTGTATTTTTAATGAGCTTGTGCTCTAGAAAACAAGAAGACATACCATCCTACACAAACACATTATTCTGACTTTGAGCCAACCTGTATGCTATATGCAAAAGCTAAAAATATAATTTCTAAAATTCAGGGTCCTAACATACAACCTTCCTATTGCTGCAAGCCCTTTATTGCAAGACTATTCAACGGTGAAATAGTTCAGAAAATAACAAGAAATCTTTACTTTACAGCATAGTCACTGGATGTATGATCAAAGCAAATCTAATTTTTGCCATTAAAGCAAAATGAATTTTAAACAATAAGTATAAAAACTTTTAACTTTTTAGTTCATAAATGTTAGTTTTAGGCAACCAAAATCTAACATCAAACTTTTATGTAATATAAAAATTTGAATAATGTCAATAAAATGCTTCGCTGAGCGCAGCCTGATACGACCGCAGAGGTCGAACCCTGAACAGTTGGGGTAAATTTGGACACAATATTCAAGCTTGATACTGTCTGAATTTGGATTGTGATCAAATTTTTGACATAATATAGGTTTCTGACACAAAATAAATGTGGTCAAAGATCTTTGAAATCTATTGCGCAATACTGTGCAATGGAAGATTTCTTCTTGAAATTTTTCAAAAATTCAAAATATGAAAAATTTTGAAAAAAAAAATATGAATCCCCTAAAAAAATTTGAAAAAAATCCTCCCCCCCCCCCCCAACTTTTTGAAACCCTCCTTGGAGCAATAACCCCATTACTCAATCCCAGCCTTTCCTTTGTAGTATGAAAGCTTGTAGTACAATTTCAGAGAGATCCATACACTTAAACACAAGTTATTGTCTGGAAACTAGAAAAATGCTTGTATTTGGCCCTTTTTGGCCCCTATTTCCTACATGTTTCAGGCAATTAACCCCAAACTAAATCCCAGACTTCCCTTTGTGATATGGAACCTTGTATTACAATGTCAGAGAGATCCATACACTTACACACAAGTTATTGTCTGGAAACTAGAAAAATGCTTCTTTTTGGCCCCTTTTTGGCCCTTAATTCCTAAACTGTTGGCCCCATAACCCCTAAGATGAATCCCAACCTTCTACTTGTGGTATTAAACATTGTGGTACAATTTCAGAGCAATCGAAATACTTATACACAAGTTATTATCCTGAAACTAGAAAAATGCTTGTTTTGGGTCCCTTTTGGGCCCCTAATTCCTAGATGTTTGGGACCATCATCCCCAAAATCAATCCCAACCTTCCTTTTGTGGTATTGAACCTTCTTAAAAAATTTCATAGAGATCCATTCACTTGTTATCCACAGTTATTGTCCGGAAACCAATGTCTCTTCGGACGACGACGACGACATCATATTATTATGCGATCCCAAAAAATTTTTTGCGGTCGTATAAAAATGTAAGATAGTAAAAAGAAGTGAAACAAGCATTCTGCAAGTATCGCATGGCAATACATAGTCCACTACCAGTTAAAAATTTATTGTATTGGAACAAAATTCTAACTTGATCTATAACTTGTCATGGTGTAAACTATATAACAAATATCAATGCACAAAATCATCTGACCGGAACAAAAGTCGAACTTGATCTGTAACTTATGATAAAACTATATATCAATTTTGAAATCAATATGTTCAAGCATGATGAAAAAAATAGGGGAATACTGATAATTTGAGTGAATTTTTTTAGTCCAAGGACCAAAATTCTGCACAAAGTCATCAGACCGGAACAAAATTCAAACTTGAACTGTAACTTGTAATGATAAAACTATATACCAATTATCAAATCAATATCTTTGAGAATGACAAAAAAAATGCGGAAAACTGATTATTTTAGTGAATTTTCTATGTCAAAGGACCATAACTCTGCACAAAATCATCAGACCAGAACAAAATTCGAACTTGATCTGTAACTAGTCATGATAAAACAACACACCAAATATCAAATCAATATCTTCAAGCATGAAGAAAAAAAGTGTGGAAAACTGATTTGCCAGACTGATGGATGGACAGACGGACGGAGTGCAAGCCAAAAGTCCCCTTTGACTTGGTCGGTAGGGGACTAACAAGTGAAACTGTGAGCTACTGCTCACTGATGATACCCCAGTCCAAATACTTGACGGTAAACAGGAAGTTGTTGAGTGATGAATCTGAAAACACATCACTCGGTATAGCTGACTTATATAAACCATGAAACCAAAATTTCAGAAATTCTTATGTAGTTCTGGAGAAAAATGGGATGAAAAATATTCATGGGACTGACAAACGGACAGACAGACAGACAGAGGTAAAACAGTATAACCCCACTTTTTTAAAGCTGGGGTATAATAAATTTGTATTCATATAGTAACACCATGGCAATAGAAACTTTACCTTCTAGATAGATCATAAACTCTAACAATTCCATTACTTGTAGCTATAACCAGATAGTTGGCACATACATCAATACTGGCAGGCTGTCCTTCTACTTCATTGAAATTCAATACCTGTTTTACTGTTCCCTACAAAATAAAATCCATTGTTTATGAAACAGTCTAGCAGTTAATTAGTGTATATTCTGATTTGCAGACTAACTATGGATATAAAACTGAACACATTATCTCTCTACAAGTATAAATATTATGAAATGTTATTATAGGCTTAACACCAGGGCTCTGTTTTGAAGTTTGTAAACATACTGAATGACAATTGATATAATTTTCCTTACCTGGAGTCTAAGCATTACAAGTTTAAAAGATTCATAAAAGAGACCAAATATGGGCCTGATTTTACCTGGATGATTATTTATTAATTTAGTGCAACTTCATTAAAATCTTAAATTTTACAGTACCCAAAAAAAGAAATATGATGCAAACTTGAACCAAAGGGAGTGTAGCAAATTAAGTACTATGTGTTCCTTTCACTTCCAAAGGCTTTTTTGAAGCAAAGCAAACATGTATAATTAAAGTACATTCAATTTAATTAAAATTCAGCATTTATTACAAAAGATGCATAGACCTGCAAATTTCTTAAACAACATTTTGTTAGTAATATCTTCATTTAACCCAATATAATTTATTTCCATAAAAACAACAAAATACTCATGCCAAATGAAGTTTTATGCTAACAAAATGAATACATATTAATAAATTGCAAAATTTCATAGTTGCAGTATAACTTTTTATAAAAATGAGGAGATGTGGTGATTGCTATCGCCCCGAGTTAAAATGAAGCAATAGTAAGCGATTTTAGGCAACTGTACGGCCTTCAACAATGAGAAAAACTCATACCATATAGCTGGCTATATAAGGCCTTGACATGAAAAATGTGAAACAATTCAAATTTTTTACCAGTTTGTTATCTGTACAGAAAAAAGCTTTCTGGACATCATGATATCACAGTTTGTACTTTAAACTTGATGCTGATTGCTCATAAAATTGCACTAGATACAAGTGTAGATGGTCCCCATACAATCAGGATCTGACATAGGAATTTGAAACACTGAAATCAATCGAGTTTAAAATATAGGACATTTTTACCTTCTTCTGTTTTAAACTTAAAAGAAATTTTTCATTCAAAAGTAAACAATCCTTTTTCTTAAAAATGTGTCCAGATAATTAAGTTTCTATACTTTACCTGATGTGTTCTAACTTGAACTTTCCCTGGTTCTATGCAATACACATTTTGCTCATATAAGCAAACCTCCATAGCTTCAGTTGTAAATGTTCCTGTAAGATTAATTTTCATAGGCTGGCTTTAAAATGTATCAACTCTTCCCTCGGAGTTCGTTATTTTTGTTATTTTATTTTCTACATGTTAAAATACTTAAAAAGGGTCTTGTAACATATAACTTGAATGGTAATAGAAATGTTAAAGTTAAAATTGTTAGGCCTTATAAAACCAGCTGAAATATTCAGAGTTATTGACAGTTTGTTCATATTATAGTATTCAAATACTTTATAATTCTTATACAGATGTTTAAGCATCAAATTTAAATTAACATGATTGATAAAACAAACAAAGATTATATCTTATATGCAAATTTTTTTTATACCTGCAGCCTTTATCGAGGCTTTATCTTGAGCATAGTCATATGTTATGACTCGTCTGCCATTCCATAAAGCCAAGGCATCCTAAAGAGAAAAAATATAACAATTGATATATACATTTTTTAATACAGTTAGTTTAGAGTCTTTCCATTGAGAATTTATAATTTAGAATCCAACAATAAAATAATTGGCAGCTGAGGTGGCATTGTAATGCCACCTTCCGAGTCTTTCCATGGAGAATTTATAATTTAGAATCCAACAATAAAATAATTGGCAGCTGAGGTGGCATTATACTGCCACCTTCAATCAACATTGGGTCCTCTTTTTCACTATCTTTAGTAAAATCATGTCAAATCCCTAGTACAGCAAGATTGTAAAAAGCTAGACCAAATTTCAGTCTTAAAACAAATAGCCTGTTGGACCAATAAAAATAAAGATCTACACATTTAAAAGAATGCATCTGAATAAAATCAAATATTGTAAATTCAGAAATGTTTGGGATGTTTTTATTATTATGAAAACCGCAATGGGATAGATTTCTAAAAAATAAAAAATGCATACTAAATTTGATAGCATTACTTTTATGCATTTATTTTTGCATTTTTAAAGATATTTAAACAGTTGCAATAATAAATGCATGCAAAAATTTTAAATTAACAGTGCACTATTTGTTCAAAATGGCTTATAGCTGCTTCCTCCTCACCAAAACTAAATTCCCTACATTAGGTACTAGTTTTATTACCTTTGTTGTGTAGATGCCTTTGACCTGTATTTCTGTTTTTAAATCATGGTGCTGTCCTGTAGCAAACATCTCTATAGACAGAGAGCTAGGACCATACTGTACAACAGCTGTCTGAAGTAAAAGATAGTAAAAACAGAACATACATCAAGCTTTACATCGAACTCTGACTTCTTTTAAACTGAGTTTTACTGTGCATATTGTTGTGTGTTTGTTTATTCCACATTGGCTAGAGGTATAGGGGGAGTGTTGAGATCTCACAAATATGTTTAACCCCACCACATTTTTGCGTCTGTCCCAAGTCAGAAACTTCTGGCCTTTGTTAGTCTTGTATGCTTTTTAATTTTGGTTCATATCTATGTTTTTTAGTTCAGTATGATGTCCATTTTTGCTGAACTAGTATACATTATTGTTTAGGGGTCAGCTGAAGCCTGCCTCAGAGTGCGTGATTTTCTCGCTGTGTTGAAGACCCATTTGTGGCCTTGGGCTGTTTTCTGCTCTTTGGTCGGGGTTGTTGTCTCTTTGACACATTCCCAATTTTATTACAGAAGATATATAATGTATAAGGTGAAATTATATATATTTATCAATTAATCAACATCATTTTTTTTCTCTTTTATTATCATACTTATCAAATTTACATTAAGCTTAATTTTCAAAACCATTGTATGTACAAGATGTATTTAGTCTCATATACATATAAAGGTTTTTATACATTAAAAAACAAAAATCACATAAAAGAAAGAATAAGGGAAAAAATTAGCACACTAAAAATATAACCAAGTAAATATGTGATACTCTTCTGATTTATGCTGCACTTTTCATATAAAAAATTGAAACAAAAGTTTTAGCTATGCATGTTTTTTACAAACATAAATTCAATTGATATGAATTTTTTTCTAAAAATTCAACATAGTTGTTTAACATAATTTAAAAATATTAAAGTTTTACTTTTAGTCTCTAAATTTTTTTGTTAAACACAACAAAGAAATTTCCTCCTAAGCATGCTAAGAGGAATCATGTTAGATTGATTAAAATTTTTGAGTAAGACAATTAACTCTTACCTGATCTTTATAGCCAGAACTCATTGTATGTTCACTCAACATAAATACATTGGCTATTGTGTTCACTGCTAGGAGGTTTTTACTGGATCCCCACTGAAATATCATAAAAGATGCTAAAACAACCCTTTCAATTCACATATATGTGTGTGTGTTTTGGATTTCAAGACTTTTAGCTTTGAGCGTACACAAAGAGATTAATAACAAAAACACCTGTTGCAATCATTAATAAAGTGTTCACAAAAAAAGTACAGGATATTTTTAGTATCAAATTTTTACCAAGACTTGGATTATCTTAGCAGTTCTTCAGTGAAATCATAAAAAGCATATAATAAGAATACTGTGGAACTGTTATTAAATGCCTCTGAATGATTATATTATATTGATGCAGCATTATAGATATTTACTAATTCTATGACAGCTGTCAATATCTTTGTAAAATATTTCTATAAATATATTACTTTTCTTTAAAATCTTGGAAACTTTCATAAGATGTCATCACATTCCAATTATGTCACAGAATAAATGTGATCCCTCCTTAAACTCATACATATAAAAACCTAAACCGGACAAAACATTTGATCTCTGAATTTACTTACCTCTACTTGTCTAATGGAACCTTCCACAGTAGCTGGGGCTTGTAACTTCCACTTGAGTTCCCCTTCCACTTTCTTTCCACCAATAGGTGGTGACCATTTCCATAAAGCTATATCACCCATATTTGTACCTCCAGCCAGCATTCCTATAATTACAAATGCTTTCCTGAGTATTTTCTGACTATAGGACTAGATTGTATAGTAACCAATACCATTATTACATCTATAGTTTTAATCAGTGAATGTTTCTACATTAATCTAGTCCTATTATTTCTCTGTTGTGATATGAGCAAATACACATGTAATGGCTCAGACTTTTTTGGTAAATTTGGTAGTAAGTTGCAATTGTTTCCTAATTATACATAGTGCACGGTGTTCCATGATATTTTATACTTTATATCATCTGTACTCTGCTGCTTCTACAACAGATATTCACAGGAACTTGGGGGTCATGGGCCTTATTTTCTTGAATAATCCAAAAAACACAAATTGTCCTATCAAATTCAATATAATTATCTGTCCTGATTTTAAAAGGATTTTTTTTTAATATTTGAATGCACTTGACACTTAATTTTTTGATAAGTCTTAAAATTTCAAGTTTTAGATGTTTCTGTTTTATCTTGAATGATACTTGGTAAAATATTTTTAAACCATAAAGGTAATTTTTCAAACTTGCCAAGAAGCGATTCTCAGAAAAAGACACCCGATCTATCATCTACCTTAAAATCAAAATATATTACAACAAACCTTTCTCTTGACTATATGAAATACACATAACATTTTCATTTGGATCATAGCTGTTGTGCCCATCCAATGACAAAATATAATTATCTTCATTATCTAAATCCCACATTCTGAAAATATATTATGATCACATGAAAAATTATTAATTACTTGCCTAATCAATGCTATTTTTAAATAAAAAAAAAATTCAAGTATTTGATCAGAAATATTTAAAACTATTTCTTAAGTATTCTTGAAGCATTTAAATTTCTTTGCAAGTTGGAAAATTAATTTTCCTTAAAAATACCTTATATATCTTAAATAAATGCAGATGACTAACTGGCTTGTCAAGTTTCACATATTGAAAAAAAAATCATATTTCCAGCTCCAAAGGTAAAAATGGTTCAATTTTATTGCTTTTTAATGAATTATAAAAATTTACATGATAAATGAAAGTTTTTTCACCCTCATCTAGTAATTGGGCATCTTCAAATAGTCCCTGAGTAAATACGACTAGTCTTGTAAGTATGAAATTGAAGACTTAATAACTGTAAGTGAAGAAATGTACAAGGTGTGCTATAATGCATACAGAAAAATATCTGCAATAACCAACTTGACAAGAAATAAGCACATCTTTGTTTTACTGACAGATAATGTTTTATTTTTATATTAAACCTACCTGACTGCTCCTTCACCTGTAGCTGTTGCCAGTATACCTTTACCAGCCCAAATAACAGTGGGGTTATCTCCCTTACCAGACATCTTCACCTAAAATAGAAATAATTCAATTCAATTAATTCACTTTTACATTGCCACACCATACGAGTTAATCTATAATTTAAAAACAGAAATAATGGGGAGTTCATATAAATGAAACTTAATTGCAAAACTGACTAAATGAGCTTAGTGTGATTTATTGTTGGTGATGTAATGTCCATTGGCAAATATTTCATACATGTTCTTGACTCACAAAAAAATGTTTATTCAACTTAATTTTTAACTCAACTTTATAACAAGCTTAAGGTAGCACAATACAAAGATTTTATACCTCCAATTCCCTAGTTTTAAAATGCTGTAACTTTCTTTATAATGCTTGAAAATTTATAAAAGTGGTATTTATGGATAGCTAACAGATTACTCTTTCAAATTAATGCAATGTTAGTATTATACAACAATTATGTAATCAATTATAATGTTAACTGTGTCTACAAAATTTTATAAGAAATTTCCACCTTCAATTGAAATTAGCTTCTTCATGGTAACCCCTAGAGGGTTGATTTTATTATATGTTGTTCCTAGAGCCATTATCTACAAAAGGGTGTCTCAGATTTCGGATAGAATGTATAGATAAAATTTTACACCTAATCAAACATTATCTACTTTTATGTGGTAAGGATGTTTACACTAATTACAGATTTATGAGAGAATGGAATACCACAGCGATAATTTGAGACACCCTTTTGTAGCTCCTGCTGTGTTGATTAAGATTTCGTTAAAATTTCCTGTTAGTTGTAGAGATGAAAGTGCTAAATTCATTCAAGTGAACTGACCAAGATTTTGCCATTAATTGCATGATAATTGATTACATAATGATTGCATAACAAAAATATTGCATTCATTTAAAAGATTAATCTTTTATCTATCTATATATACCTCTTTTATTAATTTATATGCATTTTTAAGAAAGTAACAGCATTTTAAAGGTTGGAGATTGGAAGAAAAAAAATCTTTGTATTGTGCTACCTTAAGTGAAGTATAGGATATAGTATCCAAATTAAAAAAAAATGTATTGACCCGTACAATTGAAATATTATATGAAAAAATCAGTAATGTCTAGTCATGATTTCCAGAAAACTAACCATACCAAAAAAATAATTATCAAATTCATTCAGACTCAATTAAAGTTCAAGATAAATTAAAATAAACTGCTTCGCTGAGCGCAGCTGGATACGCCCGCAGAGGTCCAACCCTGAACAGTTGGGGCAAAAATGGACACAATATTCAAGCTTGATACAGATCTGAATTTGGATTGTAATTAAATATTTGACATATTATAGGTTTCTGAATAAACGTAGTCAAAGAACTTGAAATTGGTTATATGAATTGAATTTATATTCAATTAAAGATTTCTTGCTGTTGTGCAATACACTATGCTGTTGTGCAATACGTAGTAAATCTGTTGTCAGACTATAAACAAATAAAATTTATAAAATTCTAAAGGGAGCTTACATCAATAGATATAATCAATTCACCAAAGTTTCAAAAGAATTGCTGAAAGCAATTTTGAGTTATTGTCTGAAAACTGGAAAATCCCCCTTTTTTAATGAATAAAACCCCATAACTCGGAAATGTAAAATCTAAAATTTATAAAATTCTAAACGGAGCTTACATCAATAGATATAAACAATTCATCAAAGTTTCATATGAACTGCTGAAAGCACTTTTGATTTTTTGTCAGAAAACTGGAAAATCCCCCTTTTTTTATGAATAAAACCCTGTAACTCGGAAACGTTAAATCTAAAATACATAAAAATTGAAAGGGAGCTCATGTCAATAGATATAAACAATTCACCACAATTTCTTGCAAGTTGGTGAAAGCATTCTTGAGTTATTGTCCGAAAACTGGAAAATCCCCCTTTTTTTAATGAATAAAACCCCATAACTCGGAAACGTAAAATCTGAAACTTATAAAAAACGAAAGGGAGCTCACGTCAATAGATATAAACAATTCACCAAAGTTTTATGCAAATTGGTTAAAGCGTTTTTGAGTTAATGTCCGACATGTTGACGACGGACGGACAGACGGACGGACGGACAGACGGACACCGGTATACCATAATACGTCCCGTAAACGGGCGTATAAAAATTGTACTATAAAAATAAAATCATAGTGGTGAGAAATCATAGATATAAATTCATAAGCATCTTATAAAAATGTCTTAAACATGGACATTAACTATATTCAGACAAATGTGCATAAATACAAGCATATGGAGGAAATTTTTTTTTGTGTGTGATATTTTTTAATATACAAAAGTGATGATAACATCTATCTAAATTCAATGAAAGTCAGATGAGAAATAAATTTGATATCATAAACCATATGAATGGCTTCATTATAATACATTTTTACAAGTGTCCATTTTGAAGAAGGGCTAAGATATTTCAGGATTTTCTTTTCTTTCCTGAAATAGAGAAATTTTTCATGAATCTTTCATAAAAGTCAATTCAAATATATTTTTTTCATTATATAAATGGCTATATCATACTTTAAGTATTTCTTTGGCATCCCCTTCTGGTAGAATGGCATGCTGTGTTAGAATCAGATTCTCTGTAACTGTGATTAAGACATTCTTCTCTTCATAAAACAATAGTTTTAATACAGGTCCATCAGCTGTGAATATTTGTGTACATTGTCCAGATTCTCCAACAAAATAAACACCACCTAAAAAATTCATAATTTGAAAATAACACTTCCTTAATCTTGGACAAGATATATTGCAACTACAACAGAGAAGGAAGATATCAAGGAGACATAAAAAACTGATAAGGACAAGAGAAACTGACATCTCCATGGAAAAATACGAAAGACGACAAAAAGATTAAGAAGTCCATAAAACACTACAAAATGTCTATACATATTTTTCTCCACATTATATAAGATATTTAAAGGACTGTTTAGCAGCCAGATAAGAAAAAGAAAAAATCAATAAAAAGTAACCAACAAACAGCAGCTTTAACTTTTCTTTGTTAGAGGTATTTTGATTTCAAATTCTAATCACATATTACATGTATTATCTATTAATCTGGGTCTGTTTCTATCATGAGAAGTAGTACATTTTAATAATAGATGGCCATAATCTGCTGAACAACAAAAATTTAAAATGTCTTTGTTTGATGTCATGAGGCATGAAGACATTCTTTTACTGTGCAGAAATAAGTTGTAATCATATTTTTCATATTACAAGTAGAAATTATCACGTAAATGGGTGATACAACTTATGCATATTCCTATATATTTTTTTTAACTAATGGAGAAAGGGGTCATCACTAGAATCATGATGATTGTAATATCTAAACAATTGATGTAACATTACCTGAAGCACCACCTAAATAGAATGTCAAGCTTTCTGAGGAACCAAAGGGAGAGCCTCCCATTTTTATACTATTACTTTTCCCGCTCTTCTTCCAGTTGAACATATCTAAAGCACTCTCATCACCACTGACTGCAGCCTTTGCTAGCTGACTTATATCTCTGTAAAATCAAACAAATACTGTTTGAAAAAGATTCATTATTTTAGGTTTTAACATATAATGTTAAAGACGAGTATGGAAATAAAATGTAAAATTCTCATTTTATATATCCATATTTAAATTTCTGTCATTTTTATAACTAGAGGCTCTCAAGAGCCTGTGTCGCTCACCTGTATCTACTGTGGTTTTGGAAATCATGTAAAATAAGGCCAGTGCGAACTATACAAGCCCGATTACGGTACACCTTACAATCATTCAATACACTAAATATAGTTGACCTATTGCTTATAGTTTCTAAGATACAGACTTAACCAAGAAAACTAAACATTGACTAATGAACCATGAAAATGAGGTCAAGGTCAGATGAACCATGCCAGGCAGACATGTACAGCTTGCAATCCTTCCATACAACAAATATAGTTGACCAATTGCTTATAGTAATAGAAAAACAGACCAAAACACAAAAACTTAACACTGAGCTATGAACCGTGAAAATGAGGTCAAGGTCAAATAAAACTGGCCAGACTGATATGTACATCATAAAATATTTCCATACACCAAATATAGTTAACCTATTGCATATAGTATTTAAGAAAAAAAAACCAAAACTCAAAAATTTAACATTGACCACTGAACCATGAAAATGAGGTCAAGGTCAGAAGACACCTGCCAGCTAGACATGTACACCTTACAATCATTCCATACAACAAATATAGTAGACCTATTGCATACAGTATAAGAAAAACAGACCAAAACACAAAAACTTAACTATAACAACTGAACCATGGAAATGAGGTCAAGGTCAGATGACAACTGCCAGTTGGAAATGTACACATTACAGTCCTTCCATACAGCGAATATGCTAGACCTTTTGCTTCTTGTATCTGAGATATGGACTTGACAACCAAAACTTAACCTTGTTCACTGATCCATGAAATGAGGTCGAGGTCAAGTGAAAACTGTCTGACGGGCATGAGGACCTTGCAAGGTACGCACATACCAAATGTAGTTATCCTATTACTCATTATAAGAGAGAAATTAACATTACAAAAAATCTTTTTTTTCAAGTAGTCACTGAACCATGAAAATGAGGTCATGGACAATGGACATGTGACAGACAGAAACTACGTAACATAAGGCATCTATATACAAAGTATGAAGCATCCAGGTCTTCCACCTTCTAAAATACAAAGCTTTGAAGAAGTTAGCTAATGCCGCCGCCATAGCCACCAGATCACTATCCCTATGTCCAGCTTTCTGCGACAAAAGTCGCAGGCTCGACAAAAAACATGTGTATAGATATCTATACAAAAACATGTATAAAAAACAAACAATTCTTAAAAATCAACTTATCACAATCTGATTACAAATCAATAAATATGACAAATATACATTTATGGTAGACACTTGTGTGATGTAAATGTAACTTACGTGGCTGGATCTTGTGGTGGGATAGGTTTACATAAGATCTTGTTTAATGGTTCCTGAACATGATGTTGGTGAAGGGGATTCTGTTGTAATCTGCCTTTACTGTCAGCTTTCCATACCATAACTACTCCTGACTATAAAAAAATATATCATGATCAAAATTCATTACCCTTAAATGTAAAAGTAAATTTTTTTCCCCTTTAGCTAAACTACATTTTTTGAAAAAGATCTGTTAAAATATGAAACAGTTTCCTTCATATAAAGTTAAAGAAAAATAAAAACCTAATAAGCCTTCCGACTCAACCAGACTAGTTTTGCAGTTTCCAAGAATCAAAATTCAATCAAATTCTCTTGGAGCTAATTTCAATAAAATTTAAAAAATAAATAAATAGGGAATGAGTCCATGGGACACAGATGCATGGACACTGATGACCCCGCTTGCATATCATATAAAGCTATAAAGGGACATAACTGAAGAAAGGTAAAATTGACGCTACCCAAATTTGTACTTGTTCTGAGTTTTGTGGTAATAAGCATTGTGCATGTTGTGCATAAGTTTCATAACATTTGGTTGAGGCAAACTTAAGTTATAGAACGGAAACAAAATATTCAGCAATTTTTCCATTTGTAAAGGGGCATAACTCTAGAACGGTTAAAGTGACACCAACAAAATCCAAACCTGATCTGTGTTTAGTGGTAATAAGCATTGTGTATAAGTTTCATAACATTTGGTTGAGGTAAACTAAAGTTAGAGAACAGAAACCAACTTTGGGACGTACGGACGTACGTATGTACGGACAGATGGATGTACAGACAGACAAGGGTAAAACTTAATGCCCATCTGCTAGGGCAGGGGCATAAAAAAAGGACTATTCCAGATTGCTTTCATGCATTTTCAGTATATTATGGAAATGTTTCAGTATTTAAGACCCTGGTGATTGATAGACTAGACTTTTGGAAAGGTAAGCTTAAACTGAGAACATAATGCTTAGATTCTGATCAAGATCACACTACACTCTTCCATTTTTATACCTTATCTCCAGAAGTCAAGCGGGTACCATTACTGCTCCATTCCAACACAGTAATAGGTGTTTTGTGTAGAGGTAATCCTTCAAACAATTCTCCATCTACACTATTCCAAACAAGTAACTCTCCATTATCCCAGCCAACAGCTATGATCTTTTTGTTAGGATGCCATGCACTAGATGTGGCTTGACAACTTCTCTGAAGCTGAACATTCAGTAACTGTTCTCCCTGATGCATAGAACAAAAGTAAAATAAACATGTTAATGTCATGACTTTTTGTGTAGCAAAAACAAATCTCATGAAAACAATGGGCCAATATGAATTTTATAGTTTTCATACTGAATTGAATTATATATATATGTGCTATTAAAATTCTACGTCATTTTGTCTCATTGGTAATCATACCACATTATCTCAATTTTATACAGATAACAATATTCTTATCTGGTACATGTATAAAGACATACTAGTGTCTATGTACGTTTTATTCTGCCATTGTCCATTTATCTTATTTATCTTTGAAAACTTAATGTAATCTACTAATATTAGTTACACACACACAAACATCAGAACATAGAACTTTATGATCTACCTCTTCCATATAAAGATGAACAGCACCTCCGGAGGCATCACTGTAGGTATTAACAGCTAAATGAGGAGAACCGCTATACCATGATACATCTGTGTTGATCCCCTGAGAATCGGTTTTTAACCGATGGTCAAAATAAACAGCCATTCTTTTTTTTCTAATCTTTCAAACTCTGTAATAAAAAACAATAACCTGTCAAATTTTTGCAAAATATCTTTGCGCAATCAGTCAAGGGTATAACCTAAATAAATTGATAGAGAAAAAAAAGCATTTTGAGAGTATTGCATGGCAATACATAGTCCCCTACCGGTTAAAAATTCATTGTAATGGAAAGAAATTATAACTTGATCATTGTTGATCTATATCTTGTCATGCCATGGTGTATTTAACTACATAAAAATATCAAGTCAATATCTTCAATCATGACGAAAAAACTGTTGAAAACTGATTATTTAAGTAAAATTGAGAATGGAAATGGTGAATTTGTCAAAAAGACAACAACCTGACCAAAGAGCAGACAACAACCGAAGATGTGAATTTTTTATGTCCAAAGACCATAAATCTGCACAAAATAATCAGACCAGAACAATATTCGAATTTGACCTGTAACTTGTCATGATTAAACTATATACTAATTATCAAATCAATATCTTCAAGAATGACAAAAAAAAGTGAAGAAAACTGATTTATTTTAGTGAATTTACACATGGCCTGGGCGATGATATTCGTTAGTTTTATCCCTCGCTAACACTCAGGATAAATTTGGATATCATGGCCGAGGCCATGTGTAAATTTCTAACAAATCTATGGCTTCCATGAATTATTTCTTAAATGAAATATATCCTTTATCAAAAATAGATTATTATCTAAATAAAAGAGTTCACTTCATCCAAACAAATTTTTAATATATAGCATTCAGAAAATTAGTTTATACAGAATCAATAACAAACAAACCTACCACTAAATTCTTCAAACAATTTACCAAAGAAAAGGGAACAAATCCAAAACGTTATTTATCATTAATAAAAATATCTTTTAAAAAATGAGTTATTTCCCTTTGAACAGAAATCTAGTAATTAATAAGTATTTTGTCAAAAATTTAATTCTAGGGAAAGGGCTTTAACTGAACAAGGAGAAAAGCTAAAATCGTGAAAATTGAACTTGACCTGTAACTTGTCATGATAAAACAATACACCAAATATCAAATCAATATCTTCAAGCATGAAGAAAAAAAGTCTGGAAAACTGATTTGTCGGACTGACAGATGGACAGACAGACGGACTGCAAACCTAAAGTCCCCTTCGACTTCGTCGGTAGGGGACTAATAACATACATTTGTTATTGATGACCTAAAAAAATCCCAAAACTGGGATAACATATGAATCTGATGTTCAGTAGTTGTCGTTTGTTGATGTGGTTCATAAGTGTTTCTCGTTTCTCGTTTTTTATATAGATTAGACCGTTGGTTTTCCCGTTTGAATGGTTTTACACTAGTAATTTTTTGGGGCCCTTTATAGCTTACTGTTCGGTGTGAGCCAAGGCTCCGTGTTGAAGACTGTACTGTGACCTATAATGGTTTACTTTTATAAATTTTGACTTGGATGGAGAGTTGTCTCATTGGCACTCATACCACATCTTCTTATATCTATGTTACATGTTTCAAAGGGGCAGTATACATCCTTTGTTTTGTTATAATGTATACAAGTTCTATTCAGTGCTCCAGATAAGCTGCATATTTGCGCGATTACGCAATAAAAACAATTGAAAACCCAATTCAATTGACAATTGCAGCATTCAAAATCCCAATTCATGCAAAGGAAAACCCAGTCAAAACTGTGTTCTCAACCCTAATTGTCGCTATCGTGTGCGTTATTTACCCAAATCAATAAATAGCTGTCGCGTAAATCTATTTTTGTAAGATTAGGAAATCTACTTTCATTCTAAAAATAGAGCTTTACATCAAATATCTGGTCTGGGTCCCTGTTGAAAGGAATTGTCCGTTACTCAAAGCTGTATCCCCGGTAAACATAAGGGACCAGTTTATAAAATTTTCTTTGGCAGACCATGAGTCGGAGAGGCAGAAAAAAGCACTGGTAGTAATAAAATGGCATATTCTGTTGAACTGTTTGAAAACAGACTGCTGTGCGGAATTCTGAAGCACAGCAGTATGCAATTCACATTATCAATTCCTTAATGGAGAAAGCTACAACTCTGAATATATGTGACATTTTAGACGAAATCATCAACGGTGTCCTTCCTTCCTTCGATGAAAATACTACTTTATTTAGGCAAAGGCACAGTGTCAGATAAGACATTATTTGCCTGGAAAGGAAAGAACCCACAGCTAAATATAAATCATGACATGCATGACAAAATTTTGTTCAAAAATATTTACCATACTTGGAAAAATATAATGCCGACAAGCAATGTCAACGGATTGTTAAATGTATAATATAACCATAACAAAAACCAGGGGGGATTGTATATGCAGACAATAGATGGGCTTTGATTGAACAAATTTGAGCAATAGTTAGTTCCCTTTTGTCGCCATTTAATGGTCTGCGTGCAAATTCCTTCATAAATCAGCCAAATTTAACTAGTTATACTGACCACTAGACATAATTAGAAAAAGGATTTTTCTGCACAATTTTTATTCCTTGTAGCTTTGCTTAATTCATCACAAAACAATCTAGTGAGGATCTCTTATCAGACTTGTGTGTACCGCATGTTTAAATTTGGTTAGTCAAATAAGAAAATTAATTGTTTATCCCTCCAAAATGGTGGCCAAGATAAATAACTCAAACACAAATTACGTCACTTGAAACCTATCTTTTTAAGAAAGGTTGGTTATAAATTTATCATGTCAATACACAAGTACTGACTACTGAGCTGACTATACCCTCGGGACTGATAGTCCATCAGCAGCAATATTGACTCAGTGCTGTAAAAAATGAAAACAACACTTAATAAATTTCATGCTACAGAATCAATATTCTGGATTTCTTTCTTTAAGTTTTCCAGTCTTCCATCTGAATAAAGATGATTTATAACTGGTGCATGCATGGCCTATTTATTTAAAACAAATTAAAATAAAGTTATATACAAAAAGAAGCGGTGCAGAGAACAGGTGCAGTGATTAAAACTATGTACAGGAGATGAAGCTATTTAGAGAGAGTGGAGAGGACAGCATATGTGAGCTGCTCTCTCAAAGAGTAGACTGTCTGTGAATTAACAACTGCAGTTGGTAGAAGATTCCAGTGCGTTATTGTGTATGGGGAAAAATTAAAATCTGTACGAGTCTTTGGATGTATAGTAATGAGTATAGATATATCTGAAGGTGTGTGAATGATGTTTTCTGATCTTGAGTCTGATGGAATGAGAATTGTGCTAGATGGTATAGCAACAAGATGATGTGTGATCTTGTACATCATAAACCAGGCGTGCACGTAATCTGTGTTGTGTTAATTATGGCCAGTTGAGTGTATTTAGCATGTTTGATACACTGCTAGTCAGCTGCTGCTAGTGTTATGATACCTGTTGCAGGCATACCAAGCAGCTCTCATTTGGACAATCTCTATCTTCAAGATAGATTCTGAGGTGTGGGGTCCCAAACCAAGCAAGAGTACTCGAGTTTGGGATGGACAAGTGCTTGGTATGCCTGGTTCTAAATGTTTTGATTAGATGTTTTTAGGTTTCTTCTAAGAAAGCCAAGTGTTTTATTGACTTTGTCTATATGTTTGTCCCATTTGAGGTTAGACTGTAGTGTGATGCCTGGACTCTTAGCAGATGTAACAGTTTCGAAAATATGAAATCCCTTTTTGTTTCTCTGATTCCCCCTCAATCCTCTCTGTATACATGGTGTAATTAAGTTAAGCAAGCAAGTAAATGGGTACACCGTTAATTTGGAAAAATAAGTTCTAATTATAATTTTTAGGCATTAAAAATAGTCAACTTGTGTTGATCTCCATGCGTTTATATAGCAAATTATTTACCATCAACAGGACCGAAAAGGACTGACATGATAATTCTGTTTTTTGTGACATGGCAGTGCTCCAGCTAGAAATCAAAAGGGGCAGGGTGCCAGTGGAGGGCAGGGCACTTTTTATGAAAGGAAAAGGCACTGCTCATTTCTTTTGTCTACGTTTCTGTGTGTATCACGAGTTCACATTATTTTTTTTACTGTATATGTTGTTAATAAAGATGCATAAGTTGTTGTTTTGATTATTTATTCTATAAAATTTGCATTAGAAAATGTAATTCATACGACATGTTCATAAAACATGTTAATACACATTCATACATCACATCACTATAAACCAATAGAGGCAAATTAACTTACTATTCCCCCCCCCTTTTTCCAAAAAAAAAACCAACATAAACTAAACATCTCATAGTTTAGTATACATGTGACAGAGTTGTTTTATTTTAAAATTTTCAGCTAGAGTTTGGTCCTCAATACTTTTTTTTCATTGTTTGTGTTAAGGAATTATTTAGTAAAGCTTTATCAAGTTGATGACATGATAGTTAAACTTCACACTGCCCATTTTTGTAGGATTGCAGCTTAACATCATCATACTAATTCTACTTTCTAATTTCTCACTCGACAATGTATAGAACATGGATTGCTAAAAGTATGATTATCAAAATAAATTGCAATATATTTTTTTGGTATGTTCAAAGACAGTTAATATCCTTAAGGTAACATTCTTATATAATTTTGTATTCAATTGGTTATTTATTCCTATTTTTAATACTAGATAATATTTTAGGAGCACAAATTTGTAATAAGCTAAAACAGGGGAAGTAACTACAAAATTAATTTCTAACACGTTGACTGTTTGCTTGTCGCTCACAAGTTGAGATGGACGGCGTTTCTGTAAAGGCATAGTTGTATTTTGATGACTTAAATTCTATTCTTAAGTTATGGAAGTCTTCATTTATACACTCTTCTTGGAGATCGAAAATGCTGTTAAAATGCCCAAGCTAAAAACACTCGCTGACACATTCATCAAATTTATGACAAAAAGGTACATTGTCTTAATTAAATAACCTAGTTATTAACACCTTTGAAGTCTTATCCACTGTTATTGATTGTAATGACATTATTAACCTGGGGGCAATCACCTGGTGTCATATATGTAATTTAACTTTGCCATATGAAATCGATGAAACAAAAGGCAATTTTACCAAAATGGCACAAGGGTTTTTGGGAAAAAGGTGTCAGGGCAGAAGGGCGCGGATGAAGGCATCCAGGGCACGGCTGAGGGCACCCAGGGTGCGTCGCCCTTCTATTTTGGGCTAACGAGACCACTGCATGGTCATGTTAGTGGACAACACTAGAAATGCCATAAATTTCTACATAGTCTGTATGTTTAATTGAATGTCTTTGGGACCATACGTTTATAAAAACCAACAATAGATTTATTTAGAATTGCAAATTCTAACATGTAACCGGAGAATTTCGTCCCCCTTTTTTTGCGACATGTTTATACGATATTTTGTTAGAATCTAACGGATTTTAAATGGTATAAAGCCGTGAAAATGTAAACTCGTATGTAGTTCTTGGAAGTTTGAGAGGCTCAGTGAATACAAACATACAAGAAAGATGTTGTTTCCCTGGATACTGTGATGCTATTTCATAGGAAATTCAACTATGTGCTCCATTTTGAAAAATATTTCAGCAATGCATTGTGGGATATGTCAAAAAGCATAAACAAATCCCATTCGTCACAACTCGGCCGATTCCGTACCTTAAAAGAAGGAGAGTAGCTAGCCTGGCATCCCGGCCCGATCTAGCTGCACGTCGCAAGGGCCAGGTGGGGAACAAATACCACGTGATCGATTCAGTGCCAGTTGACTCTGAATCTAAAGTGAGGCTGAATAAATATTTGCATAAATTTTGATGTTTGATGTAAACCAGCGATTTCAAACCAATGATTAAGAAACATTGCTTCTGATTCAATAAATTTTGTTCTCAGATTGACGAGTCCCCATTGTCAGTAATATAATAAAATAAATATATATTAAACAGTATAAATAAATACTAGTATGTGTAATCAAAAGAAACTTTGAAAAATGTTGTACATTTAATATATATTTTATCAGGAAGGATTATACGGGGTACGAGTCAACGAAACAACTCTTTATAATAAAAAAATCAAACGTAATTAATACTGTAATTGTCTAATGTAATTATAATTTAAAATAGATGTACGATGGTGTATCTTCGCACATGTACACATCATTTGAAATGTAACCCCGCCAAAAAAAATTACTGCAATTTTTGTTGGCCTTTACTTTTTATGGGTTTTTCCATATATATTTTTGCCCTTTGAGATACATGTGTACATGTAAATTAGGTCGTAAAAGTGAAATCCAATTCACACCTCGGTCATGTGAAATCTTAAACTTTTAACTTTCTCACCAGTTGACTGCTGATAAGAATTAACCCTTTTCTGCTTACTAATTATCATCATACTAATAATTAGATATGATAACACTGTACATCAATTCATAAAGAAAAATAAATACTAAGTCTAATTTTTACTAATTGATGTTAAACAAAAATTGATTGGATACAGATGTAAAACAAACATTGCGCGACAAAATTAGTATTAACCAATCATTGACAGGCAGGACATTGATACACGCCTGGCTATACTGACAAGACTAGCCAGGACCCCAGGCTAGAGAGTAGCGAGCGGATTCTCACGAGGATTGCCGATTGAAACAAATCCAAACAAACTATATTTTATTCACATAAAACTAAAATAAAGCCGTAAATTCATTTGAAATTTGATGTTATTTCAAATGATTAGGGATAATTTTCTTTCAATAACAAGTTATTAAAACAAAATCTTCTGTATCCCGAATATTATACTGTTACCGGTTCATATAACAAGCATTAGCTTTCTAAAAACATTGTCTAAGTTGTCATCATATATGAGAAAAAAGAATATGTAACATTTAGATAAAATATTGACCTGTTTATTTATTTTTTTTTAATTGAAAAAATTCTGCAAAATTTGCGCTCTTCTGGATTTACCTTTACCGGATATTGACGCTCGTCGCTTATATGTGCTAGTCTTTTTTGATAATTATATGTGCTACTACTGTAATGCTTATATATATATATACTTGTCTTAATAGATGAAACTTTGTTTATTGTGATGTTTTGTATATATGTTATAGTCGGTTGTAATACCTCGTCGTTCTTCAGCACATGTTTATGTTAGATATACATATGTGCAGACTCTATATATAAATAAAATTTACAAACTTACTTAATTAAGGCTTTTTCGTTTTTCAATCTGGCACAGTTCAGAAACTAAAATATGCTGGTTCTGATAAAAAATACGGTAAGTAACAGGAAGAGGGCACAGAAAAAAAACAATCCGTCATGGAGAAAAAAATGACCAAATCCCACAGAACATGTTACAATACACGTCACGGTGATCAGATAAATCAGAAGCAACGAGACAGCCACGGGAGTACAGAACGTTAACAAGATCATAAGTTGGTATTTGCGCGTCACATGATTTTTTTTGTCCATTGTACTGTGTTGTTGAGTTAAGGTGTCCTTGGTGTATCTGCTCCGCATTTAACTTTCTCATATGAACACTTAAGTTAAAATACGATTAACTCATTGACAGAAATAAAATTATTTCAGGTTCAGTGTCAGAGAAGAAAAATTAAAGTAACACATAGAAAGGGTATATTTCTTTTTATGCAACTTTGAATATTTCCTTTGAAGGTTAATTTTTTCATTTCATGATGTTTTAACAAACCATATTGATATCTATTCCATCAGGCATGACGATATACAGATACTTATTTGTGCACAATTGACGTATACCCCACATTTTTTTTAATCAAAAGTTTTCCCCCAAATTTTCAACTAATATCTAAATTGCAAGAAACAAGGTCATCATCCCTTGGAATGTTCAGTAGGAATATTTATAGACAATCATCACCCCCCCCCCCCCCCCGCCCCCCCCCCCCCCCCCCCAAAAAAAGGATATGTAACATATACTGATTATAAATATACCTATAAAGTTAAGAAACAATAATGATAATAATAACGAAATCATGATTTTAACTATACCATGTGTTTTCTTATTGTCAATCATTTATAACAAGTCAAAGTCTATTAAGTGTTGCATAGTTCTTCATGTTCGCACAATAGAAGCCAAAGAAATCTGTTAACTTTATCTAGATTTAACACATTTTTAAGCAGAATCTAACATAACTTAAGTCTTTTCGCTGTTGATCGGATGTTGGACATCCCATAAGGAAATGAAGTTCATCTCCAATTGAATTGAAAGAAAAAAATACATTTTATTTTTAATTCTTGTATAACGACCCTGTTGAACACAGTTCAATACTTTATTTAATATATGCATATCTATACTTGCTTTCTATTCCGTCTTCAGGCAAGTTGTTATGTGAGAACATTCTAAACTTTTTTGAAAAGATTGTGTGGCTAAAAATAAGTCGTTATTACATGATTCAACTACGTTTTTTTCTACAATCTTCTGTTAAGGCACCGACCATTCATTTATTTGTGGGGGATTATGTTGTTTAAAATCAATTGCTAGATTCATATTTTTTTTTTATTTTGGAAAACAATACAACATTGAGTTTAAAAAAAACCCAATTGTTCCCTCTATATGTTATTGAAAAAAAGTTTGTTGTTTGATAAAGTTGAAAAAATTGTTTGAATGTCCGAATAAATTCTAAAAAAAACATGCCAATTTGGGCTTAGATGTAATCACGTATAATGTCTTGTTTAGAAATGGACACAGATTATTCTTCCTCTTCAATATGTACTAGTATTCAGTGCGGATTGTCGGATTTTTCAGGTCTACTTTATTTTGGTTTTATCATATATTTATTGAATTGACTTTAATGTCAAGTGGCAAACATTTCATGCAAATCAAAGGTGTTTGTGTCCAGGAACATATATATTGATATACTGTTCCCAGTTGTGTCAGAATATCATATAGACCAGTTTCACATAAGCGACTTATCAACCCTGATCTCGAAATCATATGCGCGTTTTAGTTTAAATCCCGCGAAAATTAACGATATCATACGTGACAGGTGGCTATCTAACATGTCTAACCCGAATAATTCAGTCGTTATATTCCGCTGATCTACGATTACAAGTAGGAGAGATCGATTACGGGGAGGGACTGAATCATTCGGGTTAGGGCTATCCAATTTACCCTTATATTTGGCAACACAATAATAAATACTGATAATACACATTTCTCTCTCTCTCTCTCTCTCTCTCTCTCTCTCTCTCTCTCTCTTGGTGTGTGCTGGAGGTAGGTAAACAGATGATACCAGTACACAGTATGCTTGTCACGGCGAACGTAGCTATAATTTATGTATTGTACATGGATTTTAAACGTATAGAAAGACATGCGCATTAGATTTTTGTAACAAATGATGTAGTTTTTTTTCAATATTATGTTTTTTTATACAGCTGTTATTACTTATATATTGATTAATCAGCATACGTTCATGTATACATTTACTTACTCATAACATATTAATGTATTTCAACGCTCTAACATTTTGAGTGTCTCTAAGAACAGGTAATGAAATTATATATTCTTGAGAACATGTATTTGGTTTTGTAATAGTTATCCCACCAGTCCGAGTGGGATAACTATTTTACATCCCAGCTCTTCTAGACTATATGAAAAAACATCTACGCTTCATAACATCTAGTTCAGAATGCCTTACAATAATTATAATATACTTTATATATTACTATATAGTATATACCCTTTATGAGCCCGGATACAACGTTTAAATATGTTAAATTAACGGTGTTTGTATCAAGTCGTCCCGGTGTAGGGGTATGAGTCGTGATTTATGGTACTTTCGGTGGGGGGGGGGGGGGGGGGGGGGGGGTTGGTAGTTCATTAGACAATTTATTAATCTTGGAAATTCATAGATATCTAAATCTACGCAGACTGCCAGATACATAAATGTGGTCAGAAGCACTTTTCTGGATTTACCTTCAGCAGGAACGTTCACACCGAAAATTTTGAAAGTTAAGGATCTATGCGTTCCTCTATATGTCAATGACCAAATCGATATAAGGTCAACTTTGCCTGCCATTGGGGGAGTTGCAACCTTCTTAGTTTCTTAATCATGTTTATAGTTTCTTAATTTCCATCAACGGAGAATTAAAGAAAAGTGTGCTATAAATCATGTCAGTGCATGCCGAAGAATTAACTACTGAGGTTACGATACCCTCGGGGACTAGCAGTCCATAGTATAAAAGATAGCATATAATACACATTTGCATTCTCTTCTGCTGTTGAACCGCCTTGGTGGTCTCGTGGTAGGGTTTTCTACTCATGTGCAGGCCGACCGAGTCAAACCAAAAACGGTACAATTGGTATTTGCTGCTTCTTCGCTAACCACGCGACATTAAGCAGTAAGAACAAAGACTCGGAGTCAGAATAATGTGTCCGGGTAGGTCACGAACATGTCTTCATTCGTGCAGTTACCTTGTGAACTGGCACGTAAAAAATCCGACTCAGCGTGTCGGTCAAATACAAAGCTGGGATTATATTCACATCGCACCTACATATTCTCGTCCTTAATATGCATTTTATTTGCCACTAGCTGGACGTGAAACAGCCATCCAT